GTTACCCATCCAATGACCGACTTCAACGATCGCAGCCGAACGCGCTAACCACCCGCGCCATCGACCTCCTCGATAGTCAGTGGTGAGGCACTGGTTGAGGGTCTGGTAAATAAATCCAAAATGATTAAGCTTGTGTATAATATAGGGTAAAAGAAAGGCAACTTACAAAACATGTAAAACTTAAAAAGATTAAGTCCAAATACAACAGGAAATATTACAAATAAATACGTGGTAAAAATACACTTGAAGTTACCCCTGTAAGTATTCCCACCAATCAGTGGCGGGGCTAGACCACATGTGGACGTCGGCGACATCAAGTTCGCGAGGCCTATTTTACTTCGCAGTAAAAAACATGTAAAAAACCGTTAAATTAACTGAGCTAAATTATAAAATAACGTATGAGTAAACGAGTTTTATTGTTGACTAGTGGCCCGCCCTCGCTTCGCTTCGGTGTAGAGCTGTAGTGTAGACTATAGTTTTTGTTCTCAGGCGTGTATTGTACACAATTAATTTATTTATTTAATTCTTATTCTATGATTCTTTTTTTATTGAATAGGTAATAATGTTAACTTTTTTACATTAGGGATGAGTGAGAGTATTATAAACGTAAGAGTAAACAAATATAATCAGAATGCTCCGAACTGCTAAGCTATCAGGAGTTACACGTATTATTGTGAGTAAACCATAAAAGATAGACATATGCTGTTGCAGGATATTTTTTAGACAATTTTATGTAGAATATTTCCGTCATACATGATTTCTATGTAACTTTAACCATTAAGGCTGCACACGTGATAGAAGCTTAAAAAATGGAGTAACTTCTCCCGTTTTCCCAACATTTCCCTTCACTACTCTGCTCCTATTGATTGTAGCGTGATGAAAAGTATACTATAACCTGCCCAGGAGTATGAAGAATAATTGTACCAAGTTTCGTTAAAATCCGTCGAGTAGTTTTTAAGGAACATACACACAGACAGACAGACAGACAAAATTTTTACTGATTGCATTTTTGGCATCAGTATCGATCACTAATCACCCCCTGATAGTTATTTTGAACATATATTTCATGTACAGAATTGACCTCTCTACAGATTTATTATAAGTATAGATAATCAAATGATGACAAAAAATAATTAATTTCCTTATCTGGCAACACTGGCACGTAAGCAACGACGTCCGTTGTTTGTTTGCGGTTTTCCCAATTTTTGGGCTTGGGTATCGTTGCCAACTTATGGTATTTTACCCTAGATTTAGGGTTAATAGGGCATTTATTTTTGAAAAGATATATAATATTTCTTTTAAACATGATATAGGCTTTGCAATCAAGCTAAAAAAAGGATAAATAACCAAACTATAATAAAATAATAAGAAACGTAAATAAAAAAAAAACGAAACAGGGTACACGAAAAATTCGTTACTCGCGCCAAAACCTAAATTTTGACAATAAATTGATTACATTTCGAGTATATAAAATGAAAGAGAAATTATCAGTGATTATTTCAAAAAACCGCAAGAAAATCGGTCCTTAATTATCAAAGTTATATTAGTATCAATTTGGTGCAAGACCGACGGCATCGTAAAATGTTTCTAATGGCATCCCCCTAGAGCAAAATTTTTACGATCGAAAATACTACAACGAGGATCCGTAAAGTTATAGCAAATTCAATAAAACTAATATCCACGTTATTTATTATGACATAGGAATGATATATCTTTTTGAGTTATCCAAATCGGACCATAAGTTACGATGATATTAAGTAATAAACTTATGCCGTTCCTGCCGCTAAAATTCAATGTGCGCGGGTGCGTGTGACGTCATAGTGACGAAGTGCATGAACCGAGCGCCGACGGCACTACTTCCAGTGTTGCCAACTCAGTGGAATTTCCACTAAATCTGGTGGTTTAGACTTACCATTTAGCGGACAAATTTTGGTTTTAGTGGCTAGTGGCTTTAGTTGCTTCGGTTATTGGTATTGTATGAAATTCAATCATTAGCACGATTTATTTTTAGGGGTCGTTCGTACGCCAGCGCATCCTTTATGTTGTAAGTGTAGATTTTATTTCGTGTATAGGCAACACTCAGGGCTATAGAAAGATTTGGGGGATACCCCGAAAATTCTTTCTGGATTTCTTGAATAATTTTGATTATAGACTTTATTTGTATGACGACTAAGTCAAGTTTGATTTAAATTAAAAATATTTGTGTAATACGTTTACACAAAAATACAATAGATACGTATACGTACATTATACCACCCACAGTAGAGTTCGGTTCGGAGTTAAGGTCAGAAAAAGCGCCTACTGACATGCCTGCCGCAGGGACAATCTAGGGTGCACGGCGGTCGGGGCAATATCGGCTTGTCTCAAAACACATGCCTGCTATTCAGTGTTCGGGGGTATGTTGAGAAACACACGCGTTGATGATGGTCCCGATGGTCCCAGTGTTATCAAAAATCAGAAGATCGGTAGGCAGGGCCTTGGCTTTTTCTATGGTGTTACCGTAAAAAAGGATTTACTGGGTGAAGAATTGGCAACAGAAAGAAATGTATTGTAAATAAGTAATGTTAATATTACTAGAAAAACATCCACGCGGACCAGGCAGCAGACGGGACTCGAGCCCACACCATTCGCTATCCGGGCAAATGCACTGGTGATAGTCATATTGTAGGAAAGCATAAAAAACTTAGCAGTATAAAAAAGCGGTATTTAATTAAGTTGACGTCACTTTATTCATCGAGTTATTCTCAGCAAGCTCTTTCATTTGATATCCATATTGTAGCAAAACATAAAAAAACTTTGTCCGCCATATTGGTTTTAAAGTGACGTCTCTATATTTTTTGAGTTAATCTCACCAAGCCCTTTCATTTGATACCCATATTGTAGGAGTACATCGAAAATAACTAGACCGCCGTCTTGTATTATGTATATATATTTAAAATGACGTGACGTCAGTGACAGCTCACCATGCATTAGCATCCAAACTAAACGTGTGTACAAAATTTCAGCTCAATCGAATGAAGACAACTGCTTCAAAATTGAATTGCAAGATTTCAACCATACATACATACATACATACACACATAGCAATTAAAAAAAAAAGATTTCAATAATATTGGGTGTAAAAATACTGGGTGAATGTAATGTTTATATTACTAGAAAAAAATCCACGCGGACAGCAGACGGGACTCGAACTCGCACCCGCACCCTTCGCTATCCGGACGAATACACTGATCAATTATGCTAGCGCGGCCCTGACGGCCGTATCGAATTCTTTCTAGCCTTTCTTATGCCCCAAGGCAGCGCCACCTCTTCGCATTATAAGTAACCCACAATGTCAAATGAATACCTTTACAAGTATTAAACATTTGAAAGAAGAAATAGCAATTAATATAACTGCTCAATGTTTGAATCTAAAGAAAATATTACAAGAAAAATTAAAAAAAGGTATTTTTATTTTTCTAGTTATATTTTCTTTAGATTTAAACATCGAGCAGTTACATTAATTGCTATTTCTACTTTCAAATTTTAATGTTAATGTTAGTCACTAAGCGCGTTCTATCGTCTGTACCACGGCGAGTGTTCTGAAGAGTTATTCTCTCTTATTACACCTTCCCCTTTCCTTCAAAGGACCACGCGCGCTGCCTTTCGGTGTCACCGTCTAACTGTTGCCACAATTCCAACGCGTACAAAGAAATTTGGAGACTCATTTAAACTCATTTGGAGACTCATAGTAGAACTGCTTTACCAGCTATCTTCACATCTGGATTTCACCATTATTTAACATCAGGTGAGGTGGATTCATTTGTCGGACCTATCTATAAAAATAAAAGTTACATGCTTAAAAAATAAAACTTGTTAAAAAAAATATATAAATAATGTTTGTTTTATTTATTCCACATCGTGGGCTGGTCTTTTTAAACTTCGATCACTCGTGTCCAAACTTCATGCTCATTAAGATCTGCCGCCAACTTGATCGAAATACGTGTGCTCCGTGTGACAGCTACCAACCGACTGATTGAGAAACTGCCCCAATCGCGTTACACACGTGGCAACGTGCAGGGCGGCAGCAGTGTTACCAGATGAGGAAACTGATATTACAGTGTTGGGAGCAAAAAATACAGAGTTTGAGACAAAAATACAGTAAAAGTAAAAAAATATACAGTAAATTTTACAGCAGATATCAAGAAACTTATTTTTTATTATATTGTTTTTTAAATGAAAATAAAGTGTATTTTCACTAGTTGACTAACCAACCACTTATGAATCACTGTCACTATCATTTAGCCCGACAGCCGTTTCTTTTTTGTAGATCCCCAAATGAAATGATTTTAACATTTTCTCAGTTGGTTTAAAATTAATGCAACTCGTGCTTAAACACGGTTGACAAAATTTGGGCGCTTAATACTACGTACCTACTCTACGAAATGATTCCTAGTCTACGTCCGGGGAATTCCCGCATAGTATACACCGCGCCACTATTCATGCCCGTTTAAAATAAGACATTTCCGTTGTTATTTCAATAGTACCAAGAGTTGCGTCATAAGCAGAGAGGTGGCGCGGGACGGGGGGTTGCCTTTCGACAAGTTCGTAATAATCTTTTTTTACAAAAGCTGTCTTCAGTTTACTTACATTAAACTACGAGTGCGTTCGAGATCCGGTGAAAAATAGTCCGGTAAGTTTTAAACTCATTCTCGATCTCGAACGCCCTCCGAAAAGATTTTAGCCCTTAGAAAAATTACAGTGTTCTCCATATACTGTAATTTTAGTATTACAGAGTACAGAAGATCGTGTGAAAATACAGTAGATCTGCTGTAATTACAGTGTATCTGGCAACGCTGGGAGGCAGGGACAATCTAGGGACCAAGGGTGGTCGCGCGCTCCTGCCGCCCAGCCGCGCAGGCCCGATTTAGAAAATTGCCCCAACTTGCCTATACACATCACAATTCAGGAGGCAATTAAGGGTCATCCCCACTCTTACACCCTAGATTATCCCTGCGGCAGGCATGTCATGTAGGCGCTTTAAAACACAACAATCAGCTGTCAAATTATCAAAACTGTCAAAACAAAAAATATTTTTCTGTAAGAAAAATTACCCTAAATAATGCGTTTATGTATCGTTTCTGGTTCTGTAATAAGTTAAAACATCACGCATAAGTTAAATTATTGTACCATGGCTACTATGGTGAAGGAGAAACGCCGAGAGGTTTGTAATTGTTGTATTTTATTAAACTTCTTTGTCTTGATCATCTGTTTTGCGTACTATTTTTAGAAATGCATATTTTCTTGCTTACTTTTAAATCTTACAGAAGAAGAAATACAAAGAGAAAGCAAGCAAGACCGTACCTTCATGTGAATCTCCACCAATAACAAATCAGGCAGAAAATATTGCCGAGCAAAAGATTCCTATTACAGTATCTGATACTTCAGCTGCATCTGAAAGTATGCATGAATCTCAAACAACAACCAATTTTCATACTGAAGATCAAATTCAAATTGTACAATGTGTTACAAAAACTAGTAACAAGCTCCCAGAACATAGTTCAACTGCTGAAGACTTAACTGTTGACTGTTCTGTAAAATATGACACTACTGTTATCACAGCAACTGCAGACTCTCAGAGTATCTATTCCAAATGTATCGGTGATTTGGAAAAAGTGAATCTATCAGACATTTCATTGGCGAGTGAAGCCCATGAATGCATTGAAGATAATCCTGTATCTCAAGGTGTCTTGGAAACTGCTGCACCATCAGCACCTACGTTGGAGGAGGAAGTGCCTCATCTGCTACCTCCAATATTGATACCAGTTGTGAATGAGCTTATAAGACTGAAAAGTATGCCTTTGGAAGAGGCGGTCAGACTATTTGGAGGTACTGTGATTGCAGAAGTTATGGCTATGAGCGAAAGAGAAGAAGCCATTGTGGAGGCTGGCCCTGCTAGTGGACCTGAACATCCTTTAGTTGATTTGCTGTCAACTTTAAGGTAAATTATCATTAAGTGCTATATTACATTGGTTAAATAAAATATTTTAGCAACTATAAAATATTTGGATTGGTTGGGTTCATATTGTGGATTAGAATTAACTTTAACAGGACTAGCATCCTGTTTGTCATTCCAAAACTTTCTACCAATTGCAAAATGTTCTATTTAAGCAAAGGAAAATCAAGCTACTACTTAAAAATGTAGTGGCAACTAAAAATAGGATCTCATACTAATATTGTTATGGATATTATTGAAATACATTTTTATACCTGTCCATTAGGTAAGCCAACTCTTAAATTTAATGGGTAATTATGAAATGCACATTGAATTCGCATATAGTCAAAGCACGTGCCTAATATTGCTTCAGAGTTAATGTAGCTCTGCTCACCTTAAAGTAAAAGATGGATAATTTTCTCCGCTGTCCTGTACATGCTGCATAATCTGAAATGAAAATTTGTTGACGTCTTTTGTTAAATTAACAGTATATTACATACTACTCATCTAATTAGAGTTTTGGTATTATTTGTAACAGCCTATCTATTTTCACAGTTTTATTTGTTTTTTTGTTCAGGAGGTCTCTCATAGCTGTTGAACGTGAACAAACACAATTAGAGATAGGATACTCTGAAGAGGAAAAGTTTAGGTCTGCATTATGGAAAGTCAGCAAAAGATCCATACAAGCAGTGGAAAAATGTCCGTGTGGTTTGAATGTAAACTTCAGAGCCCTTTTTGAGCATGCTGAGTTACAAAAGGACAAGCTGCCTGTGGCTCGTTTGAGATTAGAAAGACTGCTTAAAGATGTACAGGAGTCTTATTGCCATCATCAGCATGAAGCCTTATTAGCACATTATCAGGTTTGTATATTTTAATTTCCTTTTAAATATCTTTTTTATGTGCTATGGACTACCATAGCACATTAAAGAGATAAGAATAACAACCACTAGGTTGTTATTCCTATAATAGAAATTAGGCTTAAACTAAAACTCAACTCAAAGTCATTTATTCAGTCTAGGCAGTCACAAGCTCTTGTGAAAGTCAAGTGCTACGCCATCGGTTCGTAAATCTACGACGGAAGACCTTTTACTTGACAGAAGAATCGGCAAGAAACTCAGCAAGGGCTATTTTTTGTCCCTGTTTTATTTGATACGGTGTTGTCATATGACGTCAAAAACTGAAAACATGGGTTTGATGACATCAATATCATAATATTTTAATTAATAAAAAGTTAAGTATGGCTAGGAACTATTTTCAAATTAAGAAGTGCCGATTAAACAATTTTCGGCCAAATTAGCAAATTAAAACTACTTATAGTCTATATATCTTATTATTATATTAAGCCCAAGGTGCCCTATCATTTAAGCAATCTTTCACAGTATAGTAATCCTTCTTAAGGAGACAAGTTTTGACACACACACTTAAAACTTATTAAAAAAAATATATATTTCTTTTGGTATTTTCTTAATTTAGTACACCTTGACCCACAAATGAACTGAGAACCTTTTGAAGCCTGAACAGTGGAAATTTAAGTTTACCTTTATTTCTGGTATTGAAATTCTGTACATCATCGCGCCTTGTATATAAATTTATGTTCTAACACATAAACAATATACAATTGTAAATGTATTGAGAGGCATCAGTATTTATACCTATTTCTTAAAATTTATCCCTAAGAGAAGTTCGAGATCCCAAGGGATAAATAGCTCTTATAGCTCGTTTTTTAATAACTGCAATTCTTTAGTATCCCGGTCATACAACTACCTGCTTTTAATTAACATATTATTATAAGTTTCTATGGAATCCAAAAGATTCATGCATTCCTTCCTTAAGGCAATATTTTTATAGAAGCTAGGTTACATAGCGATAAGATATGTAACTTGTTTTTTATCACACTCAATAGGGAAGATGCATATATAATATTTATGAAAATTTTATGATTAAAATGTTAAAAAAATATAAAAGAAATGCCACTGCAACGTTTTTATTTTACATAATGTTGTTTTTTAACAATTATTACGAATTAAAAATACTTGAAACGGAACGTATATTAAAACACCAATCAGCGTTTAGTGACGTCACTCCTGTTATGACAACTTCTTTGAGGTTATGGTTGTTAAAGTTAATATTATTTTATGGGAATATTTATTGCGTTTTTTTACATTTAATAAAAATGGAAGTTGCGTTTATCAAAGCAGACTCCAGGAATTTACCAAGAGTTAGCGTTGACATGGTTATAACTTTTTTTAGCCAAAGTGCAGAGTTTTTAAGTGTAGAAATGAAAGGGACTAAATTACTACGGTATGTAAAAATCGTAGTTGTTAAACTTCGTATTTTATTCAGCGGCTTCTACAAACCTTACGGCGATAATGCAATCGGCTATGTCCAAATTAAAAGAGATGGAAAATTATGTACAGTAAAAGGTCGAGTTCTCCGGAGCATAAAGTACGTAAAGAAGGTTATCGTGTTACAGTTATTTTAAATGAAACGCAAAGCTTGGTTCAGTCCTGCCAATGTGAAGATTGTGCTACACATTTTAAACTTTATCTAATTTTCGACGTCATTCTCCAACTGTAAAATTAAAAATATGTTATAGACAGGTTTTGTAAGTATTAGGTAGGTTACAAGCAGATTAATTAAGCATATAACAAGTATATTCGCCGACATACGTCAAAGTGATCTTCTCAGCATCGAATAATGGTCTTTGGAGAATAATTGTCATTTCTCTTCGCAGCTTGAAACCACTTTTTTTTCAGTTCTGGGTTAGAAGCTCCAGTCAAAAACAATTTATTTGGGAACTTTGTTGAAGTAGATTGGCACAAAACATGAGTCAACACGGCCTTTTTTTCGGAATATTAGTGGTATTGTTATGATCACATGATGTTGATGGATAGTAGATTTCAAATTTTTCAAAAAAAAATTTCGAAAGTCGAAAAAATATGTAAAAGTATGAAATTTTAAAGCCAGCAACGAACAATTACAACCAGTGACTGACAGGAGTGACGTCATCGCAACCATAGGTTCGTTTTCGCGCGAAAATTTAAATTGTCAATTTAAAACCGCATTTTTTCCGATAAATCACAATGTTTTAATTTTTTAATATATCTGTGGTTTATTCTACATGGAATTCTTTAAAATGAAAACAAAAATAAAAATATTGCATCTTCCCTATTGTCAAATTACTATGGAGCTTTTCAGTTAGACGCGATAAAAAATGTGATATCACGTTAATTGAGGTGCTCACATAGGGGAATGGGCCGATAGGATTTTATTTAATTTTTTTTTACATTCATAAATCTATCAGTTCAACGTATGAAATAAAATATTCTCAATAAAAAAAATTGTAGATTGAAGAGTTCATATCGGAAGTAGTGAAGAGCCATAAGGGTGAGATCCGCGAGGCGCTGACCTTAGTACTGCAAGCGTTGAAGCGGTGTGACAACGCGCCGCTAGTTTTGGCCGTCGCGTTGGAACGATGGGCGCGTGCGCTGACCTCAGCGCTCATCGACCAACGAGATCTCACGCAGCTTCTGTTCTTGATCCACCATTTGTTTAGGTAAGTAATAATTTGGGATAATCCATTGTCACTTAATATACAGACTTCATATAATATTATGTAGTCACAGCAAATAAACATGTTAAGAACTAAAAGTGTGACGGAATATTGGTGTTGATTCTAGCAAGATTCTCTCAACTTAAAAATTTTCACAACAGTGTATTATTGTCATTCTTAATGAAAAGGAGATACTGTTCTTAAATTTAGTTTTAAAGGACAATGCCAGAAGTTCTATAGAGGTTTAACCCACCCGATAAAAATGGTGTACACGAATGCGATAAATGATATTTCATAGCTGTAATATAAGGAATCAAAATAGTAAAGTTGTAAATTCTCTAGAAGCTGTGGTTATTGAATAATATACTTACAAAGTGTACAATTATCATGCGTTTCTGGAGCTGCAATTTGAGCAGAAAATTGAATTTTTTATAAATTATTCAACAGTGTCCGTATTGTAGCTGATAGTGTATAAACGACATACCTTTGTATTCTATCGACACATAAATAACAATTTATGCATCTCAACATGGTTCCAAATCACAAACGACAGTGTCGTCCAAATCCTTTTGTTTGACGGAAATGTCAATCAAAAGGATATCAATCCAGAATAACGTTTAGTTTCACATAGGTACTACTACTACATAATAATGTGTATGCGCATAAAAAATACAAGGTACTATAATCGTCAAACTTTTTTATAAACATAAATTAATTATATTTATAACCGAACTGCTTATTTTATCCATATTATTAAAAAAGAGAACGATATTTTTCATAAACTTGACTGGCATTTTATTGTTTGTCGTGAAACAAAACGCATATGCCATGTTTTCGTTCTTCTCCTAACGGAAACAGTAGATACAAATTATTTTAATATTTATTTCGTATCCGCCGCTTTTACAAAGTAATAATTAAATCGGTACGAGAAAAAAAGTCGTATATATTTTTTCATAAATTTAATATTACTGTATATGGTGGGTCAGAATCTGTCATTGTCATTTAGCAACTCATGCAAGAATCGAAACCATTGTGTTGTCATAACGTAATAGTTTATATTTATGTCAGTCCACCTGATAGATATATTGTTTTAAACTTTCATGGTCACTAACATTATAGCTATTAATGGGATTGTTACCATTTTATGAGTCTCCGATTTATATCAGTTACTCCGTGATCATGGCGCTCGCAACAGTGCCGAAATATCGGAGATTCATAAAAAACAAAGTACATGGTAACAATCCCGTTAATAGCTATAAAACCTGATAGATGTTTTGTTGTTGAAAACCCGACTGCACGCCCCTTATTGGGTAGTAGTATTTGTAAGTTATAAGTTTTCTTAAAATTTATCATTTATTGTGCAAGTTTTAAGAGAGGTAGGGCGTAACGGATTTTTCTCTCGAATAGGGTATTTGACAAGTTTAAGAAAACGGTCTCACGTGATTGACTAACATTTATGGAGTCCGTAAAAAGTGGATATTTATCATTCTGTTGTGTATTTCAGTAAAAATAACCAAATCAAAAACTGCATTTTAAAGTTGCTGCGAAAACGTTTATCTTGGCAATATGGCGTCTTACTAGTGTGAAGTGTTTTTTGTAAAAGTAGTAAAAACCCCTGCCAATATTCATTCTATACACAAATGCTAACATATGGCACTTTATTTATAACTAGCAAACCAGTGAACCAAATGTTCACCAAAACCTGATTTCTCGAAAACCGGAAGTGCTACGTTACTCAAATCCGGTTTGTAGTCTTATCAGACTATTCTTACCTTATAACTTAAATATTCTCTTTATCTATCACTTACGGTTTGGCCGCTGAAACAGCACCACAGACAGACGGACGGACTTGTCTAATAGATAAGAGATACTGTCAAATACCCTATTGGAATACCCGTCTGGGGAAGTAAACTGCACTTTACAGAAGACAACAGTTAATTAAGGTGCCAGGGCTCCACGGGGTAGCAGCTTGGGTCAGGGTAGCAAACGGCGCGAGTGATAATTTTTGTATAGCATCGCAAGCGCCTATAGGCTATGGTGGTCGCTTACCATCAGGCAGGCCAAATGCTTGTTTGCAACCCTTTTAAAATAAAAAAGTAAGTTTCTATTTTTCGTAATAACTTTCTACAAAGTATTAGAAAATGAAATCCGTGAAGTCGGTATTGCATCTAGGTCTGCGATATATAGTACGCCGGGTGACCGGTGCAGGAGTATTGTCTGGTTTTTAGTGGCCCTGTTCAGGGCTTTAGGTAGGGCCCTGCTCATTTCACCCGGCCCAAGGGCTGGCTCTAATGAGCAGGGAGGAGACCCACATACCTTATTCTCGCTCCCTCGGTGGGTGAAGGATACGTAAGGTGTGCGACCGTGTGATCGTGACAGCAAAATGTGCGCGTACTAGATAAGGCGATTTCGCCCATTTTTAAGTCGCCCTTTACCGCTGTTAGCTTAGGCGATATCAAACGCCATAAATAACCGTAATTTAAGTATCAATGGATCCACCTTGTTATTTTAAGACATTATCATATTTCTAACAAAATCATTTCATCGCATCTCCTTTCGCGGCCGGGAGCATGTACGGTGCGACCGTACATTTTTGCAAGTCCGCTGAGTCCGCAGTTTAATTAGGTCGACGCTATTTACGCCATTTACATGATTTAAAGAATAGTTACGTTTTCACCTATTGCACGGCGGACGTGTACTCAATATCAATTATATCATTTAATCATTTAATTTAGTATTACCAAATTAGATATCAAATCAATAAACTATAAAATTATATCAACTGTTTCTATTTATAATCAACATCTTAAGGTGTCCCGTACATAAGGTATTGCATATTATTTACTTATACTTTTTATTAAATTGTAGGCAGACCAGGTCGATACGATGGGCAGCCAGCATAATAACCGTGAGCTTGACTGACAGCATTAGCGCAGCGAAGGCGGTTGCTTTGTTAGATTTGCTGTTCGCGAGGACGAGGGTCGATTCCGCAATAGAATGCGTCGAAGGTAAGTCAAATCCATACTATCCATGCTAGAGATGCAGCGATATTCGTTTTAAATTCGGTATTCGTTTTACCGATATTCGTTACTGAAGTTCTGCAGTTTCTGTAAAACTAAAAAGAAATGTGTTTAAAAATGAAATCTACATTGAATGATGATTTGTAAGCAAATACGTGGATGTTCGTCTGTGTTTGTTTTAATTTCCCTAGAACAAGAACAACATCAAGTATCCAAAATATGCTTCAAAAAAATATTAATTGTAATGTTTATCTATCAGCAAGATAACAAGCTTCCCTCTTTGTATCCTAATTTTTAATTTTAACAAAACAATATTTATTATTATTTTAAAACATTTTGTACATTTAGAGAAAGCACGCGAAATATAGGTAACCTAATGTCGGTACATCGGCTGAACTTCGGCTACGGCACATATTTAAAACGAAAATTCAGCCGAATTCGACATTCTGCGCAACGCTAATCCATGCTTAATTTTTTAAATGCGAACGTGTGTCTGTCTGTTACCTCTTCAAGTGTAGAGCCATAAGGTCTTCTCTATATGGGACATGGAGCCCTGACCTACATGGCCTAGTGCGGAATGGTGGGTGTTAACATTGCTGATGCAATCGGGACCCACGGCTCAAAGTGCATTCCGAACCACAGAGGAGCTCGAAATGATATATATTTGCTCACCTATCCAATTAGCGGCCATTGAAAAAGTTACTTGTTAAAAACTAAGCACGAGGTCCGTCTGATAGTTTGTTAAAAATAAATACATCCACTTATGGTTTTTATAATAATGAATTCTTGACACCCACTACAGATAGAGAAGATGCGTGGGAAGAGGTAGACAAAGACGGGGGTGGGGGTGCTGTCAGCGACGGAAGCTTAAGAGAGAGAGATCTACTTGCTTTACTGCGAGCGCTGCCTCTTAGGGATCTAGTTGCCACGCTGCTGCGCTTGCATCCGGTCAGTATATTAGACAGAGACCCCCACAGCTTGAGAGAGAGAGAGAGAGATCTACTCGCCTTGCTGCCTCTCAGGGATCTAGTCGCCACACTACTGCTCTTACATCCGGTCAGTATATTAGACAGAGGCTCCCACAGCTTGAGAGAGAGAGAGATCTACTCGCCTTACTGCCTCTCAGGGATCTAGTCGCCACACTACTGCGCTCGCATCCGGTCAGTATATTAGACAGATACTCCCACAGCTTGAGAGCCAGAGAGATTTACTCGCCTTACTGCCTCTCAGGGATCTAGTCGCCACACTACTGCGCTTACATCTGGTCAGTATATTAAACAGAGACCCCCACAGCTTGAGAGAGAGAGACATATCTAATTGTCTTACTGCCTCTCAGGGATCTAGTCGCCACACTACTGCGCTTACATCCGGTCAGTATATTAGACAGAGACCCCCATAGCTTGAGAGAGAGAGAGAGATCTGCTCGCCTTACTGCCTCTCAGGGATCTAGTCTCCACACTACTGCGCTTACATCCGGTCACTATATTATTAGACAGTGACACCCACAGCTTGAAAGCCAGAGAGATTTACTCGCCTTACTGCCTCTCAGGGATCTAGTCGCCACACTACTGCGCTTACACCTGGTCAGTATATTAAACAGAGACCCCCACAGCTTGTGAGAGCGAGATCTACTCGCCTTTTTGCCTCTCAGGGCTATAGTCGCCACACTACTGCGCTCACATCCGGTCAGTATATCAGACAGAGACCCCCACAGCTTGAGAGAGAGAGAGATCTACTCGCCTTACTGCTTCTCAGAGATCTAGTTGCTACCCAACTGCGCTTACATCCGGTCAGTATATTAGACAGAGATCGCGCGTGCTGCAGCGTCCGCACGCTGCTGCACACACTATCCCGTGCAATAGCAACGCACGCGCGGTTCTCGCGGCAGCACCGCTCACTAACCGAATTGGAGTGGCGAATGGCCGTCCATAGAATGAATAACTAAAAATTTATGATCTTGAACTTAGGTCGTGGGACAGCCGCGTAGTTACCGCTGGGAGGGCGCCGACGGGCAGGGTTTGATTCGCGCGTGCTGCGGCGTCCGCACGCTGCTGCACACGCTGTCGCGCGCTATGGCAGCGCACGCGCGGTACTCGCGGCTGCAGCGGGCGCTGAGCGAAGTGGCACGGAATGCGCTGCACGCGCTGGCAGCGCTTGACTGGCAGCTTGACGATCCTGCTGGGTACGTTTTAGAGCTAGAACACATTACAACTAATCGCGTCGTCGTGCAACAATTGCTCTTACGTAACACTTAAGATGATCACAATCACAACTGTAATTATTTAGACACATATGGATTTAGTGGATGCTGTTGCATTCCTCCCCTTTCGATACTTCGAACTTTCGCCACCTACAATGCGAAGGGATGGCGCTGCCGCTTAAGAATTTCGACGCGAACGTCAGGGCCGCGGTAGCATAATTGGTCAGTGCATTCGCCCGGATAGCGAAGGGTGCGAAACAGTTTAAAGAATGTTTGTGTCTGAATTACGTAAAAACTTGCGAACGGTAAAATTTGATTCACAGATGGCTTATTTATCTGAATGATCATAGTATAAATAATTATCACAAAATAAATTATTGTTTTCCTAGGAACCCTTACTCCCCTGATTTGGAAAGGAAATTGCTCGGCGAGTTACAAGCCGTATTCCTTAGCGGTCTCGAAGTGTTGCCCAGTGAGATGCACGAGGTGCCCGCCTCTCTTCTAGTGTCGCACGCGGCCAGAGAATACTGCTACGGACACATGCTCGCCGTGGAGAAGCATGATGGTAAGTATTACTTATTATATAATTTCTAGAGATTTCTTTCCATATGGTAATGTTTCTTAGTCGTCTCTAGTAATGGTCCTTAGTGGTCTCGAAGTGTTGTCCAGTGAGATGTACGAGGTGCCCGCCTCTCTTCTAGTGTCGCACGCGGTCAGAGAATACTGCTACGGACACATGCTCGCCGTGCAGAAGCATGATGGTGAGAATTACGTATTATTTAATTTCTAGAGATTTCCTGCCATATGGGAATGTTCCTTAGTGGTCTCGGAAGTGTTGTCCAGTGAGATGCATGAGGTGCCCGCCTCTCTTCTTGTGTCGCACGCGGCCAGAGAATACTGCTACGGACACATGCTCGCCGTAGAGAAGCATGATGGTGAGAATTACTGTTTATAGAATGTCTAGAGATTCCTTGCCATATGGTAATGTTCCTTAGTGGTCTCGAAGTGTTATCCAGTGAGATGTATGAGTTGCTCGCCTCTCTTCTATTATCGGACGGGGTCGGAGAATACTGCTACAGATGCTCGCCGTGGAGAAGCATGATGATGAATATTACTATAAAAAGTCTAGAGATCTTTAGCTATTTGTTATTTGGTAGTGTTCCTTAGCGGTCCCGAAGTGATGCCCAGTGAGATGCATGAGGTGCCCGAGTCTCTTCTTGTGCCGCACGCGGCCAGAGAATACTGCTACGGACATATGCTCGCTGTGGAGAAGCATAATGGTAAGTATTACTGTAGTACCTAAGTCTAGAGATTTCTTGCCATTTGGTACAAAATACTTCAGGTACAAAATTGGGCAGAGTTGTACGGGGAAAAGAATGGATCCTTTAGGGTGATGAAGGCAAGCGCGGGAATTGAACTCATTGAATTGAAACCTGCGCATAGTTGCGCTTGCTGTTAATTTCACAGCTGTAAAGTTTGGATATTAATGTCCTCATTATTGGAGCGTAGGCATCCCTATGGGTGAATAAGGGACATTGGGCCATTACATAGTAATTACTTTAGGCTAATTAGTATAAGGCTGAATGTATAAAACTCTAGTTATACATTCAGCCTAAGTGCTTGGCCACGGAGACGGACTAGGAGCGGTTGCGGGTGGCGGCAGCGGTTGGCTTATTAAACAAATGTATGAGAATGTATGAAGTATGCCACGACTCACGCGCGGCGGGCTAGAGCGGCTGCGGCTGGCGGCGGCGTTTCGGGACAGCGGTAGCGGGACAGCCGGGCGGGTGGAAACAAAGCTATGGGCTAGTTTGCGCATGGCCACGGTGCACAGCGGTTTTTCGGGCGGTTGAAAACGGCTAGCGTGGGACGGATCGAGTCAAACAAAAATTTTTGGACGAATCCACGAGCGGCAGCATTTTATTATGGACACCGAAGCATTTATTACACAAATATTAAACCGACCATCTATATGGATGTCTAAGCATCCATAACACAAGTATAATAATGTAATTAAAAGACTATTTAATTAAATAAATAAGATCAGGACAATAAGTTTTATTAGATAATACGTAATTACTAATAAGTAGGTACAAGTATAGTATAGTATTCGCCATAAAATACGGACTGCTGTCAAGGCAACTACACATCACTTTAGTTAGAGCCATCCTCAATACGTCCACTTTAGTCAGCCGCTGTAGCCGTTACTGAATGTACGTAGCATGCCACCCGCACCCGCAGAAGTCACCCGCACCCGCAGAAGTCACCCGCACCCGCAGAAGTCACCCGCACCCGCAGAAGTCACCCGCACCCGCGCTTAGCCTAGCCCATCTACGTGGCCAAGGCGTAAGGGGGCGCACGCATTCTTAATTTAAACTAGATTTGTAGCGCTTCCCATAAAATTTTCTGCTGATCGTGTTTGTTTTCTGGATTTCAGGAAAGTCAGAAAACACTTCTTTTTTGGCTAGCTACTTTGTTTAATTACAATTATTTTCCCATGAGTGAAGATAAAGTAGTGTATGCAACTGCATATAATATAGATTAATATCTATTGATAATTAATAATTTAATAATAACTCGAGTCTAGCTATTATCAGACTAAAATAAACAAATATATAAAAAACGGACTCTCGTGTTTAAATACCCCTTCTACAGTCACATAAACTATTATTACCATACAGCTAGCAGTACTGTAATACGTTTTATTTTTATAAAGTGCGTCTTTATAAAACCATCTTTAAATTCGTAATTCTAATATTTCGACATGAGTGTAGATAAAACAATTTGTATGTTGTAGAGTGTTTCTCACACCGCGTGGAGTCACTGTCTCTGGACTTGCCTCGTGCTTCGTGCGATATGCGCGTGCGCGTTGTGTCGCACGCGGCCTTGCGCAGACGCAACGACTACGAGCTCGCGCGAATGGTGTTGGAGTTTCTCTTCCAAGTATGTTGCACTGTATTATTGATATCGTAGTGGTTCTTAAGGGTGAAATAAGATTCATAGCTTAACTCATCAGTTTTCTAAAGTGTATAAATGATTGTAATTTTTGACGTGGCAACGTCATGTAATTCGATGGAGCCGGCTGCACGCACGAAAAAACATGACTCATGCGGCGATACTTCGCTCTAAGGCGTTCCATTTAAGGCTTGAAGTGCAAGCGAGAGTGCGTAACGAGCAACAAAGAGGCACAATCGGCCTCCGCGTTCGGCAGCGTTTGACATCTGTCTCTCTCCTGCTTGAGTGAGCGATGCGTCCGCGTGGACAGCTGCCATACAATAATACATTTACATGCTTTCGTCAAGTATGAAGTGCAGTGAAAAGTGAATGTGTTGTCAATTGTTATAGCAACGATAATTGCGGCGATAAAGGTAATGATATCACACATGTTTAAAAGTTTTAGAACAATTGCTCAAAGCACATTCATACTTGTAAAAACTATGTATGTACATTGTGAAAAAACGTTGTCACGTTCAACTATTGTCAGTAAACCGACTTTACAGACAATCGATTTTTTTTTCTTGCCCATGGTCCACCTTATATGGTGTGTTTCTTTGTATGTAAGCGAATTACACTCATGACAGCCCAAATAAACGATTTTTAATTTAGATTTGTTCATGCCTTTGAAAGGTCGGTGTGAGACGAGGCAAAGTCTCAATTGGGTGTAAGGGCGCGTGCAGGCAGGCTGCGCAAGAGTGTATGTCGGCGTTGTTGACCGCGCATCCGTATCTACACGCCTTTGCTTTACATCTCGTGGCGGAAACCAATCCAGGTAATTATTACAGGGTCGAGATGAATAAATCGCCTTCTATACGTTTATGTAATGAAGTAATTGGATAATTAAAAAAAATATATCTTAATTTAAACTCATTAGAAAATATCATTGTACAGATACCTATTATCTACTATCGAATCAGGCAAAGGAGGCTTAGAACAAAAGTTTATGACATTTTCCCCTCTTACTACTTTTACAAACCTTGTGACTTATTTAATCATATTGAATAATGCTGTTTACTATAGTTTTAAAGCCGCGTGTTCCCCTTTATTAATTATATATATATTTTGTTTTTAGTGGAGAAATTAGACGCTGCGTCCATAGAGTGTTTATCGATTAGCAAATGGCGGCCGCAGAGCGGTGAAGTGATCGTAGTGTTGAATGCGTGGGCGCAGCGGTGCCCGATGTTATTGCCTACGCTTCTGTCGCTACTGGACTGCACTCCACATGAGTACGTATTTGAACTTGTAGCTTGTATTGTAGCTAACAGTTTTCAAATTAAATTTGATAAGTTTGACTGGAAAATTGTCGTCTATAACTACAAGTATATAAAACCATTTTTTTGACGATTCTTAAGAATTGTACTATGCATCACATTTTAATAAAGACATATTGACTTTGATTTGATTATTAACTTAGAGGAGCTCGAGATAATACATTTTAAGTTACTCATACCAGCTATTGCGAAATTGGTGTAACTTCTGCGATCACAGATCGCTAACCACTTGCGTCATCGAGCTCCGCGATAAAGACAAAAAACTTAGGATAAAATATATGATTTCTGTTTCTGTGACCACAATCCTTGGAAAGAAAGAAAAACATTTTATTGACCTGCACAGCATGAAATAAAAAAAAAGGTATTAAAATAAATCATAATTATAAAAATAGCAGAAAAGGACGACTTAGGATCGCTATAAAAGATTGTTTAAACATTGCTAAACGTTGTTTCAGAGGCGTATCTTTGGAAAGTCAGTTGACCATAGGTACTTGGTTATGCGACTACGTGACCAGTCGTATTGGAGACGGCGATGAATGGTGTTGGAGTACGTTGCGTCGATTACGTTTACATCGTACGTACTGGGCGTTGTCTATGGAAACGGGGGCCCCTGAGGGGAAGCCGGTACATCTGTTCTGTCAAGCTTACGCTCTGGCCGCTAGGAGTTGGGGACATTCTATACCGATGGTGAGTTAAAAACATTGTTTCAAGAACGTCGTAACTTCTCGTTTTAAAAAATATTATATGATTAAGCCTAGCCCCAAAGTAAGCACTGTAAGGCTTGTGTTTTGGTATACTAGGGTGATTGATGAGAATACAAATGATGATACATCGATAGGTTTATTTTAGTATATATATATATATATATATAGCCATGACTTGTTTAATTTTGGGATCCATTTCAAAAGAAAATTTACATTTCAATAAGGTAGAATTGTCCAGATCAATAAAGCATTAAAATGTCAAATCATTCCGAATATTATGTAGATTCCAAATTCCATTTAAGGTTTTAAATTTAAACACATGAATGCTCTTATTCATCATATAACCCACTATCAGATCGTTCTATCACTCTTTAGTTGATAGGTTTCCTTCTTTTCAAAGTAACTATGCTTATCAGGAAGTATGTAGAAGCTATTTTTTTCCTTGTAGATCTGCTCTGAGGGTGTGGAGGCTTTGTATGCTCTGGCTTCTGCGCGTACGCAAGACGCACTGCACTTTTTATCTCCTATAATGTTGGTGCTGGCTAATTCGCCCGAGTCCGTTTCCACTACGCCCAGGTATGAATATTTCTAACATTCACGCCAATCAGCCCAGCCCCAAAGTAAACAATGTAAGGCTTGTATTATGGGATACAAGGGTAACGGATAGATACATATAGTAATATAATCCACGACATACATACGAATGCTAACGTTAGCCCCATCGGGATTCGAACCCTCACTCCATTCAAACACCTTTGAATAGGTGACACCTTGATAGCAATATTTTTAGTATTACGTTTGGCTAACAAAAAGAAAACCAAATCTCATAGGATCCGATGATTTCGTTCTCTGTCTGTTTATCAAGACACCATCTTCTCAGCAAGAAGACAAGCAGGTTTCGAATTGAAATTCACTTCGAAACTCATCGAATAATACCATATACTTTGACACTTGCAGGGGAATCAAAACCAGTATTATACGTTGATTAAGATCTATGAAATTTCAGACATATTTTGTCTTCTGTATGGAGGAATCATTAGGGATATTGGTCCAAGATTCACTACGCGAGCCCCGTGCAGATCAGTACCCTTAGTACGAGTTTGAGCTCACAAAAACTATCATAGTTTTCGTAATGGTAAATTATGTTTCTATGTCCATTTGAAAAGGTGAATTAGTAAAAAGTAACCAAATATAGATATAATATAATATAGCCGCAGAACTGACGGCCGATGGAGCCGTAAAGTTCTTGAGTGGAGACCGCGACTCGGTAAACGTAGTGTGGGACGCCCTGAGACAAGATGGGATGATGACATTCGTAGGCTGGCTGGCGTGAGCTGGATGAGAGTGGCAGAAAATCGGGAGCAGTGGCGTGCATTAGGGGAGACCTATGTCCAGCAGTGGACGAGCATGGGTCGATGATGATGATGATGAACCAAATATACTTAAAATTTAAGAAGACGCAAATGATTTAATGAAAGAATTTAAACACTGTTCATTTGTAATTGAAACGAAAACAATAAAATCAGTAACCTTAGTACGAGTGCGAGCTCACGAAAACTATCATAGTTTTTGTAATTATAATACTCGTACTAAGGGTACAGAGGGTGCTTACGACTGTAGTTGCAGCCGGGACTAACGGCTTAACTTGCAGAAAAAATCGAGATCATGAATTTTACGATTCCCATCATATGAACAACCGTAGGGTATGTTGCTGAACTTCCACTCTAAGAGACACTTCTTTAAGGGAGGTAGGGCATAGCTGATTTTCTGTTCGAATTGGAGCGCCCGTTTGGGGAAGTAACCGCCACCTTATAGAAGACTATCTGTGCCCCGCGGTGTTACCCGCGGTTTGTTAGGGATATTTTCCCGCTGTAAAACGTAGCCTATGTGTTAATAGGGTGTCAGCTAACTCCATGCCAAATTTTAACAAAACCGCTCCAGCCGTTTAGACGTGAAGAAGTAACAAACATACACACTCACACACTCACAAACTTTCGCCTTTATAATATTAGTGTGATTAGTGTGATAACTAGTTAAGATAATTAGTAAAATAACTCTACCTTTCCACGGCGTAAAGGATTGGGTCAAGGTAGGCATTTGCGCGAGTGACATTTTTGGTATGGCAAGCGTCTATAGGCTATGGTGGCTGCTTACCATAGGCGAGCCATACTCTTGTTTGCCACCTCTCAAACATAAAAACACCCTAGTTGATTACAAAATGTATGTAGGTTCAGGGATTTGTTCACGTTGCTCATGAACGCGGGCCCGGGGCTTATGCAGCGCGCCCTGGGCCGCGGCGGAGCTCCCGGTGCCGACCACCTGCTGCGACTGATGACGCAACAACTCGAAAAGGAACAGTGAGTTCAGGATTTAGTTCACGTTGCTCATGAACGCGGGCCCGGGGCTTATGCAACGCGCCCTGGGCCGCGGCGGAGCTCCCGGTGCCGACCACCTGCTGCGACTGATGACGCAACAACTCAAGAAGGAACAGTGAGTTCAGGATTTAGTTCACGTTGCTTATGAACGCGGGCCCGGGGCTTATGCAACGCGCCCTGGGCCGCGGCGGAGCTCCCAGTGCCGACCACCTGCTGCGACTGATGACGCAACAACTCAAGAAGGAACAGTGAGTTCAGGATTTAGTTCACGTTGCTTATGAACGCGGGCCCGGGGCTTATGCAACGCGCCCTGGGCCGCGGCGGAGCTCCCGGTGCCGACCACCTGCTGCGACTGATGACGCAACAACTCAAGAAGGAACAGTGAGTTCAGGATTTAGTTCACGTTGCTTATGAACGCGGGCCCGGGGCTTATGCAACGCGCCCTGGGCCGCGGCGGAGCTCCCAGTGCCGACCACCTGCTGCGACTGATGACGCAACAACTCAAGAAGGAACAGTGAGTTCAGGATTTAGTTCACGTTGCTTATGAACGCGGGCCCGGGGCTTATGCAACGCGCCCTGGGCCGCGGCGGAGCTCCCAGTGCCGACCACCTGCTGCGACTGATGACGCAACAACTCAAGAAGGAACAGTGAGTTCAGGATTTAGTTCACGTTGCTTATGAACGCGGGCCCGGGGCTTATGCAACGCGCCCTGGGCCGCGGCGGAGCTCCCAGTGCCGACCACCTGCTGCGACTGATGACGCAACAACTCAAGAAGGAACAGCGAGTTCAGGATTTAGTTCACGTTGCTTATGAACGCGGGCCCGAGGCTGCGACTAATGACGCAACAACTCGGCTGCGACTAATGACGGCTGATGACGCAACAACTCAAGAAGGAACAGTGAGTTCAGGATTTAGTTCACGTTGCTTATGAACGCGGGCCCGAGGCTGCGACTAATGACGCAACAACTCGGCTGCGACTAATGACTAATGACGGCTGATGACGCAACAACTCAAGAAGGAACAGTGAGTTCAGGATTTAGTTCACGTTGCTTATGAACGCGGGCCCGAGGCTGCGACTGAACACAAAGAAGAACGGTGAGTTTTTATTACTATGCCATAGGTTCAGGATTTAGTTCACGTTGCTTATGAACGCGGGCCCGGGGCTCATCACCTGCTGCGGCTGATGACGCAACAACTCAAGGAAGAACGGTAGGTCTTTATCACTATGGCGTAGGTTCAGGGATTTGTTCACGTTGCTTATGAACGCGGGCCCGGGGCTCATCACCTGCTGCGGCTGATGACGCAACAACTCGAGGAAGAACGGTAGGTCTTTATTACTATGCCGGAGGTTCAGGATTTAGTTCACGTTGCTTATTAACGCGGGCCCGGGGCTCTTCACCTGCTGCGGCTGATGACGCAACAACTCAAGGATGAACGGCGAGTCTTTATTACTATGCCGGAGGTTCAGGATTTAGTTCACGTTGCTAATGGATGCGGGCCCGGGGCTCTTCACCTGCTGCAGCTGATGACGTAACAACTCAAGGAAGAACGTTGAGTCTTATTTCTAGACGCTTTGAATTCAATTTTCTATGCTACTTGTTTTTTATTGATGTATAATCAAATCATGCCGTAGCAATAGATTGTAAAAGCATGTTTGCTTAGTAATCGTCCATTTCTTTGTAGGTTAACGAGATCAACATTCTTTGGATGGAATTTGATTTTTGTTCCTTTCATCAAATTTGAGCAACCTTACATAAATTCTGTTATTTGTGCATGAGAAGCTTATGTTTAATTTAGGTTAGCTTACATGTTAGATAACCTATTAATTGTAGTTATATTTTTATCTTTTTAAGCATTTAACTGCTTGATGTTTAAATCTAAAGAAAATTTTACTAGAAAAAAAAACCAAGCGGACCGGGCAGCAGACGGGAGTCGAACCATAAAATAGGGTCTTAGTTATTAAACCACTTTACTCTTAGGTGTGGTAGGGGTTTGGATTAGGGGCCATTTAAAAGATATTGCTCATATTTCTCAGTCTTGTGGTCCGAATATTCAGCGTTTAAAGCATGAATTTTTTTGGACAATGTGGTTACCATTAACGTTACAAATACCAATTAATTTGAAGTGAATGTTGTTATGGAAATAATTCTATATTACCATTGTTTGCTCATCATAAGTTAATAAGATTGACGCATCTGACTTGGTGGGGATTTATGATAAAAAGTGGCTCCGCATTTACTAACAGTTACGCATAATATGCGTGGTTTGCTTGTGGTTGAGGGTTTGCATGTGTTTACAGTGGGAAAATGAGATCTTCGACAAGGAAATGGCTCGAGAGTTGGCGGTCGATTCAGGAAGCGAAGCGGATGAAGCCGACCTCCTGACCAACGATCAGCTTCGTGATCTCCTCGAGGTTTCGCCTGAAGAGGAAACCGAGGCAGAACAAGACATCACAGATTATGAATTTTCATGGAGTTCTGATTACTCCACTTTCACCGGCCAACGAGAGACGTTTTCAGAAGATGTTGGTCCCACCATTGACGAAACTTCGCCGATTGGCATATTTCGTCAAATGTGGGACCAACATATTCTAGAAACGATAGTTAACCAGACAAATTTATATGTCTGGCAAACAATTGCCCAGGCTTCCGAAGCTGATATACCGGCGCGATCGAAATTAAACGATTGTTTTGAGACATCGGTTTCGGAAGTCTACCGGCTTTTCGCCATCATGATTTTAATGGGCTTATGCGTTAGAGGCCACATCGACGAGTACTGGCAGACTGGAATAATGGGTATGCCAGGGTTTCGGGCCATAATGGCTAGGGATAGGTACCTCATTCTAATGAGGTTTCTTCATTTTGTCGACAACGACGAAATCGTCGGACGAGGTGATGAAAAAATAATTGCCAAAATTCACCCCGTGATACAATATCTAAACTTAAAGTTCCGTGTACTATACCGTCCTTCCAGGAATTTAGCGATTGACGAATCGCTACTTCTCTGGAAGGGACGGCTCAGCTGGGTCCAGTGCATCCGCACAAAGGCGGCCCGGTTTGGTATAAAGACGTATGAGCTGTGCGAGTCAGTCACTGGATACGTCTTAAATACAGTCATTTATACCGGGAAAGGCTCAACTCGCGAGCCGAAATTCGTTACAGGTTTTGTGAGCAGCACTGCCAAGATAGTGTTGAATTTAATTCAAAACTATCTTGGCAAAGGCTACACTGTCTTTATGGACAACTTTTATAATTCAGTGGAGCTGTGCCGCTACTTGAAGTCACGCGCTACTGACGTGGTCGGAACGCTGAACCGACGCCGACAAAATACGCCGGCGATCATAAAGGACCTCAACGAATGCCGGGTGGCTCGTGGTGCCGTGGAAAGTACACACTGTGGTGACGTTTCCGTAACTTCGTGGAAAGACGTTAAGCTTGTCACCACAGTGTCTACTTTCCGAACAGCGTAGTGGAAGGGCGCAGAGCCGGTCAACCATGCACGAAGCCGGCCGTAATAAGCGATTACAATAGGTACATGGGTGGTGTACCTGTACCTGTTCGAACGCAAAAGAGGTACCAAATGGTACCTGAAAATGTTCCGGAGGATGCTCAATGTTAGCATCCTCAATGCTTATATAATTCATTGTGCTAACATTGAGTCGGCAGGTCAACAGAGTCGGAAACTGACCCACCGGCAATTTAGGTATGCACTAGCTACAGAGATACTGGAGGAATGTGGTGTGACATCTAGGCCACGCCAGGACACTGGCTCCCGAACCTTGGTGAGGCTCAACAGAGAGGTAGACCACTTCCCTGTCACTGCACTTAAAGACGGGAACGTACTTCAAACAAGGCCAGCAAGCGCAAAAGGGGACGTTGCGTGCGCTGTCTGGCTGGAAGCAAAAACACATTCACCAGTATATCCTGTAGCCAGTGCAAAACTTATTTATGCCTCGACCAATGTTGGCGTGACTATCACACCTTGGAGGATTTAAGAGACTAAAAACTTCACACTTTTTGTTCTAGTAAACTTTTCTTTAGATTCAACATCTAGCAGTTAAATGCTTAAAAAATAAATAAAATCATAACTATAATTGCTATTTCTTCTTTCAAATGTTTAATGTGTCGTGTGAGGCGGGTCGTTACGTTCCCTAAAAAAATGGTTGAGCGAAGCGATGGCTGGTTCATGCGTCATGCTCGTGAACGGGTGCTGCCAGCGGAGATGAGTCTGCTCTTGCTACATTGGGTACTATTAATCGTTGTATTTAACTTTAATGGTACATTTGTTTTTATGCCTAAACAGTAGGACACGGCATTCCTAAACTTTTTTATTTTTAAATCTGTTTTTTATATTTTTTATTTTATAGTCATAATTGTTTTATCATTTACATTTGTAATGGAAAGTGACTTCATGAGTTATCTCATATTGAAGTCATTTTTCAAATTGACGACTCTGTATATAATACAGGGAGAAAAAAACAGCCCTTGCTGAGTTTCTTGCCGGTTCTTTCAGTACAAGGTCTCCCGCCGTAGATTTGCGAACCGATGGCGTAGCTTTTCGACATTCACAAGTTGCCTAGACTGAATAAACGATTTTGAATTTTTAATACTTGAAAAAGTATTCATTTGACATTGTGGGTTACCTACAATGCGAAGAGATGGCGCTGCCTTGCAGCTTAAGGCTAGGAAAATTTCGACGCGGCTAATAGGGCTGTGGTAGCATAATGGTCAGTGCATTCGCCCGGATAGCGAAGGATGCGGGTTCGAGTCCCGTCCGCTGCCTGGTCCGCGTGGATTTTTTTTCTAGTAAACTTTTCTTTAGATTTAACATCTAGCAGTTAAATGCTTAAAAATTAAATAAAATCATAACTTCACATAATTTTAAAATGTTATTGTTTGCGTGTAAATGTTATTTAATATTTGTAATAGATAAAATGCATCACCTCTACCATGTAGTTTTATTAGAGTGATGAGTGAGTGAGAGGAAGAAATCAAAAATATTTATTGATCACATGTATATGTAATAGTATATTTAGAGATATTACACTTGAACTATTGGATTTGGGGGGAGGGGGGTAATATAATAATTCAAAACCTTCACACCACACACTGTAAGATCTCTAAAGTAATAACATTTGATAAAACTGGTTTCATACATTTTTACACTATTTATAACACAATAAAATTCTTAATATATTTTTGAGCCACAGACTGAATAAAGTAAGATAAATACTCACAAAATGAACACGCTATATAATAGTGCAGATCTGCTCCTAAGTAGATAACGGTTCTTCCGTTCGTGCAGATCTGCACTTTCCGCAGCAGATACCACTCGGTACACGCACACATGCGTAGAATGAGTGAAGTACGAGGAAGAAGTACATTTAGGAATGTTATCACCGAAACCTAAATATTTTTGTATTGAGCTATGATTTAGAATGTCAGATCGATATAGTTGAGTTTGGCTACTTTATCATTCAGTCATTTCCATAACCTAAATACGTCTAAAAATACTCGAAATTTGCCAATGAAAACGGGCCTTTCAAAACTTGAAAAATTGCGTACTGATTCCCTTATTTGTCGAAAAATTTAGTTATTTATGTAATATCTTTACATTATAAGGATAGAATAATATATATTTGACTAAAATAAGTGAAAGCTAATGCTTTATGCGGCGTGAGTAAGTATTATGAGTGATGGAAAGTGCGGTCTAAATGAGTAGCAAAATGGCGAGTTTTTGGAGTGTAAGTGTAATTTTTAAAACAGTTTATTTATATGAATAAATACTTGAAACATCCTATTTTTTGCAAAAATCTATTGTTTTGTTATTCAACTTTGAAAAGATTGTAAATGAAAAGCACAAGTATTCGTATAATTTATTCAAATCGCATTTATGCTACCTTAGGTGCATAAATAGATTTTGTCTACGTTTCCTGTTAAAAATAAAAAGGTTGAAACAATTTCTATAGGAAATTACTAAAAAAGAATGTACATCGCCTATCTATAATTGAAATAAAATATTTAGCTGCATGTCGACCGACCAATTTCTTCAAGTTATTAAATAAATTTCAAACCGCGTCGAACGCGCGCTTCGGTTGCGCAATCGTCCCGCAGACGGGGTATTTTAGGCGGAGGCTTTCCCGCAGCTGAAGGGTTAATCAAACGTTGTGGGTACACAGTTGCGGCGGCGTGAGTCGCGGCTCGGTGGCTGCCGTGTGGACCGCAGCCCTGTGGGGGGTGGCGGGAGGGGAGGCTCTGCTCGACGCCGCTCTACTCGCCGCCCCGGTGCCGTACCTTCTGCGACATCTTACTACATTAGCGCGGGCGCAGGTGTGATAATAATAATAATAAATCAGCTTAATTTTCTCCATAACCATGTTGTGCTTAAAAATAAAATAACGATGTTTTATTTGTTTCCTAGGTTTTCATGCACATCACTCATTAAATAAAACTAGTTTTTACGGGTTAATGCACGCAACTTTATTTATTTATTGACGTTTCGTAGCCTTTACAGGCTACGTCGTCGGAATCAAACTTTTATTTAATTTGTCGAGCTACCTTCGAAAGACTTTTAGTGAGCGTTCGGTTACACTAGCGAGCACACACTGCAAGACCAACAGATACTATTAGTTCCTTTTGTTTGCATAATTTAACATAAGAAGGAGATAGAAAGCCTCTCTTGAGTTTGTTTCGCCGGTTCTTCTCAGAAAGGTCTCCCAATTTTGGAACCAGTGGTAGTTTACGGTAGTTAGGGTCAAATAAATAAACTCAAAATTACAAAAAAAAATTTTAATTAAAATACTTTAACCCGTAAAAGCTACTTTTATTTAACGATGTTATGACAAAAATTTGGCTACAGAGACTGGTGCCGGAACTAAGGTTTTACAGGTCACCAGGCCTCCACAGCCCGGCCGAATTTAGTGTTGTTTACACTATTCTTGCTAAGCCTTCATATTTTTATTTCATAATTTAATTTATATCAGTTTACCTGTGGTAGTTTGTGTTGTGCATGTGTGAAGTTTTTGCTCAGCCATTTTTTTTTCAATATAATTTCTATTTACTTAAAAGTATTAGTGGGAATAAATATTCCTCACACTCGCACCAATCTGCATAGCGCCTCAGTAATCACTGTAAACCTTGTTTTATTTGTGGGATATTATATATATTTTTGTAAAAATAATAAATATAAACCCAGTGAACTAGGACTTCTAGTAAAAGTATAAGCGATATTTTGTTTGTTTGAGACTAGCGGCCGCGCGCGGCTTTGTCCGCGTTAAAGTTAGTTTTTCAGAAAGTATCGTATTATGTTTCAATCTGGATTATATGCTATATATGCTCAATTTCTTTTAGATCCGTTTCGCCGTTTTAGCTTAGTAAAAGTAACAAACAACCACAATGTGGATTCCTCACATATCCATAAAAACTTTCGCATTTTTATTATTGATGGGTGTTACGTGCAAAATGCCTTTCTCATTAATGAAATGGGTCTTTATATTATAGATTTATTTTCTACAATTACACCTTTAATTGAATGGCACCACTATGTCCTACTAGACAGTGGGACTACTGGGATTTTATTATTGAACCTATTGGACAGGATGAAGAGTCTCGACAGCAGTTAATAGCGGCCACAAAGTGGTACGCGCATGCGCCCTTGTTATGCGAGAGCGCATTGTGCGCGTTCCATATGGAATTCGAGCTGCGCACGCACATATTCCCGCGCCTTTTGGACGCACTGCACGCGCAACGTATAACCAATCAGAGGATACACGTCGACAACGCGCTTAAGGTACGAATATTTACTGTAGTTGATTATATTTTTTTATTTTAACTTATTTTAAATAATAGAAAAATGGCAGACACAGTTCGCTCTTAAAAGCGTCAAATAAAATAGGCTCCGACTTAACTAAACTACATAAGCTACTGTCACACACGCACACATCTTTAAATAAACACTCAATCGAGCGAGTGAGACAGAACAGTACCCTTAGCACGAACCAATATCGAATTCGTATCGTTTGTGAGTCCGAAATGTCATTGTCGTCAACGCAGCACGAGCGAGTCGGCGAGTCCGCGTGGCTCTTTCTCTATCTACAAACTGCTGAATTGTATTGTTGTCTTTTTCTGGATAACAAATAGCAAATATATGCAAATAACTTCATTTCAGGAAAAATGTTTTTTTAAGTATTACGATTGACATTTGTTAGTTGTTCTTGAACATTTGTGCACTATTAAAAAGCGTCAAAGACATCGTATTACCTTTTTATCAAAGTATATCCGCAATATTGTTTTATGAGTGCACAATCGGCGATTTTGCTTATTGTGACTAAAGCGAATTGTGTGTATGCAACTTATTTTAGCGGTACACTTTATTGATGCGAGTGCCATATCTTCCCTTTTCGATAAAATCTAAGCATTTTAAGCAATATCTGTTAAAAAAAAACTATTTTAAGTTTCAGAGTAATTAAATATTTTATGTTTAAGATATATTATAGTTTATATGTCGTGCAGTCACTCGGCGCCGCCGTAACTTTCACCTCAGACCAGCTGACGATATACGGAGCGGCGGCGGCGACATTAGCCTCGCCCGTATCTCACCCCTCTAGTCTGCATCTGTGGCGATTGTTGATGCACCTGTACCTACAACGACCGCCCTCCACTGCGTAAGTATATTATAGCTTATATGTCAGTAACTTTCAGCTCAGACCAGCTGACGATATACGTAGCGGCGGCGGCGACATTAGCCTCGCCCGTATCTCACCCCTCTAGTCTACATCTGTGGCGATTGTTGATGCACCTGTACCTACAACGACCGCCCTCCACTGCGTAAGTATATTATCGCTTATATGTCAGTAACTTTCAGCTCAGACCAGCTGACGATGTACGGAGTGGCGGCGGCGACATTAGCCTCGCCCGTATCTCACCCCTCTAGTCTGCAACTGTGGCGATTGTTGATGCACCTGTACCTACAACGACCGCCCTCCACTGCGTAAGTATATTATAGCTTATATGCCAGTAACTTTCAGCTCAGACCAGCTGACGATATACGGAGTGGCGGCGGCGACATTAGCCTCGCCCATATCTCACCCCTCTAGTCTACATCTGTGGCGATTGTTGATGCACCTGTCCCTACAACGACCGCCCTCCACTGCGTAAGTATATTATAGCTTATATGTCAGTAACTTTCAGCTCAGACCAGCTGACGATATACGGAGTGGCGGCGGCGACATTAGCCTCGCCCTTATCTCACCCCTCTAGCCTGCATCTGTGGCGATTGTTGATGCACCTTTATCTACAACGACCGCCCTCCACTGCGTAAGTATATTACAGCTTATATGTCAGTAACTTTCAGCTCAGACCAGGGGGCCATTTGCCTAACGGAAATGATGACCTCCGTGGCCGAGTGATTTATACGCCGGATTTCAAGGAGTGGCCATCTCGAGAGGTCCCGATTCGAATCCCGGTGGGGGCAGATGTTTGTGTGATGAATTTGAGCATTTGTAGTCTAGTCATGGATGTTTAATATGTATTTCTATATAAATATACTTATATATGTATCAGTTTATGTATGATAGAATACATAAACTGTACCCCAGTATCTCATAACACAAGCCTACAGTGCTTAATTTGGGGCTAGGCTAATTGGTGTGAGTGTTGGAAATATTTATTTATTTTATTTTATTTTAAATGTTTGGAAAACGCTAACGCTTTCGATTTCATTTTGTTATTTCTGACCGCCGAAGGTTTTCAAATACCTCAGGCTCATTTTCTTTAATATTGTTATTACCATTGTAAAAGAAAAAAAAGAGCCCGAGGCATTTGAAAACCTCAGGCGGCTAAAAATAACAAAATGAAATTGTAAGCGTTAGCGTTTTCCATAGCATTTCCGTTAGGCGAATGGCCCCCAGCTGACGATATGGGGACATAAAGTAAGTCACACTAATTTCGCGATTTTTTTACTCCTCCCCCGTAATTCCCCCCTCTCTAATATGACGACATATATTTAACATCTAGAAATTATTAAATTGAAATAGCAGTTCCGTAATTAGTTCCAAAGTATTTTTAGTCTTTTGATAACAGTTCAAAGTATTACATTTTGAAATGTGACGCCACGAAACTTAGGACCCTTCCTGCCCCATATCACACAATGTCAAACGTCGTCGTCAACGTTTGGTTCCGATCTGCTGATAATGTGAGAGGGTGCGGCCAGAGTGCACTCAGATTCAGATTCAGATTCTGAAAACAAGCACGAGAAATAAACAGTGTAGTCTAAGCAGGTTGCCTGCTTTTTCTCGCGCTTTGTTTTCTGAGACTGAATCTGAATCTGAATCAGGAGTGCACTCTGGCCGTACCCTTCGACTACACTGTTTATTTCTCGCGCTTGTTTTCGGAATCTGAATCTGAATCTGAATCTGAGTGCACTCTGGCCGTACCCAGAGACGGTAACTGCCAGATCTAATTGTGAGAAATTAGCGAAAGTGTATGACGTCGATGTCGTTTAACGATTTGAAGGGAAAATGAATGAGGGAGTGACTCGACTCCTTTGCTCACACGTGTGTCCTGATAAAAGGGACCGCTTTTAAAAGAGGTAGGTAGGGCACAGCGTATTTCCCCCTCTAATTGGAGCGCCTGTCTGAGGAAGCAACCTCGACCTTACAGAAGACTACAGTAAAATAACAACTTCCTTTTACTTTGTGGGTTACCTATAATGCGAAGAGATGGCGCTGCCTTGCAGCTTAAGAATGGCTAGAGGAATTTCGACGCGGTCCGTGAGGGCCACGGTAGCATAATTGGTCAGTGCATTCGCCCGGATTGCGAAGGGTGCGGGTTCGAGTCCCGTCTGCTGCCTGGTCCGTGTGGATTTTTTTCTAGTTATATTTTCTTTAGATTTAAACATCAAGCAGTTACATGCTTAAAAAAATATATAACTTCCTTTTGATGGTTTTGTGTTTCTGTCAATGAGTAAGGTTCCAGGGCTCAGTCAGGATAGGCCACGGTGCGAGAGCCAGGAATATAGGCTATGGCTTACCATCAGACCTGCCATATGCTAGTTTGCACCTTATTAACATTATTAAATTTAGGAACACATCAACTCTTGAAACATTTTCTCCTTTCCTGCCGTTCTCTCCTTTCTTTATTTTAATGAAAACATAAATTTTACAGTGTAGACGCCACACCTCCGGTGGGGCCACTGTTCTTCAGTGGGCTCATAAAGTCGCGAACTCTCGCGCAGCTCAAACGTCGCCTGCTAAAATTCATTCAGCATCATGGGAACGAAGCGGCCGCTTTGAAAGCGAAACAAAACAAGACTAATGTGCAACCACAGACTGTCCGATCAAAAAGTGTAACTAAATCGATCGATAACAGGCTCACTACGCCGCTATCGATTCACGATTTGACTGGTGAATCGAATGAATCGAGCGACTCGGAGTTATCGGAGGAAAATAAGGAGGGATCGGAGTCGGATGAGTGCGTCAGTGAAGATTCAAATGTTGGCCTGTTGTTGGCTTACCATGTTGGTGCCGAGCGGTGAGTGTTTGGTTCATCATTCATTAATTATCAACCTATTACAGAGCCTCTCTCTGGCATCGCGGAATTTCAGCCTACAGAAGATCATTTTAAAATAACAGTACCTTTTTAGGCAATGGTGCGAGTGATATCTTGGGTATCGCAAGCGTTTATAGGCTATGGTGGCCGTTAAAAATTTGCTTGTGATGATAAAATGTTCATCCTACAGGGGCTGGTATAGCGCCAGCAGAGGTTCTTCATGTAGTTTTTAAGCGTGAGACTCGCTGGAAATGTGTTTTCGAACTTCACCGTTGACTAGTTATATAGGGCTGCAAACAATAAATCAATGTATCAGAAAAATAGTCAAGCACGTTTGTTGACCTCGATGGTGTTGACAATTAAAAAGCGTCGATGCTTTTCTTTTTGTCTGGAAATTTAGCAGTTGTTGCGTTTCATTACTAAATTTCTTTGTTTTACTAGATTGTATCGTTTTCTATTTCAGAATGTTCTGCGAATATGTTCGTTGGCTGGACGAAGGAGAGAAAACTAAAGCAATGCCGCATGACGCTGAAATCGCCAGATACATACCTGAACAGGTAATTTTACAGCGTATTTTATGTTTGTCTCACAAAACGTCATTAGAGAAAAAAAATGTAATTTTTTGTTCGTTTCAACATTGAAGAAAAGTTTTGCAGTTTATTGTAGAAAATTATAAGCATGAAGAAAAATATATTACATCAGTTTTTTCATGCCGATAGTAAGATAATAAAAACATTGTGAGTGAACGAAAATACGTTGCAAACGATTGGTCAAGAATACTATTATAGAAAATTGTCTCGGTTAGAACCCGTTTCAAATATTTCCTGTTGAAGGCGACTGCCCCTGTAATTAAATTACTGAGATCTTAAATAACTATCTTAAAAAAAAGAAAATGTAAATACCAGAGTGTTTGAAAAGAGATGATTTTAAACCTTAACATTGAGAAGGGAAAAATAAACGCGAGTTTTCGACATGCGTCTAGTAGAATATAAAGTTAGTAGTTTCGTTCTGAAGTAGGCAATTTTATTTCAGAGAAAGCTACAATACAATGGCCTTATTGTATGGATGGAAGCTTTAGTTGTGCCATTTGGCGATTTCTTTGTTAAAATAAAAAATACTAGCATTTTTTATAAATTGTATAAAATCAACACAAGATAACGGTGGCGTAAATCAGTGCGTACTGTGCGTACTCGCTACTTAGACATATTTGATGTAGGTTTATGATAACACTGATGAGGGCAGTTGGGGGCGATTTGTCGCTGCCGTCGGTGGTAAGGGCTATCGTTGGCGACAGGGATGCATGGGACGCCGCAAAGACATTTTGCGAGACTGTGATGGCCCAAAAGGAGACAGAGGAGCGGTCCCGAGAGGTGGACCCCTCAGCCGCCCCGATGAGACGCCGTCGAACTGGGCGCAGAAGGCGCAACTTTGCTGCCACTGTAGCCCCATAGGTGGCCTCGCGGGAGGGAAGAACTAGCCCCGCATTATAAATGGCTTCCCATCGAGTTAGGGCATACTATCCAGGCCAATCTGCCTGATGATGCCCCCAGAGAGAGACGGACAGATTCCTCAACGAGTCGAGTCCAGAACGTCCCGCGGTTCGTGCCAATGCACACAAGGGGAGTTAGTGCAAAGAGGAGGGTCCGAGAGGGCGCTTTCACGGTTGGGGTCTGGGGCAAAGGCTTGCTGATACCCTTCCCCCATCGTGTGAAGATGGAACCGCAGGAGGTGTTTTTAGTGGGTAGTCGCGGCGCGGCGTGAAGTATGCCCCGTGGAGTCCCACATACCCCCACGGCAGGGCACGGTCGTGGGAAGTGCGTAAATGCATTTTCACCTTCCCCAATAAAAAAAAAAAAAGGTTTATGATAACACTAATGTACAAAACTGTGTAACTAGCAAAATAAATTTTAAGAAGGTTATTCACATAACTAAATTCATTAAAAGGACAGGAAAGTAATTAAAAAAGAATATGAAATTAGTTTTTATAAAAATATAATGTTTGGGAAAGACTGTCATTTTATGTATTTTAAAAAAAGCGTATCTATACATATAATAAAATGGTATGAAAGTCAAAACTCTACAATGAATATTTTTTAAAAGAATACTTTGGGTGTGATCTACAATCGATACTGAAGCCAAAAATAAAGTTTTTAGAATTTTTGTCTGTTTGTCTGTAGATATGTTTGTCCGGGATAAACTCAAAAAGTACTGCAGGGATTTACTTCAAATTTGACACGAATATTATTAAGAAGTCGTGTCAACATAAAGGCTACATATTATCACGCTATCACCTACAGGGAACGAGCAGTGAACCTTTATTTCAAACTTACTCCACGCGCACGAAGTCGTGGGCGGCCGCTACTACCGAATAAATGAATGTTAATTTTATAATATCTATTAACTCCGTCTCCATCAGGCGTCGCAAGCGGCGTTCTCACAAGCGGCCCGCGCCCGTTCCGCCTGCATCTCGCCGGAAGCGGAACCTCCCCCCCTTCCCCCTACCACAATACCGCCCCCCGTCCCGCCTTCACCCACACCGTTAGAAGAAGCCACGCGAGCACTGCTCAATATCAGGGATTCATCTAGGAAAAGGTAAAGTACCCAGATAAAGTGTTTTTTTTGAGTGTGTATGCTGTTGGTCGCAGCTGACCTTAACAGCGTCACCGGGTTTGGGGACGGCGAGATCCTTAGGGGACCTCAAGCCGAGAATTAGCGAGTGCCTCTAAAGGTATTCCAGGCAGATGGCATCTCCCCGCGGGGGGATCCTCTCCGTCTGGAGCGGGTAAAGTGTTGTTTACTGCAAACAGCAAATACTTGCCAAACACTAACCACAATCAGTCAACAGAAACACCTGACGAGCATGCTAGTATATTCCCGTTTGACAAACAACATCCTTTGCTTTGTACAAAAAACCGACAACGACACCGATTACTGGCGAACACAAACAGGCAAATAGCCATCACACGTTTGTGTTTGTTGTTTGTGTTCGCTGTTTGCCGTTTGTTTTCCAAGCGTATTTAAGCACATTTAGATTTATTACCGCATTTTCTCTTGTCGCCGATTAGAGATACCCTAAGATATTACACTAGAATCTAAAAGCAAAGGCAAAGAAATATAAGTTAATTCCTACTTTTAAATAATTTTGGATGTATCGTTCTGTTATATACTAGAATTAAAGGCTATTTGATGTGTAATATCTTTCCTCTCGCTTTCCTGCAATTTGTTGGAGTGATTTCGTGAAATGGGACGGATGTGTGTAACAGGAAGTCGCGAAAGTGCTCGCTGTTCGATCGGATTTAAGAACATAATGTTCAAATGGCTGATTCCTTTTGTAGTAGGTTTTATTTCTTTTTTTACTGATATAAGGTGAGGTTTCGAATGTTACACATCATACGCTTACTACTGTTAAGCTCGCGCGTTTATTTATTATAAGGAGCTACACTTTCACGCTTAAGTCAAGAACTAGAATAAATAGTTAATTTATTATTTCCACCATAGATCTAGAAGGCGCTCCATAAGGTCCCCTCTAGGAGACGTCAACATTAAGGACCCGCGGGCTCTTCTCGCCGCAGTCGATAAACACTTGAGCCACATGGAAACACTCTCACGGTAAGTTAAATAACTAATTTTGTTCCGACTAATATTATAAATGCGAAAGTTTGAAGTTTTTCGCTAAAACGGCTGAAAAGATTTGGATGAAATTTTGCTCACAGGCAGACTGTAATCTGTAATGAGACATAAAAATCTCACTTAAACGCGGACGAAAACGCGGGCGCAAGATAGTACAAAATATAGTTTTTTCGTCGAATTTCAATTGTTGAAATTGAAGAAAACATAAAAGTTTGTATCATTGAAAAAGTAGCCACAGCAGTGCTGTTAGAAAGGCCAGGGCGCGGGCCCCGGCTAGGCCGGGAGGCTGCTGGGTGCGGAAACGCGGAAGAATCCCTAAACGGGGATCCCGTGGCTTCGCACTAAGCAGCTTAGAGGGTATTCACAGGGTTTTTTAGCGGATATTATCCCGTAAAGCGCCCGTAAGAGTTACGGGGTCCTCAGTCCGTAAGGCTTGCGGGAGTCAGGTGTGAGGTCCGTTCGGCGGTGTGCCTCTTAAAGGCGCCGTCGCGTCGTCTGTAAATAGAGGTTTTTCCTGCGTTAACAAAAAAAGGGCGATTTAGAATAACATAATTTGTCAAACGTATAAAATACAGTATTTCACATCTCTCTCTTTTACTTTAACTTGTTTGAAATTCAAAATTATGCAATATTGAGAAGTGGTTTATTCTCACTATAATAAATTTCTATTAAAATCTTACCTTTTAAAACTATACACATTGTTATAGTAAAGCTAAAGTTATTGCCCATTTTCTCTGCGATTACAAAAGAATTAGACATGTGACTTAATTTAGCATTAAATTAATTTGATGTTTCTGAGTACGGCTGAAAATCTTTACAACGAAATGAAAAGCCCTTTGTTTTTATCTATAGGCAGTGGTGCACAGAGGTGGTTACAGTTTCTTCCCTGGACAAGGCTCTATGGGACTTAGTACGAGGCCTACGAGTTCCCTATCACATTCCCACACTATATGCGTCCTGCTCTAACAAGTGCAAACCAATAGCTTACGCTCCGACTGTAAGTTTATAAGAACCATCTTTAGTATTTTTTCTTTTTTTGAACTATGTTATCCTGCTTTTCATACTTACTATTTAGTCGGTAATCTTATCTTTAATACCATTTTTGATACACTATAATTATAACACAACACAACATTATACCATAAAACAAAAAATTTTTTTTTGATAGTTTTCGTAAATTGTGTTGGTCAGATGATAACAGCGCAGCGCCTCTCTGGTGGCTAGTATTGTCAGTTTTTTCCAGTTATCAAATGATCTATTACTAACACTACTCAACCATAAGGTCGCGTATCAATTGCGTTTTTCATCTTCTACTTAAATTTGTTGTACGTTTCCAAGTTTTGATGATTAATATAGATGTGGAAAAGTTCTTTGTTTGTGTATGATGGCAGACAATTTGTGATTGGTGTAAACAAGTCTCTACAGCGTATCTACTTAAATAAATAATAAATAAATATTTCCAACACTCACACCAATTAGCCTAGCCCCAAAGTAAGCACTGTAAAGCTGGTGTTATGGGATACTAGGGTAATATATATTTATAAAGAAATACATATGAAACATCCATGACTGGAGTACAAATGCTCGTATTCATCACACAAACATCTGCCCCCACCGGGATTCGAACCCAGGACTTCTCGAGTCGGCGACACTATAAAACCCGGCGCACAAACTACTCGGCCACGGAGGTCGTCTAACTTATATATAGTGATTGATATATTTTTATAATCAGGAAAAGCAATGGTGTATTTCGACCGGTGCTCAACAAGGGATTGTGGAAAACAGGTAATTTTTTATGCTCATATTGAATTTATTATACCTCTTTATTTGAATATCTGTTACAAAGTCATTCAAGTGTTCCAGGGAGACCTAAAAGAATGAACCTGTAATGTTAACCTAGATTGTTTAAACAATTCTTCTTGCATTCGCTGGTAGTTTACCCAAGTTTTTATTACCGCGATTGGATGGTCAGTTTATAAAATAAAAGACTTTTTTTTATATTCATGTTTATTTATTTCTCATGTCTTCACTACTGCACTGGGTGTACATCTTTTATTTAAAACATTTTTTTTTTGAACGGTTCAAAGCGACATATTTTAACTTTTATCTTCTTCACAGTCTCCGTGGTCGCAAGACTGAACTTTAAATTATTAAATTTATTGGCTAGTTAAAACTTCTTAAAATATTTGACCACGGAGCCTATAAATGAACCTAAACGTAAAAATAATGAATAAGTTAATAAATAGCACTTAAATTCAGAAGCATTCTATGAAATACATACACGATCTTTAATATTATCCGTATTCGCATATAAGGAGTGGGGCCAGCATCGCAGTCCGTCGCTTGGCTCGCTCACGGCCCGACGCCGCTCGCTCAGCTGCTGCTCTGCTCGCTCTTGCCAGGTATGTTACTGGAAAGTAGTAATAAGATTCTAACAAACGAATTTATCAATCACAAAAGACAAACATACATTAAACATACCTTAATCAGCAGTTCACACAATTACATTAAATTACGAAATTCCATCTGATTCAGGTGTGTAAATAGCAGGTTTATTTCAGAATAGCGTTTGATTCGAAAGGAGTAAATGTTTTTGTAAAGCAAAACTTTTAGAAATAATGTTTATTTGATTAAAGAAATACTCTTAATAGCCCGCGCAGACGAGGGACTTTTGTCCGCGGACTATTTATAATCGCAAATATAGATCGCTTACAACTTCATGAAGTAACGGATACGACGGATTAAAAGTACCGGGTACAAAAAGCCCCTCAAACAACTGAGGACACCGAGACACCGGACAGAATAAAAGTAAGCGGGTGTCGCGTCTGTTGCGGCTGTATCCAGCTTTGACGCCAGGGGGGTCATATAGTCGTGGTCAAGTCACAGTGGGTATAGATTGTGAAGCACAGATTGTAAAGTGGATACAGATGGACTCAGCCCGGGGGGGGGGGGGGGGGGGGTCATGAACCTCATGACACCCCCTGGGATCCGCCCTTGGTATCGGGCTAAAGCTAATCTCGCCGTGATGGTGGGTGTCATCGGCAAACAATACTATTTCGTGGTTATCCTTTACAAAATAGGGCAATTCATCATTATAAATTAAAGAAATCCTCCACTTACACGGACGAGGGGTTTTACTACTAGCTAAATTTAGTCCGCGTTGCGCGCTTGATCCGATTGAAAGGGTAAACCCAGTATTCTCTTTTAAAACGGCTTATATTTTTCTTTAAACTTCATTTTAATTACAACGCAGCCTAATCTCAGAATATTTTCATCCATAGCGTGCATATCCCTGAATTTTTGGGTGTGCGTTGAGTCCATGATAAGTCCTCGGTGAGCACATTTTTACGATTGAGGAACTTTTAACCTAAGCGAACAAAATTTCTTCGCCTGCGCAGGTGATAAACGAACTGCAGCGAGTTTATTTTTACAATCAAAAACCCAGTCACTTACGCTTAATCTACATATATCTCGAAATTTATGTCATGATTGTAAGGGTGTAATATAAGGGTGAAGATGGGTTAAAGGTATTTAAAATTCTGTTAAGTCCATCAGTTAGATGATCAAAAAATAATGGACACGTATTTTTTTCTTTTGTCAATTTACCAAAATAATCCCCTATTTTTAAATTTTAAAGACGAGAGAATAGGGGGAGGCTGTGTCGACACTTCTAAGTAAAAATTGTACTAAGACGTGAGTTCATGCGACATTTCAAACCAATATATCTGTGTAATGATTTGATTACGTGAATAATGAAAAAATACGTGTCCAATACTTTTTGATATTCTACGAAGAATTTTGACGACCTTCGTGGCCGAGTGGTTTGTACGCCGGGTTTCATGGTGTCGCCGACTCTAGAGGCCCCGGATTCGAATCCCGGTGGGGGCAGATGTTTGTGTGGTGAAGACGAGCATTTGTACTCCAGTCATGGGTGTGTAATATGTATTTCTATTTAAATATACTTATATATGTATTCTATCCGTTACCCTAGCATCCCGTAACATAAGCCTTACAGTGCTTATTTTGGGGCTAGGCTAATTGGTGTGAGTGTTGGAAATATTTTTTTTTTAATATTTATTCAATTAAAATTTAGTCATCCATCATCCCTATTATAATTTGACGCAGACGGTCGGGCAGCTTCGAGATGGCTCGGCGTATGGTCGAGCGAGCGTTGCAGTGCGCGGGCGCCGTGAGGGAGCAGTGCGCACCCGCTGCCGCTGCGCTCACGTCGCTCGTCGATCTCTTGGCTGACGTGAGTCTTATGTTACTTATAATAAACATCACACATACACAGCAAACGTTGAAATATACGACACACATGCATTATAATAATATAGGTAGGTAAACCAAAAAAAAAAGATTTCATTACATTAATATTCCTTTCCACCTCCGGACGACCAGGCGCGGCGAGGGCTTCCACCCTTATGTTGTCGAAGTTCCTCCCAATCGCACGAAGCAATTTGCTTTCGGCCTTCATTATGCGAACGACTAGGGAGTGGAACTCCTTGCCGAGGTCTGTTTTCCCGGACCAATATAATCTGGTCATCTTCAAGGCCAGAGTGAACAGGCATCTTCTAGGCAGGCGTGTGCCATCCTAGGCCTCATCATCGCTTTCCATCAGGTGAGATTGTGGTCAAACGCATTGCCTATTTTGCATAAAAAAATATATATATAAAGGCGAGAGTTTCTTTGTTACTTCTTCACGTCTAAACGGCTGGAGCGATTTTAATAAAATTTGGTATGGAGTAAGCTGACACCCTGGATTAACACAAAGGCTACGTTTTACTGCGGGAAAATATCCATAATAAACCGACGGTAACACTGCGGGGCACAGCTAGTAAATAATAAGATGAAACAAATGTCGAATGCCCATGTAGGACCCGTTCCAGTTAAAATTGGGAACACTAGATTTGAACCATTACGTTTACCTGGGACAGAGTCCAGTTAGTTAACTCCAACTTTGAGATCGTATCCGGTTCGGATGGGCAGCATTCTGGGAGCTACGGAAAATCTTCGCGTCCAAATTGCCTCAGTGTATCAAGACAAAAGTCTTTGACCAGTGTGTGTTGCCAGTGATGACCTACGGAAGCGAGACGTGGTCCTTTACTGCGGGTCTCATAAGAAGGCTCAAGGTCACACAGCGAGCAATGGAGAGAGCTATGCTCGGTGTTTCTCCTACGCGATAGAATCAGAAATGAGGAGATCCGTAAGAGAACTAAAGTATCCGATATTGCTCGAAGAATTGCTTAGCTGAAAGGGGGCGTCCATAAATTACGTGAGATGTTTAAGGAGGGGAGGGGTCGTGTCAAATCTCATCTATTCTTACGTTAGGGAGAGGGGGGGTCACGGCAAATATCACGCAATTTTTTTTCTGTTTGAAAAAAAAATACTATTTTGGTCCATTTAATCCAGATTGTACATGCTTAAGATTTAATCTTAAGCGTAATGATTTAAGTATTCTATTGTTAATTTTTTATTACACTTATAACTCTCAGCAATATTGATTACTAGTCTTAACTAGTCGTAAATAAAAGCACGAAGCATTTTTTTTCTTTTTACAATAACAATCCAACGCGTTTACGTAAACATTTTGAAAAATCTCACGTGAGATTGGGGGATGGGGGAGGGGGTTGAATAAAATCTCACGATATCTCACCAGGGGGGGAGGGAGGGACAGAAAATTCAAAAAACACCTCACGTAATTTATGGACGACCCCAAATGGAAATGGGCGGGACACGTAGTAAGGAGGACCGATGGCCGTTGGGGCGGGAAGGTTCTCGAATCGCGACCAGGCACCGGACGACGCTCAGTGGGCAGGGCTTCCACCAGGTGGAGCGACGTTCTTGTGAAGGTCGCAGGAAGCCGATGGATGCGAGTGGCTCAGGATCAATTAGTGTGGAGGACTGGATGTGTATCCTTTGGGGAAGGCTGTGCTCAGCAGTATGGGAACGGCTGATTTGATGATGAAATTAATAACTTTGTGGGACTACATATTACTGTCAATATGACGTGCGGAATGTACGCTTTTTACTTTTCCACTTCCAGGTTTATTTTTTTAATTACACTAAACAGTATTTTTAATTTAGTTTTTGGAGATTTACTATTTATATATACAGGGTTACAGGGAAAGTCGTACTGAATATTGAAGGACGTTATTATTCAGGTCATTTCTGATGGATTTGGTCCTATAATATGGTGTCCGAAACTTAACCGTTATGGAGATATTGGATATTAAAGATTTTTTTAAAAAATCCTATATTTTTTGGGTTACTGTCGAGTTTTTTGAAACTAGAGCTCCAAAGGTCCGATTTTTTAATGTATCTAGTTAGAAGACATGTCAAGCAATAAAAATAATGAATAAAAACTGAACCTACCTTTAACGGCTTAAAAAAACTGCTCGACAACGGTTATAACTAAAGAATTTTCACCAAGTGTCCTTAACTTTGAAGCGCTTTTCTAAAAAAATAAATGTATGGAACTTATTCTGCAAATAATTTTAAAAACTTCTACGTCTCTTGAGCTATTCAAAAAGGTATAACACTTGCTATTAAATTGGCAAAACATTGACCAAATAACAGTTATGGTAGCAGAGGGTACATTTTTAGTTTGAGGTAAAAATAGCTTTCATCATTATGTTTTGTATTTCGGTAAAAAAACCAAATAAAATACTCTATTTTCAAGTTGCCGCGAAAAACTTATCTCTGGACAATATGGCGTCTCACTGGTGTGTAACGTCACACGACAGTCATTAAAACGTCAAACCATACAATCAAATGTCACTTTAACCGGAAGTTTACTTGCGTGTGACGTCATTTTAGGCTCCACCAATCCCAAGCGTTTTAGGTCACGTGACAATAGACAAGAAAACTAATAACTTTATCGTGGGTTTTTAGTAAAATTATGAATGTTTTTTCTGTAAAAATAGTAAAAACTCCTGCCAATATTCATTCTAAATACAGATGCTAACAGTTGGTACTTTATTTTTAATACTGTCAAATACCCTATTGTTAATATAAAGTTTTTCTCAGTTATTGTCCATCATCCTTAATATAGCGGACCCCATTATTCCAAAACGCGACCTAAAGTTAGACTTGGTTTAAAGTTTATGTTGTTTTGTTTCGTTGTCACTTTTTGTAATAAGGCGGAGTATGTTCTTATTTATTTGTTTCTTAGGTTTTCAGACCATCAGATACTATTAGTTCTTTTTGTTTGCATAATTTAACATAAGAAGGAGATAGAAAGCCTCTCTTGAGTTTGTTTCGCCGGTTCTTCTCAGAAAGGTCTCCCAAATTTATAACCGGTGGTAGTTTACGGTAGTTAGGGTCAAACAAATAAACTCAAAATTACAAAAAAGAATTTTAAATAAAATACTTTATTAAGTAAATTAAATAATAAATTCATACATAGACAATAAAACTTTAAAGAGCGAACAATGAAATAACCGAACGCTCAATAAAAGTCTTTCGAAGGTAGCTCGTCAAATTAAATAAAAGTTTGATTCTGACGACGTAGCCTGTAAAGGCTACGAAACGTCAATAAATAAATAAAGTTTCGTGCATTAACCCGTAAAAACTCGTTTTATTTAATGTTCTTATTTAATTTGATGTCATCAGCGCTGGCTGCTGAGCTCGGGGTCGGATTGCGCGGCGCTAGTGAAGCAGTGGTGGATAGATGATGGGAGCAGCGTTCTCAGTTCAGTGTGCGTGGCTCTAGTGTCGCCGCATCGCAGCAATCCACAGCAAGTACCCGCACTGCACGCCGCCGTGTTGAGCGCTAACGTCGCCCGCGCCCGCGTGTTTAGCACGCTGAGCAAGGTGCGTGTGTACTGTCCTCAGCCTGATGTCGTCCTCAGGTCACTGTGCGTGGCTCTCATGTCGCCGCGTCGCAGTAACCCACAGCAAGTACCCGCACTGCACGCCGCCGTGTTGAGCGCTAGCGTCGCCCGCGCCCGCGTGTTTAGCGCGCTGAGCAAGGTGCGTGTGTACTGTCCTCAGCCTGATGTCGTCCTCAGGTCACTGTGCGTGGCTCTCATGTCGCCGTGTCGCAGTAACCCACAGCAAGTACCCGCACTGCACGCCGCCGTGTTGAGCGCTAGCCTCGCCCGCGCCCGCGTGTTCAGCGCGCTGAGCAAGGTGCGTGTGTACTGTCCTCAGCCTGATGTCGTCTTCAGGTCACTGTGCGTAGCTCTCATGTCGCCGTGTCGTAGCAATCCACAGCAAGTACCCGCACTGCACGCCGCCGTGTTGAGCGCTAGCCTCGCCCGCGCCCGCGTGTTCAGCGCGCTGAGCAAGGTGCGTGTGTACTGTCCTCAGCCTTATGTCGTCCTTAGGTCACTGTGCGTGGCTCTCATGTCGCTGTGTCGTAGCAACCCACAGCAAGTGCCCGCGTGTTTCTGCTGGTCAGTAGGGTTCCAGGGTTTGGGGTTGGGGGATTGGGTTCAGGCCGGCAACATGAGGAAGGGTGAAGTGGCACACCTTCTGCTGCATCGACTGAAATCCACTTACTCTTGACATCAGGGGGAGGGGGGAAATTAGTTGCGTCACGTATAAAGAAAATGTCGCGAGACAAATTTGTAACTAATTTGTCGCCCGTCCGTGGCGTCACACAAGTCATCCAAATAAAAACGCAGCTTAGCCTCCCACAAAAATGAAGTAATCCGAATTCGAGCCCTCTTCTAGATTTTGCTGAGATAAGATTTGACTCGGTATTTTTTTTGCTAATCATTATTTTATTTAAAATATCTTAACATATTGTTTACATGATTTTTCCACTTAGTTCGATTTGAGCAAGTGGTCTCAATCCGTGGACAGCAACACGCGGCATGGCATGCTGGATTCTATAATGAGTGCAGCCCAGCAATGGGGGGTCAAGCCTGATCCAGAAAGTCTGTTGTTAGTTGAGGTACGTAAAATATTTCGATTAATGATAACATATAAAATTATTTATTATAATAGACAACTGTTCGCACTTTAATTATTATAGATAAAATATACGAATGAGTTATCATCATCATCATCATCAACCTATTAATGTCCCCACTGTTGGGGCACAGGCCTTCCCTATGGATGGAATAGGGAGATTGGGCCATGACCCACCACGCGGGCCCAGTGTGGATTGGTGGGTGCTAACGACTGCAGATGCAGCCGGGACCAACAGCTTAACGTGCCTTCCGAAGCACGGATGTGCTCGAGATAGTAAATTTTTGGTCACCCATCCAATAACCGACCACTGCGAAAGTTGCTTAACTTCAACGATCGCAGCCGAACGCGCTAACCACTTGCGCCATCGAGCTCCTCATGAGTAATGTAAAACAATAATCAATTTTGTTAAAGTCATAAAAATTCCAGTGTAAGCAGTATTACTTAACCTTATTTAAACGTTGCAGTATAACTTAAACACGACCCTACTAGTAATTCTAGACAATGAATGGACCAGTCTAACATGTTTCTTCCTCAAATTATGATGTAATAGGCAATAAAATTCACTAAGCTATATATTTCTTAAATTTTAACAAAGTTTTTGCGAAAATTCCATGACATTTATTTGTGTTTCTCACAGCCATCAGGTGTACACATGGATATTTTTTTTACAAAGTAAAATTACATAACGTTTATTTGTGTTTCCGGCAGTTACTAGGTGTACAGATGGCAGCATTGTGCCACGCTACGGAACTGTGCGCGTTAGTTTGCGCGTGTACGCGCGCGTGTGTGACCGCTACTCTACCTAAAGTCATATTACAACATGTTATTCAAGCGGCAGAGAAATGCGCCCCGGATATACCATTCGATCAGGTAAGCGACCATTGAAAAGGGTAAAAAAAGTGGACAAGTGCGAAGTGCGAGTCGGACTCGCCCATGACGGGTTCCGTAGTAGCAAGTAGCATAATATAAAAGTTCTAGTAGTTCGTTGGAACTTTGATCGATGTTTTAATAATAGTGTATTTTTTTTAAGATAAGTTGCGGTTTACTATTTACGACGTATTAAAAAAAACTACTTTATAGGTCTCGTTCAGACCAATAGGGGTGATGACGGGGTACAGTAAACGAAATTCTATTTAGTCCGTCAGTTAGATGATCAAAAAATAATGGACACGTATTTTTTCTTTGGGCAATCAACCAAAAACTGACAAAGTTATAGCGCGTCAAAGTTTCGGAGTAGGGGCTCGTGACGTCACTTTTTAGTGAATTTTCACTCAAAAGTGTACCACAACGTGACGTCATTCGACTTTTCAAATCAATATATCTCTACAAAGTTTATATTATGTGAAAAAAGAAAAAATACGTGCCCAATACTTTTTGATAATCTACCTGATAAACGAAGAAAAAAAATTAGTCATCATCCCTATTTTCGGTGGAGTTTGCATGGTAATGTACATCATATATTTTTTTTAGTTTTATCATTGACTTATTTTAGAAGTTACGGGGGTGGGGGGTGATTCTCACACATTACCACTTTGGAAGTGTCTCTCGCGCAAACTATTCAGATTAGAAAAAAATGATATTAGAAACCTCAATATAATTTTTGAAGACCTATCCATAGATACCGCACATGTATGATTTGGTTCCGTTCTTTGCCATTTGGCTACGGAACCCTAAAAAGTAAAAATCTGCGAATCAAAAATGATATGGAAGCAATACTTTATAGCAAAAGCCGCTAAAATATGGCTCCGACTCATACAACTAAACGTGACACGCACACAGACATAATAAAATACTTTGACAAATCAAATATCTGCTAATAAGTTCGGCTGTCCATTGATAAGGTAAAATAATGTTAAATGGAAATCCCAAGCAATCCCATGATTGGTCTATTGATCGCAGTTTTTTCGCCCCGCTCACTTGATCACAGTTTGTGTGGAACCACATTTTAGCGCAGTTCATATTCCTATTATTTCTAATTTTTCGCTGATAGTAAATCAAGAAAACATTTTAACGTAGAAAAATATAGTTGTTTGTCATTTGTTCAGTTGAAAAGAAGTACATTGTATTTTCCCTTGTTATGAAATAACAACATTTCTTATTTCAACAATTCCTGTTTAGCTGGGTCACCTTCTCCGCGAGTTGGGTGTTATTTGGTGGGGGGCACGAACTAATGCGATCCCCTCCTACGTGGAGCGGTACGATGCGTACGCGCACGACTCGCTCGAACTAATGATCGTGTTACACCGCTCGTTCGTAGACTCCGCTGTACACCTCAGCTATGCCAGTGAGAAAGGTAGGTAATACATGACTTGCCTAATGTAACATACTATCTAATATATAAAATTCTCATGTCGCGGTGTTTGTGGTTAAACTCCTCCGAAACGGCTCGACCGATTTTCGTGAAATTTTATATGCATATTCAGTAGGTCTGAGAATCGGATGTAATCTATTTTTCATCCCCCTAAATGTTAAGGCTAATCCACCCCTAAATTTTTTTTTTCAATTTTAGATATTTTTTTTTTATTTTTTTTATGATACATACAAAAATACATACATCCCTAAATTTTCAACTTTCTACCGCTGGGACAGCTAGTCTATATATATAAAACTCAAAGGTGACTGACTGACATAGTGATCCATCAACGCACAGCCCAAACCACTGGACGGATCGGGCTGAAATTTTGCATGCAGGTAGATGTTATGACGTAGGCATCCTCTAAGAAAGGATTCTGATCAATTCTACCCCCAAAGAGATAAAATAGGGAATGAAAGTTTGTATGAAACATTGTCAATTTAAAAACCGATCGGGCTGAGACTTTGCATGCAGGTATAAGAAGAATCATAGATGAATGTCATTGTGTATAATACAAGTCTGAGAACAAAAACTGTAGTCTACACTTCAGCTCTACACCGAAAGGAAGCGAGGGCGGGCCGCTAGTTTAATTATATGATTGTTCCAGTGGGCCTCTTGTCATGGTCTAGCCTTCAGGAATGTATGGCCGCGTGGGCATTGCCACCTGCCCCGCCTTCGTTCCCGCCCGCCCTACTGCATAGTAAGCAGTACGATAACATATTGAAGTCAGTACATCGCGCGTTGGATGATCTCATACAAAGACATCCTGGTAAGTATTTGAGAAGTAAAAAGTTTCACACCAATGACTATTGATTGCACACATATCACTCAATTACCTTTTAAAGGCGCAGTTACACTTTGTTCTTAGCCCGAATACGATTGCCTATGGAATTTGGACAAACGATTAAGTGTAAATGAACGGAGTTGAGTAGGCCAGTATTAGTTTTGGCTCCCCTGTGTTCCAGTACCCGAACGTGAACACAATGTAATTATTGCATCGGGTGCCCGAAATCGAATTATGTTTTTTCATGCACCCGAATACGAACTATCGACCAAGTTTAATTGCGATTTAAGTTTCACTTAGCTTGAAGATCTCACTTTATTACCATTCAATGGGACATCAAGTGACTTAATGAAAGATTACATTTATTTTACGTTTCTTATTACGGCTTAAACACTCACGCGCTCACTACGACTGCACCATTTCGGTTCTGTATCACATATTTCCGAAATTCCTTCGCCGCTACAATAACAAACCATATACAACGTAACCGCCCTAAATAGAGAGGCGTATCAGAACAAAGTGTCATTTCGGACACGCACATGTTTAGCAATTTTCGCAGCGGTCGTTCATTGGATGGGTGACCAAAAATTTATTATCTCGGCCTCCTTCGTGCTTTAGAAGGCACGTTAAGCCGTAAGCACGATCCCGGCTGCATCTGCAGTCGCTAGCACCCACCAATCCACACTGGGCCCGCGTGATGGGTAATGGCCCAATCTCCCTATCCCATCCATAGGGAAGGCCTGTGACCCGGCAGTGGGGACATTAATAGACTGATGATGATGAAGGCATGTACGTCCGTACGCACTGTACATTCACAGGCATTCTCACGCAGTTTCAAGCAGGATTTTACGCGACTAGCAACAAGTTTTGTCTAAATCAATAGAGTTGACTATAGGTTAAGTTTAGAGTTCTTGAGTGAAGACCACGACTCGGTAAACGTAGTGTAGGACGCCCTGAGACAAGATGGGATGATGACATTCGTAGGCTGGCTGGAGTGGGCTAGATGAGAGTGGCAGAAAATCAGGAGCAGTGGCGTGCATTAGGGAAGACCTATGTCCAGCAGTGGACGAGCATGGGTTGTTGATGATGATAGGTTTAGTGCATGATTTAACATAAGAAGGAGATAAAAGGCCTCTCTAAGCGCTGGTTCTTCTCAGAAAGATCTCCCAATTTTGGAAGCGGTGGTATTTTACGGTAGTTCAAATAAATAAACTTAAAATTACAAAAAAGAATTTTAAATAAAGTACTTTATTTACTAAATTAACTAATAAATTCATACATAGACAATAAAATTTTAAAAATCTTCGAATGAAAAAAACCGAACGCTCAATAAAAGTCTTTCGAAGGTAGCTCGACAAAATTAAATCAAAAGTCATTATTCTGACGATGCAGACTTGTAAAGGCTGCGAAACGACAATAAATAAATAAAGTTTCGTGTATTAACCCTGTCAAAACTAGTTTTATTTAATGAGTGATGTGCGTGAAAACCTAAGAAACAAATAGGTTTAGTGGTTTATTTTCGAGGATGGCGGCTAATACTCTGGTTTTGTGCCCGAACCCGTCGTGTGTGTGTGTGGTGGGGGAAAAATGATAAGGGCGATTCAAAAGAGATCTTAAGCAGTTGAACGTTTTTTTACTATAAGTTACATAATATAACTCCCCATTTTAGACTCTGTTTTCTCAACTTTACCGTATATTCTTAGTACTAGGTCTCCCGCCGTAGATTCGCGAGCCGATGGCGTAGTTTCTGACATTCTTAAGTGCTTGTAACAGCCTCAACTGAATTAACTGATTTTGAATTTGATTTTAAATATTTGTTTCTTATGTTTTCACGCACATCAATCTTTTTAAACGGGTTTCAATTTGATATTTGTCAACTAATCTCTCAAAGGACTATGTGATCCATTTATGGATGAACTGTTGTTAGGTATAGAAGAAGTGTTGCTCAATCAAGTGTTCGAGTGGGTGATGAAGACATATCAAATGGTGAGGTCTTCGAGCGAGGGTCGCGTGGAACTATTATCTTTGCTCGCTTGCTTTGGTGACTTGCCATGGACTTCGCATCAATGGCTGCAGCCTACTGGTCTGCAGGCCTTGTTGCAGGTGAGATATGAAGAGAGCATTAGTTCGCGGCTAACTTTTTGAGCAAAACCTCGGAAAAAATGGGAGCCGTCACGGGACGCCTGGCAGATGTGAAACATCGACATTATTTTGTAAAAGATATATATATATATATATATATATTCAGAAAAGAAAAGATTGCGGTAGGAACTAAATATGGCATAATGATAAAATTAAATATTACGATTTTTTTCCAGAAAATGATGATTGTTTGATGACGATTGCTCATGGCGACGCGTCGCCAAACCGTACACATTACTGCATATAGACTGTAGCTGTACATAAAGCGCCACGCCAAAAGTTTTACGTGCGCCTATAGATGTTTCACTTCAAAATAAACCCACGCAGTAGACGTTTTTATATGTTAAATTGCTACTGCGCAGGCTTCCTTGTCTGTGGTCGTTGCTCAAGAAGTTTGCTGGGATGTTTATCACGCCCGCCTTTTTTTTGTCAGCAGTTCCATTTATCTTTACCCTCTAACCCTAGTAACTGTAATCAAGGGCGAGTTCCATTTGGTGTATTAATGCTGTTTTACGTGGTCCTAGGCAGAGTTAATTTTTTTGTAAAGTGAAATTTTCTTTAGATGTTTTGTTGCTTAAAATGAAAATGTTATATTTCACCTATTTTTTTGGATATTAATTCCATTAGTCCATTGTGCACTTGTAAACCTCGAGAACGAGTTCACTGATTTTATATATTATTTTTATAGTTTTCTTATACTTTGTAGAAGGTTCTTACAATAGTATATCAAGTGAGTTCCGCAGATTATTAGAAGGATTATTACGAATAAACTCATAAATTACTGGACATATTTAAAAAAACACCATTAGAATGTTACATTATCCCTGAGTAACTAAAGCGAGAGTAACATATATTTTATCGCGACGAACTACAGTCCACTCGTGCAAAGTCGGGGCGGGTGGCTAGTTACGTACAAAAATGCAGCTTCATTATAAATAATTTGAATAAATTTAAAATTCGTTTCGTTCGTAAAAATATACGAATTCATTGATTTATATTTACATAGAAATATTTAAAATTACAATAGCTTAAAACTACTTTATATCTAAAAACTTAAAAACCAGAAATAACTAAGTACTTAAATAATATACAATTTACAATATAAAAAAATATATCACCTTGTTAGTTGAATTTTGTGAAGTAAAGCATGAAATGATTATGACTTATGTTGCTTGAAATAAATAAAATTTATTATTAAAGTTCATCTTTAGCATGTCGTATTACATTTTTAATTGTTACTAAAAAATCAGACTTTATCAACAAGCATCAGTGGTACTCTTAGGAAGCTCGCCTGCTACCCCCCTTTTTTTTTTTGTGACGCAGGCAAAAACTCTGTTTACAGACGACGGCGCCTTTAAGAGGCACACCGCCGAACGGACCTCACACCTGGCTCCCGCAAACCTTACGAGCCCCCACAGTGGCTGCCCACTGAGGGTAACCTTACGGGCGTTTTACGGCATAATATCCGCTAAAAAACCCTGCGAATACCCTCTAAGCTGCTTAGTGCGAAACCGCGGGATCCCCGTTTAGGGATTCTTCCGCGTCTCCGCACCCAGCAGCCTCCCGGCCTAGCCGGGGCTCCACGGCAGGGGTCTCCCGAGGTATTGCGGGGACCCCGCAGACGTGCGCAGGTTAGCCCGCGCGTGGGGGCAGAATACGCGGCCTAGTGCCACAGTACCGCCCCCCGTCCGCTGCGGAGGACTACTTGGGCGTGCCCGTGTAGCTCCCTCCGCCGCCCCCCTCTTTGCAGGACAGAACTACAAGATGGGGGCTGCCGTCACGGGATCCCTCGGTGGCCGGCACGGCACAATGCGCCGTACCGGCCATCTAGGGATCCCCGCGGGCAGGGTCATGGGACGGGCGTAGCCAGGGCACGCACTCGTCCTCTTCTGCCCGCTCTTCTTCGGCGGGAGGGAGCGGCCAGGGGATCATCCTCCCGCTCCCTCTCGGCTGCCTCCTTCTGCGAGATAACGTTCTCGCAGAAGGAGGCAGCCGCCTCCCATGCCGACTCGCTACGGAGCATGGCCTCTACCATGCTCCGCAGCGAGAGGGTTCCGCCTCCCAGCGGCACAATCAGGTCGCGGCGCTGCTGCCGCCAGGCCGAGCACTCCAGCAAGGTGTGCTCGGCCGTCGCCTGCTACCCCCTGCGGCCCGAATTCGATTCGCAGCAGAGTAAAGACTTTTTTAATTAATGATTTTAAAAGTTTCACTTGCATCGCGGTTTCATAGCACGCCTTTTTTTTTTTTTTTTTTTTTTTTAATTGTTGGAATTGGAAAATGCGTGACGCATACCCCGCCCCTGGGTGAGAGACGGGGTTATGTGGGACTCCTCCTCCCCCCAAATCCCGCCCACCCGCTGAGCCAACTTGGCTCAGCGGCTGTTCGGGATGAAGGGGGGGCCCTACCCACTAAAAACACAACAGTGCTCCCTCGCCTGCCGGAACGGGTTTCGTGGGATCCGGATGACTCTCCACGTTACCCCCGGCAGGGGTTCCTCCTCCTCCTGGCGGTCAGGGGATGCCCGAGAGCACCCAGGCATCCCCCCTCGACGGGTGAGACTGTGCAATGCGGGCGGCGGACCACCCTGTCCGCCGCCCGCTAGTCCCACTAGGGTAGAAAGAGGCGGTCGTACTGCCGCCGCCTTCCACCCCGCCGTTGGCGGCGGAGAGGGCCGGCCCGGGCGTCCTCCTCGCGGGCCCTCTCCGCTGTCTCCTTCTGGAGGATGACTTCCTCGCAGAAGGAGACTACCGCAGTCCAGGATCTGTCGTTGTCCAGCATCGCTTTAACGACGCTGGGCAACGAGAGATCCCTTCCTGTTGCCATGACCATATCATGGCGCTGCCGAGACCACGACGGGCACTCCTCAAGGGTGTGCTGCGCCGTGTCCCCGACAGCGCCACAATGATGACACGACGAGGTCGCTTCCCTCCGTATACGATGCAGGTAGCTGCCAAAGCATCCATGCCCTGACAGCACCTGCACCAGACGGAAGGTCAGCGACCCATGCCTCCTCTCCCTCCATTGACTCAGCACTGGCCGCAGCGCCTCCAGGGTCCTGACCCCGAACTGCTGTGTCTCCAGCTCCTCGGTCCACTGCTCCATGACGAGTTCGTCCAGCCTACGCCTGTGGGCTATCACCTCCTCTGGCGCCAGTCGCTCCCCTCGTTGCCGGGCCTCTGCCCTTTGCCAGTATAGGCGGGACAGCGCCTTCGCCTCCAGCATAGCACGCCTAGAATAATCGCCTGCTACGCGCGCCGCCCGAATTCGATTCGCAGCGGAGTAAAGACCTTTTTTAATTAATGATTTTAAAAGTTTTATTTGGATCGTTGTGTCGTACAACCATACCAAATTTTCGAAAAGCACCAAAGTTGCATAGTATTACTATTGGTTCAGGTCAGCCAGTGTGGTGACGAAGAAGTATTGTCCTGGTGTTCCCGATGCTGCGGTCGACTGGAGGGGGTTACTTGGGTGAGGGCTGCCGGGGAGGGGGGACTCCCCTCTCTCTTATATCTGTGGACAGGAACCACTCTCCCCACCACTGATCACGTGCGTATGTCATGGATATTGGTAAATAGCTTAGGATTTACAGACAAATTTATATAACTATAGCTTTTTTTAGATTATATGAGTAGACAAGAAAGAGAAAACATATGTATTTTTATGTTTTTATTTATTTTTAAACATTTAACTGCTAGATGTTTAAATCTAAAGAAAAGTTTACTAGAAAAAAAAAATCCATGCGGACCAGGCAGCGGACGGGACGGATTGTGGGTTACCTACAGTGCGAAGAGATGGCGCTGCCTTGCAGCATAAGGCTAGGAAAATTTCGACGCGGTGAATATGGCCGTGGTAGCATAATGGTCAGTGCATTCGCCCGGATTGCGAAGGGTGCGGGTTCGTGCCCCGTCCGCTGCCTGGTCCGCGTGGATTTTTTTCTAGTAAACTTTTCTTTAGATTTAAATATGTATTTTTGTTTGTTTCTAACGAATAATTTTAAAAGCAGGACCTCTTTCAATTTAAAAATTCTTTGACGATTAGAATGCAGTACCCTTAGTAATATAGGCAATATTTTACAGTGTTATTATAATAAACTCGTGAAAAACCGGGGCAAATCACTAGTATGTTAAAAGTTAATGTCCGCCATTTACTTGTTAATAAAAACTACGTTTGAATTCTAAATGGAGTTGGCTATTTATTTCGTGCAATAATCAAACAAAATGCTGACTTTGAGTCTGCCATGATTCTCTAAACTAAAAATTTGATTTTTACACCAGTATAATTCTTATCATGCTTTATTATATATTATAATGAAAAGGAGAGACGGTTCTTGTTGTGTATTTGTTATATTTTAATTTTCGGACCCAGATGCTAGAGGTGGCGTGTGGATTGCCATGGGGACGGTTGCCGGTGGTTGCTCTAGAAGACGCTTTGGAACGATTCTTCCAACTCAACTACGGATTAGCCTCTCCCTACCATGACTTGCCGCAATTCAAGTAAGTAATTTTAAATAACCTTTTAATTGTTTTTATATAAAGGTCCGAAGCCTGAACAAATGACTCCACTCCTCTTGGTGTTAAAGCCCAAAACGCACAAAAAACGGGTCTTGTTCCTCACGTGACACGCTCAGCTCATTTCGCCTTATTCTAAAACGCGGACCAAAGTTATTCTTGCTTTAAACCTAATGCTATCTCTGTCTTATTTTTAGAAAGCAAACGTGACAGCAACAGCTATAGACCGGGTTTAACTTTAGTCAATACTTCGTAATAACGCGGATTGTGATCACACACATAGCAGGTGCGGACCTGTTGCGGCAGTATCTTGCTTTGAAGCCTCTGGACAATTTAGTGTGGTGTAAAATGTTCGGATTTGATTTGATTTGGGGCAGTGACTTTAGAAGGCCTTGCACTGTTAAATCCTACAAATAAGCACTCGATAAATGAATCTCTTCCAAATATTTCGTGCGTGAATAAATTCATACATGTTTATTATTTCACGTTTAAGAGAATATGTCACGAATGTGGCGGATGTGAGAAAGTTTTCTTAAGTATTTAATGCTGTAGTTTTTGAATATTTGTCGAAACCACGACTAAGTGGACTTATATACGAAAAATTAAGTTTATAATCTCATTGTGTCAACCAGACATATTATATTTAGTTATCTGTTTCCTGACTGACTCGTTGTTTATCGTGCATCTTAAATAATGATGACGTAATGGCTCAATTACATTTTGTCGTTAGCCCGTATTCGGGGTACAAAAGACATCACTCGAATTCGGGTACCTGAAGCAATATTTACACTGGAATACTGGCTGAGAAGAGGGTGTCGGGTAATCAAAAAGAAATCCACCCGAATTACTCGACTCCGTTCATTTACACTTAGTCGGGTTGGCACTCGTATTCGGGCTAACGACAAAGTTTAATCGCGGCATAAGTCTGGTATTGTTTGTCACAGGGTGATAGTAGCGGCGGGCGAGTTAGCCCCATCGAGTGTGGGCGTTAATAGCACCAGCTATAGTAGACAGAAGCGGGCCCAGTTGGTATCGGCGTGGGGCCGGGCAGCCTTAGCACCCGCCCTACAATCGCACGTGCCCGCCCATGTTGCCGCCCTAACCGCCTATCTACAGTGCCTAGGTATTTATATATATATATATATATATATATATATATAATGTGTATTGCATGCGCGCACAAAACTTTCGAAAGACTACACTAAATTGGGTAATATTTTTTTCTTTGTGTTTGTTAATGTCAGACTGGACAAGGTATGTATTTTTTTAGAAAATCCACTAGAAATCACCGGCGAGTACAAAAATCGGGATGATCTATTTTATTTTTGTATTGCAATCTGAACACTTCTCAATTTCGTGCGTAGCCGGGCGGGTAGTTAGATAAATAATTCTTCTGAATTCTCGGCTTCTTGAATTTCGGAAAGAAATCCAACGATTAATACTTCGTTAAAAAAATATCGGTTAATTTTTACTTCTATTTAAGTGTTTTTTTTGTTGTTTAATTGTTGAAATTCGATTTATATATTTTTCTTTAGTGTAAACTTCAGCCCATTTTTGCGTGATAGAGTATCAAATATACAAACTTTCACTTTATAATATTAGTAGTAAGTAATCATCATCAATATATATAGAAATGAATCGCTGAGATGTATGTGCGAAAATTTATAAAGCTAAGGATTCCATAAAGTACAGTGGTTAAATTTTTGTTCTATGACAAATATTGACGAAGTTATGACCAAATTACTAAATGAATTTTCGGATATCCGCGTGGTGACTGTGACGTCACAGAGCTCTAGCGCTCGGGCGCGAGCTTGCGTAGACACGCTACAAAAGTTCGAACGGAGTGAGCCACGATAAAATCGCAACGAATGAACCGATATCGATGATTTAAAAGGTATATTAATTAAAAAGCTTATTAGATCATTATAATGTTGCTTTTGAGTTGATTTGCTAACATAGTAATGATATTCATTTTTGAAAGACTGCACCAAAATGTTGCTTAGACTCTTTGATGAGTGTATATTTGTTGACTTTGACATTATCTATAAATACATATAAACATCTAACTTTGGTACAAATGCGATACTCGGAGGTCGAGTATTTTGCACATTACTGATTAATCTGTATTTCCAGCCCCTCATCTAGTGCGAATGGGTATTGAAGGCGAAGAAGAACTTATAGATTTAGTCGGACGCGCGCTCAATATTACCTGCATCGAGCCCGCCGCCGCCGCTGCCTTGCCAGTAAGTATACACAAAAATAAAATGCAATCATAAACATAAGTTGCACAAAAAACAAGTCTCGCAACTCAGTTCTTCTTCTTCTACCGTCAAAATTTGTGAGATCCATGTTATGCCAAGTCGATGTATTTGTTCAGCCCCTACTTAAGGAACCTTCTGTCTTTGAGTTATTACGAAATTAGCTCACCTAACAACATCCTGGACTGACCATATCAATATTAAAAAACTTGTATGTGTTAAATAAATAAATTGACTTGGAAATCGCATTCAACAATCTAATTTAATATAATATGTGAGATACATTGTGTTTTTCTATGTATTGGCCGTACGGTAGCAAAATAATAGTTTATACTACACCTGCTCGGAAAGTGCTTTATTCTTGTTTTAAAAATGAAGCAGAAAGGACCTCATTACTGTTGTACTACTAAGCGGGCTAGAAAAGTGTATGGAAATCCATTTTTAACGCTCTGAGCGGGCAGAAAAGTCTATGGAAATTCTTATTCAGAGTTTGATTTGCAGAATACTAGCTCGTTTTCGACTACCATTTGTATTAAGTATCATTGATGATTAGCGAGGGCCCGCGACTTCGTCTGCATATTTTTATTAGTTTACCAAATGATTGGTGAGCGTTAAAACATGGAAATAAATACTTTTACTTTCACGGCAAAAAGTCGCATATAACTGTCTCCAGGGTCCCATTTATGTCTCTGTACCAAAATTTAGTTAATCGATTCACTCGTGTAGACGTGAAAGCGTGAGAAAGAAACTAACTCTCGCATGCATGATATAAGTAAGGAATTTGGCTTGCTACCGTGGTAGAAGTTGGTCAAACCTCTTTCGAGTCAAATTTTTGTGTGTCCTAGGCCTAATTAGAAATGATATGGAAGCGTTACTCTCTAAAAAGGTCGCTAAAACGTGCTTTCAAACTCATACAACTAAACTTCAATACTAACGCGACACAGATACAGAAAAAACAAAATATTTTGACAAATAAAATATCTATCGGATATCCATTCATTGGGTCAGATAATGTTCAACGAAAATCCCGACCATTCCCAATAATCGGCGCGTATTTTCGCCCCGCCCATTTGATCGCAGTTTTCGTGGAACCACTTTTTAGTGCAGTTCGTATTCCATATTATTTTTAATTCGTTGTACCTAGGTACTAGAACGCTTCGTGTCATCGAGCGATCCGGGTATGGTGCGGGCCATCCTACGGGCAGTAGCCGGACTGACGGCGTTTGAGTACTTTGCCCCACTAGCAGACGTCGCTGTTAGAACTCATCTCGCACAAGGTGAGTACATCAGCTTTTCAATATGGTTCTTAGGTGTCCGTAGCCAAAGGCTGTCAAGTGGAATCCTATTAATATACCTGTTTTGTCGGTCTATTTTATTACAAGAAGAACTATTATTAACAGATAAGTAATGAATAATGGATAAATTTTTCATATTACGCCCATGTGAATGTAGCGAAATGGCCAAGCCACATATTTTGACTAAGATGTGGCGTATCGACTGCCGTCCAAAAGCTAAAACGCGGCTAAATGACAAATCCAACTTTTGAGATATGGCCAAAAAAAGCGCGTAAACTTTAATTATTGCTATTTTGTAACCATTCATCACATGACGGATTTTTAGACTTAAACTATAAAAGATACGAATACTTGTTAAAAACAGATAGAATTAGAAACTGTATAAGATGCAATTTAAGACTAAAAAATCGACCACATGTCACTTAATTGCACTTTAGTTAGGACGGCAGTGTGAAGTTAGGTCTTTAGAGTAAGGGCGTGTAGAGTTGGAAGCTTGGTCCTACATTAGATTTGAAAACTTTTTGATACTGCGAGTCAATGGTCTGATTTTGGCAACGTACAACTACATGAAAATATCGTTGGTAAAATTACGTATTTCCCGGCTGTTTTACCGCAATGTAAGTATATATAAAGTCCGTCTCTCTCAGACGTACCTGGCATTGAACACTTTCCTTTTTGTTCCTTAAAGAGCATGTTAAGGTTAAACTGCTGTCAAATTTAGTAAATCGTATGGTTATATAGTTTGATGAAAATTTAATAATTAAATGTCATTCAAAAAAGTCTATAATGTCAGTGGATTTTCGGTTCCTCTCAGACGGTACCTGGCAGTCAGTATGGGCTGCGTGGCATAACTGCATATGGACTGATCCCGGCCCATTATGTGCGCGTGCGCGTCTATACGCTGCGTATGCTGCGCATGCGCGACAACAAGATCAAGATACAATGCGCACTAGTTTCCTGGCGCTGATGGCCGCTGACATCGACTTGTGAGTCCAACATTATACTAATACATACTAGCCTTAAGTTTTATGATAATTTCACAGGCACCTAATATTTTTCCGGGATATAAAGTAACCTATGTATAAACTAATGATTGTGTGCCAAATATCATCCTATCAGTGACTTCACTTGATTTCCCAGAGCAAATCTGTATTCAAGACCCCTCATCCTCTTATTGCTTTCTAGTAAGAAAAACGAAGCCTTAGTGGCCTTATGGATATGCGTGGCGTGTCGCATAGCGCGGTGCAGCGACAGCGGGGGCTCCGGGGCGGAGTGCCGCGCGGCTGCCGCGGGGCTGCTGGCGCGGTGGGCCGAAGCCCCGCGCGGGCTGCTGAGGCTGGTGCTGCCGTCTGCCGGGAATACTTCACCTACGCCTTTGTGAGTAACTTACAATACATCTTTATAGTGTCGCATAGCGCGGTGCAGTGACAGCGGGGGCTGCTGGCGCGGTGGGCCGAAGCCCCGCGCGGGCTGCTGAGGCTGGTGCTGCCGTCTGCCGGGAATACTTCACCTACGCCTTTGTGAGTGGCTTTTATAGCCATTATAATAGTCTGCGCAGTCGCTTACAACTGCATACAGTAACGTTCACGAAGGTTTAAAAGTACCGCGTACAAAAAGTCACGAACAACTGAGCACACCAAGAGACCGGCTAAAAGGACGCTGGTGTCCTCGTAAAAACTAGCACTCATGTGACTAGGCGCAGCAACTCACACACGATTTACGCGCTCGATCCGATTTAAAGACATGGACTCTTAGTATTCTATTTTCAAAACGTCTTCTCGTTTTCTTAAACTTCATATTGATTGTTTGTGTTGTAACACAAGGTAATCTGATAACATAAATGCATCTATAGCTTGCGCTTTTCTAAATCTTCCAGAGACAAATAGTAATAGTGCGGTATGTTCGCGACAAATCCACGGTGGACATTTTTTTCACGATTTAGCGTGAAAAACATGTGACATGTCTGCGCAGATTATAAGAAAACAATACATCTTTATAATTCCCACTACACTTGAACATTTTTTAACAAAATATATACCTACCATTCTGCTTATTAATTATTTTTTTTTTCAAATAATAATCGCATATAAATTTTATTAATGTGATGCTATCCTATTTATAATATTAGAGTGCCCACGATACAGGTTTTTTCTAGCGTGGGACCCACAGTCAATGCTACAATATTGTTACGTTAACTTAAGTCTTAATAATAATTAATAAATAAAAAAAATGGAAAATATATTTTTTCGTAATTTTTTAAACATTTCACTTCACATCACATTTACAGTCCCTTCAACCTTTCTATTCCAGCTACAAGAAGATTCTCTGCGACACTTTATGTTTGAATTTTATTCACAGACACCGTCTACTCTGTCTTCTTGCGCAGTGCATACTGTCCACTGACAATGCGAACGCCGCACGCGCATACGAGTCTGCGTTTGCCGCAGTCTCAAGTTCGAATCCCGACATCGCCACTTGGGCTCAAACGCCCCACCCTAAGAGGTTGCCACGACTGGCGATGAGGTTGTTCCCAGCTGAAGATAAGTACTTCAAACATGAATTAGATCTCGCACCTGACGATACGTAGAACTATGTACGGTTACGAAAAGACGTTTTATGTTGACTGAATAATATAGTACTTTATACGACTGTCGTTTAGCCCTTCCTGGCTATTGAAACACGAGAGTCTGTATATCATATGCCGCATATATAAATTATATGCGGTTGTATACACTACCTTATTTTAAAGAAATAATTAAATAAGCAACAAATAAACTATCTTCACTCCATAGGAACAATAGGGGTGATGACGGGGTACAGTAAACGAAATTCTCTTTAGTCCTTCAGTTAGATGATCAAAAAATATATATTTTTTCTTTGGGCAATATAAAAATATGTGTTTTTTCTTTCAACCAAAAAATGACAAAGTTATAGCGCGTCAAAGTTTGGGAGTAGGGCCTCGTGACGTCACTTTTTAGTGAATATTCGCTTAAAAGTGTACTCAAACGTGACGTCAAAATCAATATATCTCTGCAATGTTCATATGTTTATATGAAAAAAGAAAAAATAGTCTTTGATAATCTACCTGATAAACGAAAAAAAAAAATTTAGTCATCATCCCTATTTAAATTAAGCAAAGGAGCTATGTAAAAAGGAAGTATTTCACAAAGCTTTCCGGTACCGCTAGCACGAACCATTATCGAATTCGAATAGTTTGCAAACCGAAATGTCAATGTCAAATTTTGTATGGAAACTTGAACAGCAGCGGCACAAAGTACGTAACCCGACCTAAAAATCAGTACAAATTTGACAATAACATTTCGGACTCGAAAACGTTACGAATTCGATTTTGGTTCGTGCTAAGGGTACTGAAATCCCGAAAACAAAACACGATCGGCAGAACATTTTATGGCAAGCGCGGGAAATTAAGTTCTAACTACGTATTCGAGCGCCGATTTTTTTTTCACATTCAGCCTAATAGATTAAATTAAAAAATAAAAGTGTTCTGTAATGATTAAAAATATTTTACGATACAGCTAGCGGTACTGCAATGAGTTTTATTTTATTTTTTATATATATTATATAAAACGTCTTTATAACAATCTTTAAATTAGTAATTCCAATATTTCGACATGAGTGGTAAAGTCTATTTTAGTTATTTTATTGCAAGTGATGTAAAGATAATCGCATCAATCTTCATGTTCGTGTTGATATTCAATAAAAAAAAAAACTTCATTAACTCTCTCACACCGACCAGAAAGGTTAGCAACCAATTGCTATCACTATACGTTAGAGATTGGCTTCTGTTAATCGTGGAGTAAGACATTTGTTTTACCAAAGTAAATATTTTTCGAAAATGGCTTACCTAAAATTAAAATCCGAATCCAAAATATCAAGATAAATGAAACAAATCCTCTTCTCTAACAATTAGTTAAATTGCTTTGAGTGATGTAATGACTACAATTCTAGTCGTTTTTTGAAAGAATTTGTTAAACCGTACGTTATTTTTATTAATCAGTTAGTGTTATGACACTTTTTTAAATTCTAGCTTTTTAAATTGACTATTATATTATTAGTGTTATTTTATTATGTTTATGTAGATTAGTTGACACCAAAGTCGCGTTAAGTTGTTTAGTGAGACTTACTCTAAATATTTTACCAATAGAAATATTTTCTACAAAATTGAATTTTAAAGCAAACGTAACATTGTCGAATATGTAGTCGCTAACCTTTTTAATGAATTTGGTAAAAAGAGACTTAGCTTTCCTTGAAGATTAATGGAATCAAGCAAGGTTTAAACCTCAGAACAAGAACTAAAGCACAGAAAGAGTTTAAATTGAACTCACAAAGTCGACATATAGTTATCTTATTTTTTCATATAGACTAAAAATTGCCAAACATATGTTGCTATGAACCGTACTATGAAAGGCGTGCATCGAAAAGTTTTTTTCAGAATAGTTGAATATTTTACTAGACAAATATTGAGTTTCTGGTATACCTACCTAATTATGGAGATTCTAGTATAAGTTTGAGATTTATTAAATTACGACTTTGTTGGCACAAATATCGTCATCACTATACAAACGTCAATTTGAATACGTTTGTCTGCCTGTTTTGTTTGTATGTTACATTTGCCTTGTGGATGCCTTGATTACCTTTACAATACCGAATCAAAAAGCAATAAAATGAAATACAACACGGCATTACTTTTTGCTGGGTAATACCTTAATTGGAAATATTTTCGTAAATGTATTGTCTATGGGAGTGTACGCTCAAATGTAATAGCATTACTTCTATGCTTGTAGTTCTTGTTCTAAAGTTTAAACAAATGCGACTTTAATGTGTGTATTTTGTTTTTATTAAACTATCGATGGTATATGTTTTTCACTTTGTTACAAAAACTCTCGAATTTCTGAATAGACGTGAAAATATAAATTGGAAAAATGAAGACGAATTATTTTTAAAATTGCCTACGAATATGTTATATAGTTATTATGTATAGTTTAAAAACATATCTTATTATTGTGATAGCCCATTTAATCTAAGGATATGTATAATGTTGACTGCTCCAAACAAATTGATGTTGCAATGGCATAAATTAATTAGGTATATAATCTATCAGTAGGTAAACTTTTTGTGAGTAGTTCGATGGCGCAGGCGTTTATCGCATTGGGTCGGCGATCGTGAAAGTTAAGCATCTTGCGCAATGCTCGGTTATTCGATGGGTGACCAAAAACTTATTCTCTCACGGTCCTCTGTGCTTCGGAAGGCACGTTAAGTCGTTGGTCCCGGCTGCAGTCGTTTGCACCCACCAATCCGCACTGGGCCCGCGTGCGGTGGGTCATGGCCCTATACCTTCCATAGGGAAGGCCTGTGCCCCAGCAGTGAGGACATTAATAGGCGGGTGATGATGAAACTTTTTCTGTCGATGATGCCAAATTTGTATTTATTAGGATATTGGTAACTATTTGACGAAGACGTAACGATTTTGTTAAGTTTAACCTACTACTTTCTTATCACATTGTGTGAGTAATTATTACTGTTTAGTGTTGATATTGTCTATATATGAAAGTATTAAGTGATTTTAAGAAGAAGTTACTCTGTATTTTGAACAAAAAATATCACTTTTATTAAATTCGTCACAATTTTTTTCGTTCATTTTAGCATGTTGCATTACATTTTTAATCATTATTGAAAATTCAAACCCTGACCAACGAAGCAACGGTGGTTAAGTGGTATAATGCTCGCCTGCTACGCGAGCTGACTGGGTTCGATTCCCAGCCAAGGAAAGGGCATTTTTCCCCTTTTTATAAGCCAGCAAATAATTTGAGGCGATGTACAACAATTTAAAAGTTTCACTTGCATCGTGTTATAACTAGAGTGTTTACATAGTAGATAGGACCAAATTATTTTTAAACTAGCGAATTACGATATTTTTTGTAATGCCATGTTATTTTAAAAAAAAATAAAAATTACTAAAATGTTACTATGAAGTATTTGTATTTTCTTATACCTTATTTACCTTTTAAATAAAGAAAAAAAACGAGCGAGCCTTACAGTAGTCGCGTATGATGTGTAACGTTTGAAACCTTACCATATATTTGTAAAAAACGAAATAAAACCTACTACAAAAGGCATCAGCCATTTGAACATTATGTTCTAAAATCAAATACCGCGCGCTTTCGCGACTTCCTGTTACACACTTCCGTCCCATTTCACGAAATCACTCCCACAAATTGCAGGATAGCGAGAGGAAAGATGTTACGCATCAATAAATATTTCTTTGAAAATACAACAAGATACTTAGATTTTATCTTAACAATAAGCACTGACTAATATTATGTCGGCAGAGGTAAATTTTGTCCGCCTCATTCTACAACGCGAACTAAAGTTATTCTTTGTTTAACCCTTATGTTGTCTCTGTCTTCCCTTTAGCAAATAAATGTGACAGCATCGGTTTTAGTCCAGGTTTAACTTTATTCTACGTTTTGTGATAAGGCGGGTTAAGTTTGGATGTATTGTCTGAAGCTACACATCATACTAATATTATAAAGGCGAAAGTTTGTGTTACTTCTTCACGTCTAAACGGCTGGAGCGATTTTAATAAAATTTGGTATGGAGTTAGCTGACACCCTGGATTAAATAAACCGGGGGTAACACCGCGGGGCATAGCTAGTTTGATATAAAAAATCATTCATAAATATTTAACATGGACTTTTAGGGAAAACATGGACTATCTATTATCCCTCTACATTTGTAGAGCATTTTTTATTGATATTCTTAAAGTTGCCACCTGGATTCTAGTGGGGTGCGGTGGGCAGAGCTAGTACCTACTCAGTGAAATAAAATTATTTATGAGTGAAGCGGAGAGCTAGTGGGATGGAATATGAAGGCTTGGATTTAGGACGCAATGGGTTTATTAACACGATTCTATAGTTAAACACAAAATAATATTATATCTGATGACAGGCAAAGACTATAACCACAATAACAATTTTGAAGCAAAAATCATAAAAATGTTAATACTTTAAAAACACTTCAAAAAACCATAAAAACTAAATTTATAAAAGAGGTCGGCAACAATGAGGATAAATCTAATGTTTCAGTTATTTTCCACTTTTGGTTGATAATGGCTTCTACCATAGAGAAACAACTTCATTGCTCATTTTGAAACTTTTAACCAAAACTTTTGTGTGGATGTCGATCGTAACGATTATTGTCTAAAAGTGGCGCCAAGTCTACTTCTTTTGACTGAACGCTGAATTGAATAGTAACTCGATAGGCACCATCGTCATCATAACCAGTCAACAGTTAAAAAAACCACAATATTTAATAATTTATATACATTATAAGATAAAATCATATTATTCATTAAAACTGCATCTGTGTTAGTATCCACCAATCCGCACTGGGCCCGCGTGGTGGGTCATGGCCCAATCTCCCTATTCATTCCATAAGGATGGTCTGTGCACCAGCAATGGAGACATTAACCCTTAACTTAGCAATGTACCACCTAAGGAACATCCATTAGCACAAAAGAAATCAAGAAAGATTGGCAATGTTCCATGTGTGGCACATCAATTTTCCGGAAAACTGAAGCTTACAGATTTTTTGTACTATTTTTTAACAGTCTTTTACTGACCGTAGAACAAGATTAAATTGAAAGAATTACCAATTTCAGCAAAAAATATGTTTGCCAATCCAAGGGTTAATAGGCTGATAATGATGATTCATTAAAACTTATATTTATACCTAAGTAGGTACTAAATAACTAAACTATTTTAAGTTATCTCGTATTTAAGTTTAAGGCAACATTTATGCATTTTTTTTATTAGATTTATTTTTTAGCAAAAACTGTTCAAGCCTATTGTTTCGTGTGAATAAAACTACCGACGTTGTGTAATCAACAAAACAATTCGTCATGCGAGAGTCTGATTAGCGTATCAGTTATATCATACTTATCACTATGATTGATATTATTGTCAAGTAAATTGGTAAGACCCGCTAAAACTCCCGTGCGATGGGTTTCGACATGGTTTTGTCTGTATAGTATAATATCAAAGTAGTAGCTTATGATACAAATTTGTATGGCGCGTACATAGAATCAGTATCTTTGTAAGTCATTAATCGTCCTTTATGACACAATTTATGATATTTATCGCTGTCTGCGTATGTATAGTAATTCATCCGTCATTTTCGACGTTTTTTATCTCTACATACCAATGAAAATTATCAATATTATCTCTCTTTTTTTTGTAGGCACAACTGCTACTGTAACTTTAATGATATTCTTATATCATATATCAATGTCTTCGTAGTACGTTTATTTTATACTAGGTGTGTCCCGTGGTTTTACCCGTGCTTTATTAGGGATGTTTTCCCAGACGTGAAGAAGTAACAAACATACACACAAACACGCTCAGAAACTTTCGACTTTATAATATTAGTGTGGTATTGAACAAAATAAATATCTTTGGACTTTATCGTAGTGTAATTTTTAAAATTTTCACTTTATTTAAGTATAAACAGTCGCGAAAGTTAATGCGACAAAGTCTAAACAAGCTCGTATATTTCAAAACACGCCAGTACAGTGAAAACCATGTCAGTGGTACACTTGCACTAGTTAAAGGTGTATCCATCTATGAGACCTTAATATGTCCATATTTAATTATTGATTCAGATATTAAAACCTTGTTTTGTCTCATTGTAATTCTTTATTAACATGAAAAAGCTAAGCAAGTTATATTCTGAGCCTAAAAGCTCTTTGGTATGACCAAATTAAAAAAAACATTTTTTAACATTATTTTCAATTTTCTGAACCAGTTCTTGGCTACTGTACTAGAAGTAACACTATGACAGACAAGTTTTCAACATAAGATAAATAAATATCCAACAGCTAACAGTCTAACTTCAGATAAAGATTCCTATCGTACGCTTTTAGTTTCTAGTAAGCCCTAAGTGGAGAAATCAGTACAGCAATTTACGCTATCAAATCTTAAAAAAAAAAACTTTCAATATTAGATTCGAATCTTTGTAGATTTTAAGTGCTTTTTCCTCAAAAGTGGCAAACATCTAACGTCTTTAATGTACTTCATTAGGGAGGCAAGACTCCAATCATAAAATTATATTTTTTTGTTTCTTAGGTTTTCACGCACATCACTTATTAAATTATTCTGACGAAGCAGACCTGAAAAGGCTGCTAAACGTCAATAAATAAATAAAGTTTCGTGCATTAACCCGTTAAAACTAGTTTTATTATAATTTTTATTAAAATAATTAATCTAGGATTAAATATACACTTGAGAATATTATTCAGTACCCACACATTTTGCTGAACATCAAAATCACTCGTCGACTTTTTCGAGCTCATTTTAACATAAACACTCGTTGTAGACAACTCAGACGATCATTTAGCTGGCACAGCTAACCTCTTCGTCTTGTAATGTATGACCAAGGCCAACACAGCGGACGCGATCGCGACGGCAGCGACGCGGTTCTGGGGTAGAACCCCTCCCCATAACCAACCGCGAGGCAGCCAGCTCACCGCGTGTACAACGTCTAGGAGGAGTTTGATGGAGGTAAGACGAGCGGTGGATAACCGAGCGCCGGCGCAACGAGAATGACCGGGGGATTTCAGCACTGACGCCGCATGGTGAAGAGCGCGTACAGACCTGGGAAGTGTAAAGTTCGAGTCAAACAATTATAACTTGAGACATCCTACTAATAGTATAGATGTGAAAGTTTGTATGTTTATTACTCGATCACGCAAATCTCGGTTATGACCTGGATTAAGACATTGGATACTTTTTATGTCGAAAAATATTTAGGTTCCTGAGGGCCGCTAGAATCGATATAATTATTTGTCTGTGAGGTGGCTGAATTTAGCCATCCCAATATAAAGGACATACTTTGGTTCTTCGCGTAACATGCCTCCCATACAAACAGGTTAATGTATATTTTTACGGAGGAGGAATTTGATGGCGCAAGTGGTTATCAATGTTTGGTCTGTGAACGTGGAAGTTTATTAAATATAGATAGGTATAGACAGGAAACCAAAAATTTATTATCTGGAGCTCCTCCTGGCTTAAGAAGGCACGTTAAACCATTGGTTCCAACTGCATCTGTAGTGATTAGGGCCCACCAATTCGCATTGAGTCCGCGGGGTGGTTCCAATTCCCTTTTCCATTCATATGGAAGACCTATGCCCAAACAGTGTGCAAATAAAGATTGCAGATTACCAAAAAGAGCATGGGTGTCCTCAAAGAGGCGTGTAGTAGTTCTTATTGCATTGGCAATGCGCGTGTGATACGACTGATGTCGCTGGCATCCAGCCGGACCGTGTGCTTGATTGTCTTCTATTACAGAGCACCCCCATTAGAGTGCATATAAAGGCAATATGCAGCAATACAACTAAGCTGGTGACACGCCCCCAAAAGTCGAGATCCAAATTCGACCTTCACATCAAACTGATTTGTCAAAGCGAGGGCAGTGTAGTCACTATATTATGTTATTAAATACATCCTTACCTAACAAACACCACAAAAGCTGACAGCGAGCTGAACAGCTTGTGCGCGATCCTGCCGTGTCTCCGTTTACCGATGACACATTCTCAGCCTGGAGGTATGCTAGTGTCAGCACCCAAGCAAGGGATGTCGCGGGCACCACCTAATATGTTTAACCTCACCTAACAAACCCCACGAAAGCTGAGTGACCAGAACAGTTAATATGCGACCCTAACTCCGTCTCCGTCTACCGATGACAGCGTCAGCACGCTTGGATTGTCCATTAACCGTACCACCTTCTAAGCCTGGAGGTATGCCAGCGCCAGCATACCCTCACTAATATGTTAAACCTCACCTAACAAACCCCACGAAGGCTGACAGCGACCAGAACAGTTTGTGCGCGATTCTGGCGCGGTCGCCGTTCACCGGGGACAGCGTCAGCATGCCTGCTTCCATATACCATACCACCTTCTCAGCCTGCAGGTATGCCAGTGTCAGCACCCCGTTTGCCACTCCCAACGTACCCCACAGCGGGCCGTCCTAGAATGTAAGTGTACTATTTAATTAAGATAACTGCTTCACCGGCTATCTTTGCATCTGGTCTTCGCCGTCACTTCACATGCAGTCATTAGCTAGGAAAAATTAAAAAAAAAGGAAAATTAACTGCACAATCGGTTCTCCTCGAATCGGTACTTGATAGAGACGCGACGGTTGCACGATGAACTTTTTTTCTCGAGTATTTGTTAAACATATAGGTACCTACTTATTCGAATAGGTATAATAATCTGCTAACTGTTTAGAATCTATATACCACGGACATGCTGTGTTTGTTTTGTACACAGTTTGGCGGGACACTTACTGTATTATCCTACAAAAACTACATTGTATTTACAGAAGGACAAACATAAGTTACAAAAAATCAATTTTTTGCTTGTGCTTACTTTGTAATAATTTGAATACAATACGATTAAGTTGAGTAGAGTCAGGTTCGGATTTAGAGGTGAGCAGGCTCTGGGTCAACGAAAGCCCCTAACGGGGGCTTATTTTAAAGTCTGGCACCCTGGGTCCCTTCCGATCGGCAAAAGCCTTATAAAAACATTCATTACTGACTTATATTTTGATTCTATTTACTAATTCCAGGAGGAATGGGTGTAAATCGTAAGTGGCCTGGGGCGTCACATTTTAAAACACGCCTTTGCAGATAGTAGCTCACCTTTTCCCCGAGCCCGTAGGCGAGCATATTCTTGAGCGCGGCTGGGTCGTCGAACAGGCGCAGCGTTGCGCGTGCGCTCGCCAGCCGCGCGCTTGCTGTTAACAAGTCCTTCCTCTCCGCCGTAGCGCCCCATAATTTCAGTATGTAGCTCGCTAAACTCACCACCTAATTTGCATAGCATAATTTAAACGTTTCGTTGATTGAAGCTTATAAATGTTTCATTAGGATAAGTAAGTACAGGGAAGGTCACTTTGATTATTCACTGAGTAAATAATCAATCTCTCGATGGAGGAAATCTTACCAAAACACGGAGGAACTATTAGGTAATTTATGCCAAAAGTGCAAGCATCATTGCATTTTCTATTATTTTCGAATAAAAACTGAGAAGTTCAGAGAGCCTTAAAAACACCGTGTTAATTTTTTTATGATTTAAGTACAGGTACTAATGTTATGGTGACTGCATGTAAGTAAATGAAATGCTAAATTTTAAGTTCATCACTCAAAGTTACAACTATTTATTTTAGGAGATATACTTAGTTGATATATCTATCTTTTTGTGACGTTAATCTGGCTTTTAAAAGTGAAAAATAAATTTTAAAGTCCGTCCTCGATTGGTAATCGAACCCGGACTGTTCGGGTGGACTCAACCACTAAGGCTTGTTAATAGGTTCTGATTGTCTTATTAACAATAAAAAAAAATAACAAGACTTCAAAAAAACCGAAAATGAATAAGTAGGATTTACTGATTGATACTTGAAGCCGAACTAATCCATGTGTTTTCAGGGAGATCATGATAATTGTAAAATACGGGAAACTTATAAAGTTTCACTTTATAAAATAATTAAAAATTGACAAAAAAGGAAATAAATAAACATACCTTATCGCGGTTGGTGTGACACTGTAATAAATCACAAACTTCATTCACCAAATTCATTATACCAGACGCGCTAATATATTCGTTATGTACACAATGAAAATGATGTACCATATACCTATGTGAACATTGATACCTTTTTGCGAGTTTCTTATCGCAGAGATAAAAGATATATGTTTTATCTAATGTTATTCTGATAAAATTAATTTTTCAACTAAACAAGTGATTGAATGAAATACAAATAAGACATAGATATATAATACGAGCTTCTTTAATATACTTATTAAAAATTATGTAACACTTGGGAGCGTATTACGACCTTACTGAACAACAGAAACTGTCAAAAGGCATTTTTTTTTATGTTATAGGGGGCATACGAGCAGACGGCTCACCTGATGGTAAGTGATCACCGTCGCCCATGGACACTTGCAACACCAGGAGTATCACAAATGCGATGCCGGCCTTTAAGGAAGGAGTACGCTCTTTTTTTGAAGGTTCTTGGGTCGTATTGGTCCGGAAACACTGCTGGCGACAACATATTCCACAGTTTTGTCGTACGTGGTAAAAAATTTCGACAAAAATGCACAGTTGTGGATAGCCACGCATCAAGATGATGGGGATGAAATTTTTGTCGCGATGTACGATGGCGAAATGCAGCAGCTGGAATTAATCCGAACAATTCCTCAGAACACTCCCCGTGATAAATGCGATAGAAGATGCAGAGCGAAGCTACATTCCTACGCAAAGCCAAAGGATTTAGGTACTGTCCTCTTTTTTTATGTCTACGCAGGCAAACAATCTGACAGTCCACCTGTCAGCCAAGTCTGCTCACTGTTGCCCATGTAGGTATAGTTGCCGCACCAGAGACCATGCGTTGCCGGGCTCGGAACATTTTAAAGGTAATTAATCAATACATCAACTAACATAGTTTCAGAAACTAAAACCACTCTGTACAATTGTCAATTCATAAACTTCCATTGTTTCAAGAGAGGTGGTGCATAGCGGATTTCTCGAATTGGAGCGCCCGTCTGGGGAAGAAACCTCCATCTTACAGCGTCACAGTGAAATAACAATAGGTACTTTTTGGTACAGTTGTGTTACTGCCGGTAAGGTTTCAGGGCTCCACGGGGTAGTGGATGGGGTCGTGTTAGGCAACGGCGCAAGCAAAGGCATCGCACACGTTTATATAATTTTATGTTTACAAAACAAAAAACTACATATTAAGTTGGCAGCTGACGAAATAAATGAAACGCTGCGATTTATATCTGGATGGTAGAGTTTACCATCCAGATATAAAATTATCCAATCGAAAGCAGAAGCAGAGGTCATGGAATAAAACCAAAGTATAAAAAACTGTTTCAGAATATTATATTGTTCTCAGTAAATATTTTTCATCTTCAGTTTGTTTTCAAAATCGCGCAGGTACATTAAGCTTATTGCTACAAACATTATAACAGGTTTAGGGTACTTAATAATTTCGTAACATCGTTAATCACTGTTACTAGACCAGGTAATCAATTTCTATAAATACCATTTTGTTAATTATCAAAAAAACAATTACTAAAGTAATTATCTATTTATAAATATAAAATTCTAATGTAACATTTAAATTTAAGTATATTATTCTTGTCGTGTCGAAAGGATATAATATGATATTAATTAAATATTTCTATAATAATGTCGTAGTCATAAAAAAATAAGGAATGACTAGTTTTCTCAGGAAAATGCCATAATGGATTTACTCCATTTTCAAATGTCGGAATAATGATAATGTGAGTGGAAGACTGTTAAGTAGTATAACAAACAAACAAAACATAAAAAAAAACATATCACATACCTATACATAATACCAACAGTGTTTTTTCAGTCTACAGCTGCATCCCAATTCAATACATTTTCGTAATTTCAAGATAAATTTATATTTTGTACAAAACTAATAGAATACACATTCAAAATGTGTTTCAAGTAAAATCTTTCTATTTACCTCTTTATCTAAAAGTTAAAGGGGTAGGGAAGTATTTATTTAAAATGTATAAAAGTTATGAAATTTATTTCATTAACAAGTAAGAACACAACCCTGCCCTCCTATTAATAAATGAAGACCAAGATTTGTCTCAGTTCATCAAAATACAAATGTCATTTGAGCGATATGAAAAAAGACTGCATTACTATTCCTAGCTTTGTTTAAAGCAAATTAATACATATTGCGAACTGCTACCAAATAATATGTACATATTTATTTGCTTCAGTCTTACTAAGGAGCATTGGTACTACTTAGTAAAGAAGTACCTACTCTCAATGTACTGAAATTTTAAAGTAATGCATTCTATTTGGCTGTTCTATTCAATTTGTAGAAAGAATGTACCTAACATTCTATTCTTATCAATTTTTAGATTTTTTTGTTAATTAAAGTATGATAATGTATCAATAGAACAATGGTAAGGAGCCACCTATGTTAATCACCACACACTATTTCAACAAACGTCTCCTAGCAAAGTAGAGAGCTATTCCCATAATGGAGGAAGTGGTTGCGATGGCTGCGACTTTGGTGGCGCCAATTTTTTCACCCCAAAGGTATCCTTCAGGCAGGCAAGATACGGCGTGTATGATGTCGAGGCACATTTTCAGCGCAGTCACGGACTGTAGGGCTATACGCGTGTCTAACCCGCGCTTCGCTTCCCAGGACCCTTCAGAGGAATTGAGACAATCTTTGCTCCACCACAGTTGCCTTATGGATCTGATTGTCCTGAAATGTTTACCACATCATTAATTTACTTGTCAAGGAAATGTGTTATCTCCTGATGAATTACTGCAATATCATCACATATCTACTTAACAATATTGTGTGATATTTATTTTGATAAAACAAGTTGTCGTAATAAATAAGTTTTTTCTTAGTCTATATATCAAATTAATTAATTGCCATGATGTATAATGCAATACAACATTTTTAACAAAATAGAAAATGTTGTATTTGAATTAATTTGATATATAGACTATTGTCTGACTTCAATACTTTATGTAAAAAAAACAACAATATAAATTAGTAATCTTACTGTAGTAACGCAATGTATAAGCTGGCTGCCCAGAGTGCTGTACTCAGAGTCTCTAGCTTGTATGCTGTGTCTGGGTGTAGTTTTATAATACCAACTTCATGGAGCCAACATGCTTTCTCCACTGGCAGAAATCCTTGATCTACTATGTTTGCAAGTACACCTAAGGCTGCAGCCATTTTAGATGTTTCCTAAAAACAACAGCTTTGTTATTAATAATAATAAATACACTGCGTTGATAAGCAGAAATCAGAAAGCATTTTGAAGTCAGTGAAAGTTTGCTCTTTGAACCTATGTTAAAGTTTTATTCTAATAATGACAAATGGTTGTTTTCTGATCTCACAATCATACTTTAACATTGTTACACAGAACTTACTTTGCTACCTTCAAAAATACCTGGTGGCTTTCCGTTTAACACTGCTTAGCTTAAGGTCCATTTGTGACATAAAAGATGGATCTATCTAATTACCTCCTTTGTACATGGACTATTGTTAAAAGAACCAGAATATAACAATGTCAAAAAAACTTGACTCAAATAAAATTGTATACTACAAAAAGTAATTGAAATTGCTGTTGAAATACATTCCTCATACAAAAGTAATTTCCATTTTTTTTCTTACTTTTTGTTATTGAAAGATAAACAACAAAGCAAATAAGCAAAAACTGTACAAATACCTACAATATACTTTACTACTGTATTTGCATTACATTGTTGCTGATTTGCATAACAATATATGAAAACTTGGTGATGTTCTTAAAGTGAAAAGTATCATTGTAAACATTTTCAGTTGTTTTTAACAGACTATCTAAAACAGTCTTGAATAATTTAGAAAATATTATTTAATTTACACTATGCAATCACAGCTCAGTTTACTCACATGTCTTCCTAAGCCATAACTGTATGTGTGCCTCAGCATGGGGATGTCATCAAACAATCTGAGCATCAGTCGAGCACCAGACAGCCTAGACCCAGCCGATTGCCATGCTTTATCATTTATAATGCAGCCATACAGTTTGAAAGCATAGCATGTTAATCTGACTACCTGCAAACAAAGTGTTTAAAGTCAATAAATAAATACTAAATAAATATAATATAAAATCTTCAATTTGGTTCCTGTTTATTTGTGAATGAATGACTCTTGAAAGAAAAATAAAGTCTTTTAATTTTGAAGATTAACAAAGATTATTTAAAATTAAGGTCTTTCGTATAGGAAACTTGATATTGGGACAAGCAGCATTCTGAGAACATACTAGGAGCAACTGGTTTTTTGGCGACCAGAATAATAGCATTTCCAAGGCTATTCGATTTCCGCATTCTTACCTTATCCCTGCCATTGTAACTATCTAAAAGCTCGGAAATATCTTCAGTTATAGAAGACATACTGCGAGAAAACACTTTCGAAATCAATAGTGGTCAAAGAAACGCAATGTATTCACTGACAACTTTATCGCGTTCCGTTGATTTATGACCAGTTGGACGGTACGCGGACCAGATAACGTGCGAATGTGCAGATTTTCAAACTATAACTACAACATTTCACCAATCTCCAACTTGTAAACCTTGATTGCGAAAGGGCCGAGCAAACAAGCAATCGCCAGCTGACAAAGTTTTGCGCTCGCTGATGAGATGCTGACATTGACAACGTAAACATTTCCACGTGGTTTGATAAACTATTAGGGTCCGAAATCAGCTACCTAACCCAAATTGGCATTGATGTTTATGATAAATTTTAAAATCTATACAGTTATTTCTTGCTTATTTTACATAAAACTTAATTTTAGCTTCTATTTTTTTTTTTGATAAATTTGATGATTCTCGAATATGTTCACGAAACTTGATACTGCAACGTAAGTGACTATAAAAAACATCGCCCTAAAAACAATCAGCATTTCGGAAGTTTATTCCGGCGAGTAATGTCAATGTCAAAGTGACATTTGTGACAATTTCATTTGACACTATAAAATAAAAACATGTCAATGAATGCTCGATCGAGGATTTATTTACGAATTGTTTTTCTATAATTTATATTTTGTTCAATGAAATAAGTATGACAGTCTTTAAAATTGATAATATACCAGATTTTTCCAAAAAGGACCGTATAGTGGTTGTAGGAGTGATCGGGAAGTCTCCTTACCGGTACCCTAATAAGACTACTCCCCTCCTGCCTTCAGTAAACAGTGATGAGGTAAGTACAGAAGTATATCTAATAACTTTATTAATACTTAATATTTAATAAATAAATAAATATCAGGCTACAACCAATAACCTGATGCACTAATTTATAGGTAACTTAACCTATTTAGTTATGAATTGCTTACATTACAAGACAATGTACAAGATAATTCTGGTGCAAGAGCTGGTATGAAGACATCGCATAGAGACTTTAACTTTAATAACAGACAATTTTTCACCGAAAATAGTCAAGTGTCAATTCTTGGGCCCAGAAAGTACAGCTTTACCAGAGAAGCTTATATAGATTCTATAATTTTCCAGAATGGTATTGAATGCCACTGGGATGAGAGGCGCAGTGTCCTGTATCTACATGCTGTCACCTATTTAGACACAAAACAACTGACCAAGCTTGCAGAAAATCTAGACGAAAACTCTAAAAGCACCGAGAAAGATGCTGATGCTGCACATTGGCTCGTGGCCGCGGGGGAACTTGCAGCAGACTCTTGTAGAACGATTGCTCTTTTATTCCACTTGTGTCACATAGTGGTGTTATCACATCCCACTCCAGTGTTCGACCTGGGGTACTTGCAGCTTTTTAAAGCAATAGATGCATATAGGTAAGCAATAAGTTGTTTTATGTACTAACAGGTGGTAAATTCCTACAATTTCATCAGATGAAAAAAAAATGGTGATTAAAAATTTGGATACTTGTATAGGAAGGCTCACAGTTTCTTTAATTACCATGTAACACAAATAGGAGGGATTGTTTCCACATTTTCCATGTGGATCATAATAAATTAAGAAATACCTCTTTACTAGTATTTTGTTCTTGCGAATCCCACAGTAATTAAAAAAATCAGGATAAAAAGATATATGTGGGCTGAATTTTATCCTAATCGATTTAGCAGTTTTTGCGGATTGAGTAACAAACATTTGAACATTCATATTTATCTATGAGGTTAATAAATAAAACAACCTATAAAATATATAAATTTAAAGAATTCAAGTAGCTACAATAGCCAGGAATATTAAGAATTAAAGTATTAAAGAAACATATGCATTATGATTTTTTATAATGTTTTTCCTGTATACTTATAAGGTTTTCATCCTAGCTATCTTTGCAACCGTATGACTTATCATTTATCTGATTTTACCAGTAGAAAGAGCACAATAAGTTACGTATAACTGTGTTCATAACTCAATTTCGTAAAAAAGTGCATTTACTTGTTTTTCGCAGTAAGCAGACAATATGATATTTTTGGAAAAATATCCTTCCTCAATTACTAAGATTTAAATACACTTTTGGATAAGAACCTCCCTAAACTAAGTACCTTCAAATGACCTGAACACTTTGGGGGCTGATTTAGGGCATTGTCCCCTCATACTGTCGACACCACATTGCCACTAGGGGGCGCGTGGGAGAGCCACGGGCGAACGTGTTGCCCTCAATCCTTTAATCAATACTAGTTTATAATGCCTTCTAATGACCAGTACAAAGTGGGGATTTGTACATTATTCTTTAAACAACTAAAGCAGAGTGGAGGGTTCGGGCGCGTGAGAGAGCCGCTAGCGGGTGTTTTGCGCCCGTCTGGTCCGGTCCGGACCGGTCTTTTATTGGTAGTATATAATACCTTTCAACAACCTATGCAAAGTGGGGGGTTATACTTAAGACGAATTTGTCCCCGCATTGCCATATTGTTGCTGGGTGGCGCGTGTTACCCACGCCTTTAATCAATATAGTTCAATTCAATTCAATATATTTATTGTTAACAATGTTCTTGTTCAATTCAATATATTTAATTTTAAAGAGTTAGTTTATGATTCCTTTAAATGACATATACAAAGTGGGGATTGTATTTAGGACGGAGTTGTCCCCGCGTACTGGCATCGCCACATCGTCTCTAGGGGGCGCGTGGGAGAGCCACGGGCGCGCGTGTTGTCCGCGCCTGGTGTTCCACTGTGGCCGCGCCCCAGCGCCTTTACGCCGCAACCCCGCTGCCTTGAAAAGGCTGGAGCATGCAGTTGAAGACCAGCTATACTTCATCCTGAGGAAGGCCCGCATTATCACCAACGTCTGGTAAGACTTTGCACATGATATTTAACGTCTTTGGTTTATATGTCGTCCTCAGTGGCCGAGTGGTATGTACGCTGGGTTTCAAAGTGTCGCTTACTCTAGAGGAATTTCGAAGTTCGAATCCTGATGGGGACAGAAGTTTGTGTGATGAAGACGAGCATTTGTACTCCAGTCATGGGTGTGTAATATGTATTTCTATTAAAATATACTTATATATGTATTTTTTCCGTTACCCTATTATCCCATAACACAAGCCGTGCGTGCTTATTTTTGGGCTAGGGTAATTGGTGTGAGTGTTGGAAATATTTATATTTATTTATATTGGCATCTACGCCTTACGACGCGTACTGGTCGCGACACGTAACTCTAGCGCTGAACAAAACGCGGACGGGATAGCTGAATCTGCGCAACGCACGCCCGCCCGCGCACCTCTGTTTCCCCCCAACACATCTTAATTTTTACTTCTGCACAATAACGGTCAGCGCTAGAGTTTCGTGACGTCACCTATACCCGGCTGCCCCAAAAAGGTTAGAGCGCATAATACTATCGTGTTTAGAATTTTTCATATAATTTTATAGTTAACTTCAAAATGTGTAAGGAAGAACAAAGTAAAAAGTGATTGTCAAAACATTTTCGATTCCATTGCACCTTGCCGTAGTTACTAAAGTAAAATCTTGTCTTATAGTGATTATGTCAGATAAATAATCATTGAATTTTTGTTGTTCATAATAGAGCAATTGTATTACAAAATACTAGCATAATAAAAACGTGATAAATCTTCATTAACTATATAAGAACTAACAAGAGCAGTGCCAAAATCTAGATGCTCTCATATTCATATTTGGGAGGACAGAATATTAGAGAAGAAATGCGACTTCAATAGAACTTTCGAAAATATTCATTGAATTTTTTGCTATTTGAGTGTTTTAAATTTGCAGTGCCAAATCGTTATTTGCGATACCAAAGAACGAGGAATTTGTGTACATCAATGCTGAAAGTAATGGGGGTGCTCGTGACGTCGGGAATCTAGTCCGTGGCCTCATGGAACGCTGCGCCCCCGCGCCCGGCTCCGCCCCTGGCTCCCTCCCTGTAGCCACCGGGGTCGCCCCTACTGCCGGCCCTGCGCGGCCGACCTTCAAGCAGTTCCTACAAGCGCACATCGATTTGGCATTTGGCGAAGGATTCGATGATAATGTTGGCAAATATGCCATGACCACATCCTTCTTCGAGGTAAGTTTAGGTTGAAATAAAATAATAGAGATCTAATAGCAATTGACCTATACCTGGGGGCCATTCGCCTAACGTAAATGTTTTGGAAAACGCTAACGCTTTCGATTTTGTTTTGTTATTTCTGACCGCCGAAGGTTTTCAAATACCTCACGGTAATTTTTTTAAATATTGTTATTGCGAAAGAAAAAAAAGAGTGGCATTTTAAAACCTCAGGCGGCTAGAAATAACAAAATGAAATCGTAAGCTTTAGCGTTTTCCAAAGCATTTCCGTTAGGCGAATGGCCCCCTGTACTTAGTTAGATGACACCACATACAGCAACAGCTAAATTTATTGGATAATGCTAAGTATTATCTTAGTAAGATTTTTTTTTTATTTAAATCACTTTTTACTTAACTACTTCACCTCACATGATATTAGTATCATTGATATCTAGTAGCTAAGATAGGTGTATTATGAAGCAGAAAAGTTAGCGCTCCAGTTATCCTCACTATGCCGCGCTATACCTAATACCCTACCTCCTGAGTCCTCTAACCATATTCACCAACAGAAACACAATACCACCAAAACATTTGACTGTGTTCTTCAACGATATTAAATATCCTATAAGACGTGCGCTCAAAATGTGTCCCAATCCATAAGTGCTTGAGTGGGGTTCAAGCACTTCTTGGTTCACAGTCACGCGCAGATCGTTGAAAAGTCAAGTTGCCGCAGAGCTCCGTGAAAATGCAAAAAAAATACTAATAGTATGTAAAGTGTCGTTTTTTCGACAGGTATACAGGTAATGTTTATTAATTTAACGCATTTGAAAAAAAAAATGTTCTAATACTTACTATTAACTGACTTAGTTGATAATATTTGTAATATTCAATTGCATGGTCGGTAATATAGCCGTCTCTTTTCCTCGAGGTCTGTACCATGCGCTGTTGCTATATTGTTAACAGCGCATTCAGAATTGCGCGTAGAGTCAGAGAAATAAGGTCTATATTCTTCCGCATATAGCAATAAGACGTAAAATTTTACGAGCTTGCATTTCGAACCGTCATAACTCTTTGACACATGCGTTTTAATTAAGACCTTATACAGTATACATTAAAGGTGACTTTCAATGTTTAAATAATGTCTTATATTGTTTCTGACTACGCGATCATTTTACGGAGCACCGTGGATCGTCCAATGTACCTTTTGGACAGGTTTCGGGCACGATTTTGTTCGTGTTGGTGTATCTAGGGTATTTAATATCGTTGGTGTTCTTTAATAAAGTGGAGTTCTAGGTTTAGAGATTCATGCCAAGTCAGGCCCATTGTTTACTCTTGCGATGGAATAAATGAGAATATGTCATTGTGATAGTTACCGAGCGCGCAAACTTGGCGCGCGGCGGCCGAAGCTCTAGCCCCCATATATTTGGAGGAGGCAGGGGAGGCGCAAGGGGCGGGGGGCGCGCTATTCGATGCACTCGCTACTGACGTGAGGTTCTCACAAGCACGGTGCGCTAAGGTAAGCTTTATCAAAGGAATTTATTCAATTTAGGCTTTTACAAACACATGTGAAACTCGAATGCTAAGGTCAAGTGTTTCCTCACTTGTAACAAGGAATATCTCGGCCCTTTTCTTAATTGTCTATGTATTTTGGCATGTTTTATTAGTTGTTAACGGAAGTTCGGGCCAAATAAATAAACTCAAAATTTTAAAACGAATTAAATAAAGTACTTTTAATTAATTAAATTAGCTAATAAATTCAATTTTCAAAATTAATTTTTCAATAAGTATCCGAAAGCTCAATTAAATGCTTTCAAAGGTAGCTCGACAAAGGAAATGAAAATCATAATTATGACGACGCAATCCGAAAAGAATGCGAAACGCCAAGAAACAAATAAATTGACAAATTTTACTACGGGGCTAGGTTAATTGGTGTGAATGGTGGTGTGTTAGAAATATTTGTTTAGTCATAGGGAAGACCTGTGCCCCAGTAGTGGGGAGAGAATATTCATTGTTAATAATTATATTTTTAAGGTGTTGCCGATAGCTCAAGCATCATACGCCGAAGGACTTCCGTCGCATTACTCTAGTCAACATCACGCGCATAAGGTAAGAATTGTTATTTTGCGAATTAAAAAAAACAATGTGTCAACATGATATTGCGAAACTCCCCCCCCCACCCCCCACCCCTCCATCAGATTTAAAATAAGTGTCATTCGAAGCGTCTAGTAGGAAAGATTTATATAGAATAAATATTGCATTGCCAAATAAAATTAATTCAGATAAAATTAATAATTTCTTAATATTAATTATTACGTACATTTTTATGTCCCAGTTTGTATTTTGTATTTATAATAATTGTAATTTCTTTAACTTAAATAATTGCCGATAGAATAAAATAAATTTTCTTGTAACCATAATTTATTGACTTAAACTCTGCTGGCAGGGCATTGAATATCTTAATGCTCATTACTAAACAATTCTTATTTTAATGCTAGTATTTCTTTGTTTGATAACAAACAAAAAAAAACACAAAACACTAAATTTAAAATATACATATAAAATAAAGCAATGTTAATATGTGCAATTTACGAAAGAACCGTTCACTTGATTCACCAGGAATTGCTAAGCCATGCATAGCCCGAATATATTTCATTTGAGCGTAAAAAACTATTTGCGTCCGTACTGTTACCATCAATTAGATTTATTAAACAATTTAGATTAGATTAAATTGTATTGTTTATCTGGACAGGTGAACGTAGCCCTGGGCGTAGTGGAGTCGATGGCTAGAGGGCCAGTAGCAGGTGCGGCGAGAATCAAACTTAAAGCCGCTTGTAAAGCGATACACAAGACGAGGCGTCTCTGTGAAGCCGCCTCGCTTACCGGTCATCTGTGTGTGCTGCCCGACCAGTGAGTATCAGCAATTAATTAGAAATAAACGGATAGTCATAACTCTCAAAAGCCGAGTCTCCTGCGCCGTGTTTTCGTATTTAATAATACGATAATATTGTTGTTTTTTTATTTTTTAAGCATTCAACAGCTACATGTATAAATCTAAAGAAGTCTTTTAGAAAAAAATCCACGCGGAACAGGCAGCAGACGGGACTCGAACCCGCTCCCTTCGCTATCCGGGCGAATGCACTAACCATTACGCTACCGCGGCCCTAACGGCCGTGTCGAATTTTCTCTAGCCTTAGGATGCAAGGCAGCGCCATCGCTTCGCATTGTAGGTAACCCACAATGTCAAAGGAATACCTTTACATAACATTGTTATTTTTTAGTTAGTTACGATAACATTGTTTAAAACCGATTAGGGGTGTGGCGTACAGTTTTGTTAGCAAAAATACAATAATACTAGCAAACCTGTGAACCAAATGTTCACCAAAAAAAAAAAAGTATTTAATTAATTGAGAACTTCGGAGATTTTGTGTGGTTTCGTTTGAAATAGAAATCACGTGATTTCTCGAAAACCGGAAGTGCTACGTTACTCACATCCGGTTTGTAGTCTTATCAGACTATTCTTAACTTATAACTTAAACATTCTCTATATCTATCTCTTACGGTTTGGCCGCTGAAACAGCACCACGGACGGACGGACGGACGGACGGACTTGTTTAATAGATAAGAGATGTTTCTCGCGACGAATGCATAACATTCCCCGCGGATGCCTGCAGGGAGGTGAAGTTACGCATTTTTGTTAGCGCCCACTAGAGGATCGCTTGAAAGGATATACTAAAATTTTGTATGAGCGACTGCCCTAGCAATGTATAAATATAGTACTTAGTAATATTCTATGTAGAATGACTAAATATTTTTAATTTCCATGAAAAAGTGCTCAGGAAATTTGATAAAGTTACGAACCTGAAAATTATGAAATCTTACCATTTCATTACCTTGCTATATTTGATAAAAGATGTTGCCAATTATTGACAGAGGTAAGGAGTTAATTAAAAAGGCTATTGCGTATGAGTTGATAAATATCAAAAAGATATCAGCAAGCCATGCACCCGTACACTATACCTAACTGAATACACGTGTCAATTTGTTTTTGACAAATGAATAAATAAATGGATAAAAAACTGCCACTCACACTAATTAGCCTAGCCCCAAAGTAAGCACTCAGGCTTGTGTTGTAGGATACAAGGGTTACCCTTGTAATCTACCAGTCTTGGAAAGAAATACATTATATTGTTTTTTTTTTGTTTATTTAGGAAAACAAACGACTGTACAGTAAATTTTGGTAGCAATGAAGTTGATATAAACTTACTAATTGTACAATCAACACCGCTATCCTTAGTTTATTTTAAAAAAAGAAAACATTTCAAAAATATAAAAATCACTAAAAAGTATTTTAGCAATAAGTGTAATTTAAGTACATACTGATGTCGATTCTGGCATGATTCTCTAAAGCTAAACTTAAATTTGACAACAGTGCATCCCTGTCATTCTCTTTACAGAATAAAAAGGAGAAACTGATGTTAAATTTAGTTTTAAGTTTAGAGAATCACGCTCGAATCGACACCATTATTCTTCTTATAGTCTAGTCAACAAGTGCCTTTTTGGTCTCCGAAAATTATGATTGAGGTGTCATTCGATTCGGAATGGCATCTAGATGATTTTTGAAAGTTTGTCTAGTCAACAAGTGCCTTTTTGGTCTCCGAAAATTATGATTGAGGTGTCATTCGATTCGGAATGGCATCTAGATGATTTTTGAAAAGAAAAATGAAGTTCCGCAAACAAAAATTGCAAAAGTTATTAACAATTAACTAAAAACAAAAAAGGGGGTTTCGTTTTTTGCAAATGTCTCGAAAACTAATAAAGATATTTCAAATTAAAAAAAGATTAAAAAGGAAGAGGAAATTTCCTAAAAAAAGCCCCGACTCCCGGAACTGTAGGACCAATATTTATAATTTTCCCAGAGGGATGAAAATACGGCCGAAAACGGGTCCTCTGGCTTGCGTAAGCCACGCCTACTTTCGGCACTTTATTAATAAAAATTATTTTGACATGTTATGAAATGAAAAGAATCAGGGGCTTACTGGATAGATGAATGAACAATAATCCGCGTGAAAAATTTTTTTATCACAATTTTTCAATTAGTTATGCAATTGTTAATTAAATTTTTTTTTCTCTTGAACATGAACATTGCAAGTGTGGTTATCGTTAAACTATAAATTTGAGATTTTTTCCTCTCTTGGAGAAATTCTTGAAAGGCTTTAGAATAGATCCCCGTTGGAAAAATTAAAAAAAACATTTTTTTTCAGTTTTACAATTATCGTTGTTGCAAAATTAAAAAGTTAATCATCGAATAAAAATTTCTTTTTTAAATATTATTGATGATCCGTTTTTATGTTATTAGAAGCTGCATATTTTTTTTTTTCATTTTTATCTGTTATTGTTTAATTATAAACAAATGCGTTGTTTATTAGATAATTGAATTGTTTTTTATGGAATTTCAATCAAAATCAAATCAAAATCAAAGCAAAAACGAAACCCCCTTTTTTGTTTTTAGTTAATTGTTAATAACTTTTGCAATTTTTGTTTGCGGAACTTCATTTTTTTCAAAAATCATCTAGATGCCATTCCGATTTGAATGACACCTCGATCATAATTTTCGGAGACTGCTGAAAAAAGTTGACCAAAAAGGCACTTGTTGACTAGACTATTAGGTTGATGATTGATTGATGTACGGATATAGTAGATTGTATGACAAGGGAGCAAAATAGTATTTTTATGGCGAGGGCGCTACTTTGAAGCACGAGTGAAGCGAAGGATCCTAACGTAGAATCCTGAGCGCAGCGAGGGATTCAAAGTACATCGAGGGAAAAATAATTTGCTCTCGAGTCATATACTCTACTTTTCATCCCCTTTCTATGAGAAAATAAATAAGAGGCAGTGTTATGTAATAATGAATATATTTAATTAAAAGAAGACATTTGAAATGAAGTTAAAAATAATTACAATTTTATATTTATATTGGATACGCTAGCGCAATTATTAAAAATTATTGTTACTGTTTTATTTGAGATCGATATTGTTGTCGATTCATTAACATTTTGAGTATTTGTTATCTTAGTATCTGAGTAATGCTGAAGAAAAGGTACAGAATCCTTTGATGTAGAAGGACGTGGCGACAATGGCATGGATGAAGTGTCTTTAGGTATTAATTTATTTTTTACTGCAATGCGGGTGCTAGTTTTTTCTTTATTTTGAATAGAATCTTCGATGTAACCCTCTGCTACAGAGCTGGATTTCCACCCTCCGTGCCGCTTTAAAACAGTAAGGTCCGCTCCAGAATCTGCCAAAAGTGTAGAGAAGTTCGGTGAAAACAATGTCCTGTGTGTAGCTTGCAATCGGGTAATTTCAAATACATAGCGATTTCTAGGGGCATTGAAGATATTCTATTTATTCAATTTCATAACCTGTTTGAAGCACTTTCCATTTTGATATCTAATAAAAAACTATTAGATGTTATATCAGAAGGACGCAGGCTCTGATATTTTTCTACTATTCGTTAGTACTGGCCAACAATGACGAAAGACCGATCAATTTTTGTTTTTGTGTCAGTTAATTCACTAAAAGTAATTCATCTGAGTGTTTTTTGATATCTTCGATTGTTATTTTTATAAGCTGGTTACTACGACAAGCTCCATGTATGCCGAATATTAAAGCCACCTGTAACAAAACAGAATGGAAATCAGACAAGTAGGTACAGTAATACGTACACGTTTTAAAACACTCTGTTTATAGATTACAATTATAAAATAATTATAAATTAGGAAAGGACTTAAAAAAATGCAATATATACAGGGTGGAAATTTTGAATGCCACCCCCAGGGGAAGTACTCTAAATACTGGAGATAGATAGAATTTTACTCAAAGGAAACAAACCTATATTTTTAGAAAGAAACAACTGCATTCACACTTTTTCGAAAATTTGCATGCCACACCCGGGAATTGAACTAGCGAAAATTCGAAAAAATTACACCCTGTTTTTTTATGGAATCGATCGATAGGGTCAATCATAGGGATCATATCTTACTAATAAACGTAGTACATTAAATGGAAGGGAAAGCGTGAAATCTTACAATTTCACCTTATATTTGCAAACGGCCACAAGATCATGTACCATTCTAATATGTAAGCTCCTTTATTTCCTTTGACAGACAGCCACAGATCAAGTTACCTAAAACTGTAAATTTTTGTCTAAATGACTTGAGCTTTTTAATAACTTGACATACAATTCACAATGTATATAGAGTCTGTACATGTGCAATTTAAATAAAAAAATGATATGTATTGGGTTGGTCACCCTTAGTAAAATGAAATGAAATTATACTGTATTCAAATTGACTTCTAGAAAGTTCCACTTCTAGCTGGAAACTCGTGTACAGCTTCATTTTTGCGTTCTAAAAGTTGTCTCAAAAGTCTCATATAGATAATATGACTGCTTCGTAAGTTATTCGAGGTCAAAGGTTACGATTATATCAATTCTATAATTATATTTAAGATCCTTTATTGTACAGTCGATCTGTGACTAAAATTGTTAAAGTTTTGGCTTCTAGCGACGTGACATGAAGAATCAAATAGCCAGTGTGTTGCTTGATAACTAAGAGGGTATTTATTTCTTATTTACATCTTATATACATTTTTTTGTGTCAGCTATAAATCATGAGCTCTACGCGTTCTACATTTAAAGTCCACACCGGCGCTACAAAGTGAACTAAAATTTGAGGTTACCTAAATTGTCAATTTCTATCAAACGACTTTAGCTTACACACTTTGAAATATGATTTACAATCCACGGAATCTGTAAATGTGCAATTAAAATAAATAATTAGGTAATTTTTGTTTATTTTTACAGTGACAACACAAAAGAACACTCGTCAGGCGTACGTTACATAAGCGCATGCAACTGCGGTCGTACGAAGTGTTCCCGCGAAGACCCGTATACGGTGAAACGCGCCAATTACACGTTCTACATACAAGCGGCCGAGGAATGCGGCGTCTGTCCGTCACTGCTCACCGTCGAGTTCCCTGTGTTCCAGCCCTCAACGCCCACTTACAAGTGAATACTATATGCTTATCTTAATAATTATAATAATCATTTATTTCAGACCGTATAGTCCATACAGGGTTAGTAACATTCAAACTTTGAAACTATGTTTGTACAATTTTATTTAAACTATTTTCTATATTTAATATATGTGGAGACATAAGATTGTACCCAATGTCTCTCAACAACGGACTCTCCAATTTGGAAGCGAATTATTTTCATACTGAGATCGTAGATTAAGTAAGCCAAAGAGGGAAGATACTGTACGCTCTTACTAGCGTCAAATAAAAATGCTCCGACTTCACTTGCACTTCTCACACCTATTAAAAAAACCCAATGAAGCTAGCGAGATAGAAAAGTACCCTTAGCACGAATCAATATCGAATTCGAATTGTTTGCGAGTCCGAAATATCGTTGTCAAATGTGTACTGATTTTTAATTCTCGTTATGTTTTTTTTAAACACACCAATTAGCCTAGTACTTACTTACTATACATTTATTAGATAATACTGTACTTTTTAAACACACCAATTAGCCTAGTAGTCACTTACTGTACATCTATTTATATAGAAATACATATTACACATCCATGACTGGAGTACAAATGCTTGTATTCATCACACAAATATCGGCTTCCACCGGGATTCGATTCGAAACCGGACCTCTCGAGTCGGCGACGGCGACACCATGAAACCCGGCGTACAAACCACTCGGTCACGGAGGTCGTCGATTTGTGGCGCTGCTGTTCAAGTTTCCATACAAAATTTGACATTAACATTTCGCACTTTTGATAGTCCCGTATCATACCATGTCCGCGTGGATTTTTTAATAGTTTGAGTCATGAGAAAGGAAGGCCGTAGGATAGTTTTTATTCTTAAAATTACCTTTTAAAGGGGGGAAATGGGTGGTGGAAGTTTGTATGGCAAAGTAGCGGGTACCCAGTAATAAAAAAATATTTTTATAAATAAGTAAACTATTGTCATGACATTCAGGGAGGCGTCAGTGAAAGGCGAAGGCGGGCGAGAGACACAAGACAAGACTCCGCCAGGTTCCCAAGAGGACCCGGCCGAACCGGAACCGGATGCTGACGGGGATGGGGACGGGGAAGGAGAGGGGGAGGGGGAGGGCCCATGGTCCGTGGTGGATGCGCTGTCCCCGGGCTCGGCGAGGGATGAAGACAACTCCCCCGCTTCTGATGGATACGTTGTGCCTGTAAGGGGAGAATCTACGCAAGGTAAGAGAATCTAATCAAGGCAGGAGAATCTAACTCATGGCAAAATCATGCTTTTTAGATTTTGTCCTCAAACCACCTGACTTTCGACAGTTCTTCGCGATTCTAGAAAAGAACTATCTTATACTCCGTGCCCGGAATTTGTAGTCGTTAACACACACCTACTCGTATTGCGCGGGCGAGGTCATGGCCTAATCTCCTTATTCTACCCACGGAAAATCGGGTTCCAATCAACGATATTAAATAGCCTAGATACAACAGCACGAACAAAATCGTGGCCGAAACCTGTCCAAAAGTTACATTCGATGATCCACTCAGCTCCGTAAGATGATTTTGTTGTCAAAAACAATATACGGCATTATTTAAATATTGAAAGTCACCTTTAATGTATACCGTATAAGGTCTTAATAAAAACGCATGCGTCAGAGAAATATGATAGTTTGAAATGCAAGCTCGTAAAATTTTATGACTTATTGCTATATGCGGAAGAATATAGACCTTATTGCTTTGACTGTACGCGCAATTCTGAATGCGCTGTTAGCAGAATAGCAGATACGGATCGCGAAGAAAAAAGACGGCTATATAACCTACCATGTATTTGAATATCACTAATATTTTGTATTAAATCAGTTTAAAGTAATTATTACAACAAAATTTACATCCGTTAAATTAACAAACATTGATTAGATACCTGTCGAAAAAACGACACTTTACGTACTATAAGTATTTTTTTCGCATTTTTTCACGGAGCTCTGCGGCATGTTGACTTTTCAACGGTCTGCGCGTGACTGTGAACCGAGAAGTGCTTGAGTGGTGTTCAAGCACTTCTTGATTGGGCCAAATTTTGAGCGCACGTGGTGTATCTAGGGTATTTAATGTCGTTGGTTCCAATAGTGGGTGTGGGAATCATAGACATAAAGAATAGACTGCGTGCAGTTCGCACAATATTGGCAACCCACTAGACAGAGAGAAAGTGATGGTGCAGCCAATACTTATACAAACTATTGGCCACATACACTCGCTTCGAAGAGCTCGATAATGTAGGTGGTTAGCTCTTTCGGCCGGTGATCGTCGAAGTTAAGCCACTTTCTCAAGGATCGCGGTCATTGGATGGGTGATCAAAAACTTAATATCTCGAGCTCCTCCGTGTTCGGATGGCACGTTAAGCCATTGGCCCCGGCTGCAATTGCAGTCGCTAGCATCCACCAATCCTTACTGGGCCCGCGTGGTGTATTATGGCACAATCTCCCTATTCCATTCATAGGGAAGGCCCGTGCCCCAGCAGTGCGTACATTAAAAGGCTGATGATGATAATGCAGAAAATCTAATCAAGTCAGGAGAATCTACTCATGGTAAAATCATGCTTCAGATTTTCTGTGGAATAGTTTTCTCAAAATTTTGGGCTAGGGAAGTCAGAAAATTCCGTTGAGAGCTCGCCAAAAATCTACTGAAGGTAATCTTAAAATGCTTTCAGTTGTTGTGGAATAATTTTCTCATAGCGCAAGTATAGGGAGGACAGAGAGACTAGATGAGATCGCGCCAGATTTTAGAATATTATGTGAAAAAGTTATCGTGGTTACTCACATTAACACGAATACGCGGACCCGCATGTGTGGGACCCCATTCGCGAAAGCTTTCGCGAAGTTTACTATATTCTTGCTTTTCCAAGTTGTTTGGGTTTCAAAGCCATATTTTACAGTTTGGTCAGTCCATTATCTTTGTCTATGGTGGAGACATTAATATGAAAGGAAATTAAATTATACATTATTCAAATTGACTTATTGAAGGCTCTTTTGAATCGTCCAATATTTTTTCCTACTAGAGTACCTCCACTCTAAATAACACAATAATTAGGCTGATGATGATGAATTAAAAAGTAACTTTCTTTGCAGAGAAAGTCATAACCCGTCAGCCGTCTACAACGGAGTATCTGCCGGGAATGCTTCACACTACCAGCCCGGCCGGTCTTCTGCCAGCCTTCCCTAGCTGGTCCCTTGTCTGTCTGGGGGCTTCCAGCCTCTACTCCCATAGTGCTGGTCTTCCAGAGCATCTGCAACCTGGGTTCTTACCGCATACTAACTATCTGCTGCCCTGGGACTGTGCCGTCAGGTAAATATATCGATGGATAAATATCCCGCCCTTTCCAGATATGTCCTGGCGTGTCTGGAGGCTTCCAGCCTATATTCTCATAATGCTAGTTTTCCAGAGCATCTGCAGCCTAGGTTCTTTACGCAAACTAGTTATCTGATGCCTTGGGAGTGCGCTTTCAGGTAAATATATCGAGAGAGAAATATCCTGTCTTTTCCAGCTATTTCCTGGTGTGTCTAAGAGCTTCCAGCCTATATTGCCATAGTGCTGGTCTTCCAGAGCATCTGCAACTTGGGTTCTTACTTACCGCATACTAACTATCTTCAGTCTTGGGACTGTGCTGTCAGGTAAAAATATCGAAAAATAAATATCCTGCCTTTTCCAGATATTTACTGGACTATCTGTGGACTTCCAGCCTTTATTTCCATAGTGCTGGTTTTCTAGAGCACCTGGAACTTAGGTTCTTACCGCATACTTACTACCTGTTGCCTTGGGACTGCGCTGGCAGGTAAATGAATTGAAAGATATATATACTGCCTTTTCTAGCTATTTCCTGCTGTGTCTGGGGGCTTTTAGCCTATATTCCCAGTGCTAGTTTTCCAGAGCATCTGCAACCTGGGTTCTTATCGCATACTATCTGCTGCCTTGGGACTGTGCCGTCAGGTAAATAAATCGATAGATGAATATCCCGCCTTTTTCAGTTATTTCCTGGTGTGTTTGGGGGCTTCCAGCCTATGTTCCTATAGTGCTAGTCTTCCAGAGCTTCGCCTACGAAATAATTAATATATCTAGAACACATCAATTAGCCTATACCTAAAGTAAGCACTGTAAAACTTTTGTTATTGGGTACTAAGTTAACGAATGAAAATACAAATAAACTACTTAAATAATAGGGATGGTGACTAATTTCTTTTTTCTTCAAACACATAATCAAAACATTATTGAGATAATATTGATTTCAAATGTCGCATCACACCCTGTACAATTTTACTTAAGAGTAACGTCACGAGCCCTCACTTCCAAACTTTGACGCGCTATATGTTGATGCATTTTTGATTGATTGATAAAAGAAAAAATAAGTGTTTATTATTTCTTGATAATCTAACTAGCGGAATAAATAGAATCTCGTTTACTGTACCCTCTCATCAATTGTGTTTTTCTAGAAATATAATCATTTTAGTTTTAATCTTTCTCTCTCTCCACAACTTAGCTACGAATGCTTGTATGCATCATACAAATATTTGCAAACTTGTATTCTAGGACGGCAGATAAAGGAGCTAGATGGCGCAAATGGTTAGCGCGTTCGGCTGCGATTTTTCAAGTTGAGCAGCTTACGCTGTGATCGGTCATTGGCTTAATGTCCGTTGGTTCCGGCTGCATCTGCAGTCGTTAGATCCCACCATTCAAGTGGTGTACACATTAAGCGTTTTCCAACGCGCGCTTTGCTAACGCGCGTTTCGAGAACCAGGAGTTCTATTGAAGTGTACACATGCAAGCGCGCGATTCTGGTCAAGCGTGCGTCAAACGCGCGTTCTCATATTTAACGTATGATCGCGCGTTGCGCGGGCGTTAGCTGCGCGCTTCGAGATACTTGGGCCGCCATTTTGTTGTACATTTGATCGCGCGCTTTGGTGTAGTGTAGACGTTCAACGGAAAAACGTATACCGAACATTTTGACACAGATTTCTTTATTGATGAAATCCAAAAGCGACCAGCTATTTGGGACATGAAATGTCCCGATTATAAAAAAATAAGACGCTAAAAAGACGTAAAATAAAAAAAAATACGACGTCTTTTATAGCGACGGTAGAGGAGCCACACACAAGTAATCACTTGGGCATCCATTTTCGGACTGCCAGAAACACACCCTACTAAACGCTCGCTGAACGCCCAGCCGAGCGCGGCGTGTGTATGCAATCAACGCGGGCTCAACGCAACGCCGAGCGCCCAATGTATACCCGCCGTCAGCACTGAGCCTGCGTGGTTGCCCATGGCCCAATCTCCCTATTCCATCCATAGGGTAGGCCTGTGCCCCAGCAGTGCGCACATTAATAGGCTGATAGTTAATATCAATGTTATAAATCAGTTGTTCCGACCGTAATGATATATGACCCTATCATCAGTAATGTATTTCATAACAATAAAATGTATTAATTGTAAATGTACTAAATTAATTTACGTGGATGATATTTCATTATTTTATTGTATTTTGAGAATTGTTATCTAAATTGTAATTGAGTGAAAAAATGTTATTTTAAATATAACAACATTGAATTAACTAGGCTTTTAATGACAACTAACTAAATCAATTGACATAGTTATTAATATATTTAACATTTAATTGGCTAATAATAATTGAATTGATATAACTAACCACAAAAAAATGACGATGGGTAGGCTTAAAACCAGCTGCGCTGTGCCTGTTCCTATTTCCATATAAATAAATTATAATTATATATTCTAAATGTTTCTCTCTCTTTTTAATTTAGCTACGAATGCTCGTATTCATTATACAAACATTTGCTTGTATTGTAGGATGGAGCAAGCGAGTTTGTTCCGTGCCCCGCGCGGTCGCGGCAAACCTTCCGGTGCTCACCACCTCACCGTCAAGATATTCATCGGATTCGAGTACGAGTGTTCGCGCGGACATAGGTATTGTTATTGTTCAATTATAATATTACCATTTAGAGTTAGAATAACTAGTGTTCCTTTTCGTTGGCGAAGCTGTGTCCGTATGCGAGCCACACGCACCCGGCTCCCGGCTCCACTCTTGTCTGAACAATAACGACTTGATATATATTATTGACTAGCGGCTGCCTTAGAAATAAAGGTTCACTGCTCGTCCCCCGTAGGTGATAGCGTGATGATGTGTAGCCTAGATGTTGACCCGACTTCTTAATAATATTCGTGCCAAATTTGAGGTAAATCCATGCAGTACTTTTTGAGTTTATCCCGGACATACATACAGACAAACAGTCAAAAATTCTAAAAACTATATTTTTGGCTTCGGTGTCGATTGTAGATCACACCCCAAGTACCTATTCATTTAAAAAAATATTCAATGTACAGTTATGACTTTCCTACCATTTTATCCTTATCCTTATATATATAAGGAGCTCGATGGCGCGAATAGTTAGCGCGTTCGGCTGCGATCGTTGAAGTTAAGCAACTTTCGCAGTGGTCGGTCATTGGATGGGTGACCAAAAATCTACTATCTCGAGTTCCTCCGTGCTTCGGAAGGCACGTTAAGCCGTTGGTTACGGCTGCATCTGCAGTCGTTAGCACCCACCAATCCGCACTGGGCCTGCGTGGTAGGTTATGGCCCAATCGCCCTATTCCATCCATAGGGAAGGCTTGTGCCCCAGCAGTGGGGACATTAATAGGCTGATGATGAGATTTATAAACTTTATCGCGTTGTTTGAAATATAGTTAAATTTGACTATAGTTAATGTCACATCAAATACATTGTAATTGTGTTAAATTTTGACAAATGGTTAGTTATTTTGTAGTATTTTAACTGTAGTCCTATTTGAACATGGATGAAAAGCGGCCTTACAGTTGGGGAATTAATAGAATACGAAGATTCCGATTGGAGATTATTTCTTGGTAATCATTGCTGTCATTTGACAGGATAGCTACTACTTGGTATACAGTAAGATCCCAGAGCTCCCAGAGCTCCCAGACCAACATCATTTTAGCAAAGCTGCAATTTTGAGGATATCTAGTATTTATGTAGTTGACAGTTTGCGTTCTTACTAGCTCAAAAATCGGGGCCCTTTCACAAGTAGCGCGAAGATAAGGTGTATAACAGCCTTACTCACCCACGTTAAAGTAGAAACGCTTCAGCCTTGCACAGATGCTCCTCTCTTTTTCAATCCTGTTTTCAGCTGTATTACAGATCATGTTGAATACATTTTCACCACTTATTTCATATTTTCAACAACAAAAAACGCGTTTAAAATTTGACAGCTGCAATATTCAGCTGTCGGGTCAAGCGTTTACAGCGCCATCTATGTTGAGCCTTGCGTATACTTCTCCATTGAGGCCCTTGAATAATTCGTAAGTTGTCGCTTCGCAGGTTCATGATGTCCTCCCCGGACACGGTAGTGAGCGGCGGTGCGTGCGGGCCGAGCGCCGGCGCGCGACTGGCGTCCGCCCGCATGCCGCTGGGCGCGCCCTGCCCCTGCCGCGCCCCGCACGCCTCCACCTCCCCCCCTCAGACGCCCGCGCGGCTCCAGCGGCTACACGTCGTCACGCCCAAAGCGCCCGTACACGTGACTCTCCAACCGCAGGTACATATTATATAGACAGATGGTCGGACGCGGTAGTGACTGGCGTCCGCCCGCATGCCGCTGGGCGCGCCCTGCCCCTGCCGCGCCCCGCACGCCTCCACCTCCCCCCCTCAGACGCCCGCGCGGCTCCAGCGGCTACACGTCGTCACGCCCAAAGCGCCCGTACACGTGACTCTCCAACCGCAGGTACATATTATATAGACAGATGGTCGGACGCGGTAGTGACTGGCGTCCGCCCGCATGCCGCTGGGCGCGCCCTGCCCCTGCCGCGCCCCGCACGCCTCCACCTCCCCCCCTCAGACGCCCGCGCGGCTCCAGCGGCTACACGTCGTCACGCCCAAAGCGCCCGTACACGTGACTCTCCAACCGCAGGTACATATTATATAGACAGATGGTCGGACGCGGTAGTGACTGGCGTCCGCCCGCATGCCGCTGGGCGCGCCCTGCCCCTGCCGCGCCCCGCACGCCTCCACCTCCCCCCCTCAGACGCCCGCGCGGCTCCAGCGGCTACACGTCGTCACGCCCAAAGCGCCCGTACACGTGACTCTCCAACCGCAGGTACATATTATATAGACAGATGGTCGGACGCGGTAGTGACTGGCGTCCGCCCGCATGCCGCTGGGCGCGCCCTGCCCCTGCCGCGCCCCGCACGCCTCCACCTCCCCCCCTCAGACGCCCGCGCGGCTCCAGCGGCTACACGTCGTCACGCCCAAAGCGCCCGTACACGTGACTCTCCAACCGCAGGTACATATTATATAGACAGATGGTCGGACGCGGTAGTGACTGGCGTCCGCCCGCATGCCGCTGGGCGCGCCCTGCCCCTGCCGCGCCCCGCACGCCTCCACCTCCCCCCCTCAGACGCCCGCGCGGCTCCAGCGGCTACACGTCGTCACGCCCAAAGCGCCCGTACACGTGACTCTCCAACCGCAGGTACATATTATATAGACAGATGGTCGGACGCGGTAGTGACTGGCGTCCGCCCGCATGCCGCTGGGCGCGCCCTGCCCCTGCCGCGCCCCGCACGCCTCCACCTCCCCCCCTCAGACGCCCGTGCGGCTCCAGCGGCTACACGTCGTCACGCCCAAAGCGCCCGTACACGTGACTCTCCAACCGCAGGTACATATCATCTATCATCGCGACTGAACTCCACAAACATTGTTAAAAATCCTTTCTTAGTGCATCCCTAGACTTCATAAGGACCCTACGTGCCAAATTTGGAAATCTCTAAACTTAGCGGTTTGGGCTGTGTGTTGATGTTAGTCATGTTAGTCATACAGTCAGTCAGTCAATCGGTCAGTTTCTTCTTTTATATATTTAGATTAGTGACAGCCAAAATGATTGGAAATGAACAAAAAGCACGGTTGCTGCTATACTATCTGCCTATACACATTTTTTATTAGACGTGGGGTAACAATTACCCCATTCCATTTCATGTTATGGCCGTTGCAGGCGATCCCCAGTAACTAACGCACTAAGAAAGGATTTTTCACAATTCACCCCTGAAGGGGATGAAACGGTGGTCCAAATTTTGTATAGGGAAACAGATTTGTTAAATTATTGCACCCGAAACTTCCCAGGGGTACTCCTATCGATAGATGAGTAAACAATTGTTTCAGATTTTTTCAGAATTCAACCCCTAAAAGTTGGAAATGGGGTTATAAAATCTCAAAATGATTTGTATGGTGGTGGTAGATGTGAAATACCATCACCCCTATAAGGGTTCCATTTTTCCATTTTAAGAACGAGACTAGCGTTATGTTAATAGGTTTTTTAAATTTGTATTTGGTGCCATCGCAATCGTCGTAAATCGGTACCTCTCCAATTGCTAAATCTTATTCTTTGAGTTATTAGAATCAAAACTTGGTACGAATACTTACCTAAATACATTATAAAGTTTACCATTTTAGACTGATGAACACGTAGAATGGATAAAGAATAAACTTCTCAAATCAGTACTTCCACGCAGACGAAGACGCGGGCACCAACTAGTTCTAAAATTATCGATTATGGTTTTAATTTTCGACGAATTCAATATGGTATTTGACAGTATTAAAAATAAAGTGCCAATTGTTAGCATCTGTATTTAGAATGAATATTGGCAGAAGTTTTTACTATTTTTACAGAATAAATATTCATAATTTTACTAAAAACCCACGATAAAGATAATAGTTTTCTTGTCTATTGTCACGTGACCCAAAACGCTTAGGATTGGTGGAGCCTAAAATGACGTCACACGCAAGTAAACTTCCGGTTAAAGTGACATTTGATTGCATGGTTTAACGTTTTAATGACAGTCGTGTGACGTCACACACCAGTGAGACGCCATATTGTCCAGAGATACGTTTTTCACGGCAACTTGAAAATAGAGTTTTTGATTTGGTTTTTTTAGCGAAATACCCAACATAATGATGAATATCCACTTTTTATGGACTCTATAAACATTAGTAAATAACGTGAGATCGTTTTCTAAAACTTGTCAAATACCCTATTCTGTCAAGCCTGTCAAATAATTTTAGTGTCGGCTATCTTGTTATGAAATCAACATTATACGATATTATATCCTATATTTATTGATAATATGAGGAGCTGGCGAACAAATGGGTATAATTACGTATCTGGTCAAACTACTTTTTTTACAGTCCGAAGGTTTCGGGCCCGTTGAATTGTATCTCAAATAATTTTCAATCAAAACCCCCTAAAACAGTGTTAAAATTACTAAATTTATAAATAAAAATCATGCCAAAAGCTCACTGGAGGTATATCATTCAGTTTTATACAGCTACTGTAATTTAAATTAAAATTTAATTTTATGTAATTATACCGTTTTGTTCGCCAGCTCCTCATATAATATATTTCCACATTCCAGGTGCAGCCGGTCCCGGGCGGGCCCATATTCGTGCCCCTCCCCTCCGGCTCGCCGCCCATAAAGCTGTCCGCGTCGGCGTACTGGGTGTTGAGGTTCCCCCGCGTGTATTGCGACGAGAGGGGGGTACTGCCCCGCCCCCGTCTCAACGCCTCCCCTTCCGCTGTGGGGCCGGCCCCACTCGCCGCCACTGGGACCTTGATTCCCCCCATATTCGGATTACAAGATTAAGGCTGGGCTGGTACGGCTTCTTGATTCAGATTCCTTATTGGGAATTCAGACTCGGAATTCCGTGAGCCTAGCGCAGATGTTCGGTTTTATTTACTAGGTAGTTTGCGAACCAAACGTTAGGGAAAGTCGACGGCATTAGATGTTTTTAGACTAATTAGTGAAATAATAAAACATGTGAATTTTCGATAACGTTTCGCATGATCTACTTATGAAAAAATGTGAAGCATACGGTATTAGGGGGACTGCTTTGAAATGGATAAAAAGATATGTTATTGATCGAACTTAATTCGTGGACCTAAAATCTCTCAATAGTAATTCTAAGCAAGATTATACTTGAGGTTTATCCCTAATTTCTTGTTGAGATTCTCTCGCTTATATTGCGCCGAGAGGGGGTGCTGCCCCGCCCCCTGCCCAAATGTCCCCCCTTCACTGTGGGGACGGCCCCACTCCCTTGAGAACTTGATTTGGGTTACAAGATCAAGGCTGGGCGTCTAGGAAGGGTTCCTGATCAGGAATTCAGATTCGAAATTACATGGGCCTAGCGCACTTTCAATTTTTTATTAGTTAGTTTCGAAACTTAAAGTTTTTCCATTCTGAAAAAAAAACAGAATAGTATGCGCCTTGGTGAACATTTTATATGTAAGGACGTACATTCAGGTTTCCGAATCGAGATTCCTAATCAGGAAACCGTACATATGCGCCCATTCTTTGCTTTTATAAGAAAGCGGTGCCGTCGTATAGCGACCGTAATATTACGGACGCATAAAGACCTAAAAAAGAAAGACCACTCTCTAGGAAACAGCGCCATTTGAGTTATTCACCGCTGTATTAATGCCGTTACATGTCAGCAACACTATCCTAGGATATAAGAGCTTAACGGTAGCATTCAAAGCAGTCAGCAAATCACGTGATTTCTATTTCAAACGAAACCACACAAAATCTCCGAAGTTCTCAATTAATTAAATACATTTTTTTTTTGGTGAACATTTGGCTCACTGGTTTGCTAGTATTATATTATTACAATAGTTACAGTGCGGCCAACGAAAGAATGCGATACTGATAAGCCGTTTCAGTACCCTTAGCAGGAACTATTATCGCATTTGAATAGTTTGCGAGTCCGAAATGTTATTGTCATTTTTTTTATGAAAACTTGAACAGCAGAGCCGTAACGTACGTAACGAGAACTAATCTATTAGGCCATGATATTAAGCTGAATGTGAAGAAAAATCGGCGCTCGCATTCGTAGTTAGAACTTTATTTCCCGCGCTTGTCATACAATGTTCTGCCGATCGTGTTTTGTTTTCGGGATTTCAGTACCCTTAGCACGAACCAAAATCGAATTCGTAACGTTTGCGAGTCCGAAATGTCATTGTCAAATGTGTACTGATTTTTAGTTCTCGTTACGTACTTTGTGCCGCTGCTGTTCAAGTTTCCATACAAAATTTGACATTGACATTTCGGTTTGCAAAGTATTCGAATTCGATAATGGTTCGTGCTAGGGGTACAGTACACATTTGATAATGACATTTCGTACTCGCAAACGATACAAATTGGATATTGGTTCGTGCTAAGGGTACAGTTCCTTATGGCTACAGATTTAGAGTTTATTTCCAGAGCACTTACGGCCCTATCAGGGCCGCATTTCTTTGTTGGCTAAACTTTCAAAGCAGTCAAATTATTGCCGGATTTGCGCTGCCGTGGCAACCTATGAACTAGAAGATAATCAACACGTCCGCTAAGGTCACGATGGCCAGTGCATTTGCCAGGATAGCGAAACATGTTGATTTGATTCCAGTCTGATGCTAGGGATGTTGCGGGTGTAATTTTTTCTTGTTAGATATTCTTACATTATGTATTTTATTAACTCCTTTTCTAAGTTCAATCATAAGGACGTAGTTCAAAGGTAGCTACTACATACAGGCGGTACAGCCGAGTGGTAATATATATAGATATGTAGCGGCGAATATATGTAGATGAATGTTCGGCAGTCTGTCGGGTCGGCTTTGTTGTTCGAAAAATACTGCCGACCCGACTGTTATGCCGTTAATTGCTCTTTGCGTGATGTAATCGCTTCAAAAGATCAGACTGCAATGTTTTTAATTAAGTTTTCAATTTATTAAGTATGAAATGTAGATTGATGTTAGTATATTAGACATGGCACAACTATAATAAACCTGGTCAGGCAACATTTGTCTATTGCACTTGTAAATTATAGTTAATTATAATAACATATTATTAAATTGTTAATATAGAGGTAATAGAGAGAGATAGACCATGATGTTATAGCAGACCGAATTTATTTTTTGTATGATACAAGGATGCGATTGTCAGATTTTTCATGTGTGTAAATAGATGATAATATTGTATTTTGTTTTTTACTGTATTTATTTATTGTTTTGGTATTAATATATTTTTTTAATAAGAACACATTTATATGTCACTTTTTGGTGGCATCATAAAGTGTATTTTTGGTTTCCTGTTTTGGTGGAATGATATTTATTTCTTAATGAAAATTTAGGTTTAAATTAAATAATTCAGTAAAAAACCTATCAGTGGTTTAAGTATGAGCTATGTTTAGTTAAAATTTTAAAAATGAAGCAGTCATCGTATAGTATTAATCGCTTCTTCATCTTGGTTTTGTCTAATTAGTTTTTCCAATAGGGAGAATTATTCCAATTTATATTTCCTATTCCTTCTTTAATAAAGTGGTGCGGACTAGATGATTTCTCGCTCGAACTAGAGTGCAAACCATACAGGAGACGCACGTGTCCCATCGGGCTGACAGAACAAAATTTTGTTTGAGAAAAATAACAGAGTAGTGGGATCAGAGCTTTATGTTAGGCAACAAGAGCGCAATACTACTGAAAGTTTTTGCAACAATTTAAACGTTTTTAACGTTTAAATAATATACTTGACCTGGTAGACGGCCACCTCACAGAACCATAAATAAAATTCAATGAACTTAAATATTGTCATTATAAAAGTAATTATCCGACTGTCACCACGTTTTTCAAAACCTTCATGATTTAACAGTACAGAACTAATAATTGAAGATAAACCTAGAATTACGGTAAGTGAACAAGTATTTCAAATATAGAATTTGGTTATTTAGAAAAAAAGTATTGAATATAATCAGTTAATCGCCTATACATTTAATGATTTTTTTTAAATCATGATTACAGTAAAGTTATTTCGGAAATCATTGGATCTATGAACATTATCAAAAAATTCTGTTATTATTTCGATATAAATTATATATTTATCCAAAACTAACCAAAAAATATCCCTACTGAAAAAAAAACTATTTAATAAAACTTATTCACTTCCGCCAAAAGTTATTTCCTTTTTCGCCTTTAAAACTATTGATTTGACTCGCTTGGTAAAACGACGCATGCGCCCTCTACAACAACACGTGTTACGCCATGTAGCGCGCGAAAAATTATTTTTTGTAAATACACTTTATTACCACAATTTGAGAAATTTCCATACCTATTCTAAATTCTATTACATTAATAAAAATTACTTTTCATGAATATAAAAGTGGAAATTTCATGTGAAAAGTTAACAAGTTGAAAAGAGTTTTGAAACGATACAATCTTCGCGGGTTAGGGTTGCCGGAAAGAAGTTTGAAGTGGGGAGAGTGGGGGAAGCTCCGCTTCGTGCGTTGTGGCGCGGCCGGCCCACGACAGTGTGCTGTGCGCCGTCGCCGCGCGAACAACTGAGCCGAAACTTTAGCCGTCTGACTGCAGACTACGCTCGCAACCTCGAAAACTTTTGCGGCACTCATGCCGCTCTTGCATCAGGTAAGTAAACTTCATTATTTTCACTTGTCTCTAGATTACTTTGTCTAAAGGAGTTTAATTATCTACTCCCATGTCCATTAAATTTATCAGTAGATTTCCAAGTCTCAACTTATCTATCGAAATATTATAATTGCCAATGCTATTGTAGTTGTTGCGATTTACGTTAATCTGTACTTAAACCCGTGTCGATACGGCCAATCCACTTGCCAGTGGTTTTTCTTATCATAACTTTGTAGTACCCTACACACGAAAAAAAAATTATCGCACAGGAGGATAACCGCGGAGGCGGCGGGCCCAATGAGAACCGACGATCTCTCACGGATTTCTTGGGCCTGGACTCTACACATCTCGGCGAGGCTGCGCTCGCCGCTGCTAACCATCGCAACAATGTTAGTAAGATTTGAATATAAGTTTCTCACAGGTTTTTGCTTTTTATCGCTAATCTTTATTGCTCCAGCTTTTTCTGCGATAATTTTAAGGTGTTAAACTACCCACAAAATTGAAAACTTTTATAGGCAAGAATAAAGCTACCGTCACTAGTTTTTCGAATTTGATGGATGTAATGGATACTAAAACTGAGAACGTGGAATTTTGGTAAAGATTTTACGGAGAATGTGTGCATACTATGATCTGCATAGATCTTTTTTCATAGTATGTTCAGATACTGAAAGAACTTTAGTAAAATCCCTTCGAACTTTTTTTTCCCGAGACACCACGTTGGGCGCCAATTTCGCAAAGGGTTTTCTACAAAAAAAAAATAATACAGTATCGAAGCACATTCAAAATGTGATCTCGTAAATGAGTTCAAAGTTTACTTACAATTGCTTAAAACTGAATTGTATTCGCATTGTATTGGATGGTTTCCCCCAGTGTTTATAAATCAAATGTTAAGTGCAGCGGGAGCGTTTGTCCGCTCATGTTGTAGCGTAGGACATCCGGTTTGATGGCGGGTAATGTGGGCCGCGGCGGGTGCCAGCGCGGGTAATGCGCGTCGCGTGCCAAGTCAACCGCCGTTGCACACCAGTTTGCATTAGCTTGTATTGTACTGCTCCTGTGGTTATGTTACTGTTCTATGTTAGACGTGCTATTTGTATACAAAAGCTTGCGCGCCGTTATTGGGACTATCGTTTTTGAGGGTATTGAAAATTTTGATATTAGGTAAATAAAATAAAAATGCTTCAGAAAATACTGTAATTGTTTTAAGTTATAACTTTGCGATTATACAGAAGTCTCACAAATATCCTTTTTATCGGTCTTAAAGTCTTAGATAGTCCAATATGGTGGTTGCCGTTGCGATAAATTATTTTGCAATAACTAATTCCTAAAAGTATTGCACGGATAGAGTACGTATCCAGTTTTAGTGATCTCTGCATGGCATTTACGAAAAACGGTCGTATTTCCACATTTAGTTTATCAGGAGGGTAGGGTGCTAAAAGAAATATTTCATTTCCTTAGTAATACTAAGATTGTAATAAGTATATGAATCAGGGCAATTACATTTTTAATGGACTCATAGTTAATGCTTTTATTTTTCGTCAAGCTATTAATTCGTCCAAAATTCTCTATTGTTAGTGCGAAAATGTCGCCCCTCTTCGCAATAAATCACCCTTCCGAAATGAAGTTTTAAAATATTGTGATAATAATGGCGGTAATAAATAAATGTGTCGACTAGTCTGTTGCCAAGAGCAAGATGCTTAAAGTCGCGGGATCTCTGAAATCCCAAACAATGTACAGAATAAGTATGCAATCGTGCACTTGGCAGGCGTCTGCCCGCGTATTGCCGGCTATTGGCATGCGACTGGCAATTTAATATTATTTGTGTAGGCTCATGCCAAGGCTGTATGGCATGGAGTTTAATCGGGCGGGGCGGCCCGCGATCCGGAAAACTATCTTGGGTACAGATGCTTTTTCATGCCTCTCGATTTTGAAATGGATTTACGGTTTTTTTTTCATGTTAGATCTTCGATATCTTAAAAGTTCTCGATTATGGAACTAACCGTTGCCAAATCGTAAATCTTTTATCTGGCGGTGAATTTCGTTTCCGTGTCGATATAGAACCTAAGGGTAGTTAATCTTGTTTTTGTCTAATCTTAACTTTGCATTAGTCGTCTTTTTGATCTGGCGCATTAGCCAATAATTTGTGCTGTGTAGGTACTCGTGTCTTTATATAGCATAGGCCGTATACAGAAAGAAAGCTGGAAGCCGACCAGCGCTTGTCGGCGCTTGTCGGTGCTGATCCTTGCTGGTAACCGGCGCAAGCATTTCTATGGACCAGCGCCGATAAGCGCCGACACGCGCTGGTCAGCGCTGGCACCGCCCTTTGAAATTAATGAACTAGGCTTCAATCTGCTTCCTTTATGTAACTGTTACCAGCGCTGACAAGCGCCGGTCGGCTTCCAGCTTTATTTCTGTATACGGCCATACTTTTTGTTAGACAAGATTTGATCGCATTCGGCTTCTGAAATGATTCAGGTGCCTGAAAATCATATTAGTCCCCATAACGCTGCAATCTTGCTAGATACTTTTGGGGAATCGAAAGTTTAAAATCTTGCTAGATACCTTTGGGGAACTTTAGCGCGGGGAAATTGTATTCTCTTAGCGCGGGAAAATATTCTCGTTTGTCCCTTTAATTTGTCTGTAGTCAACGTTCGGAGTTTACTAAGAGCATCAAGGGCGTTTGCGAAGAGACTATTATTTTTGTCTCGAAAACTTTCTCGCATCTTTGTATCCCCCTAACGTTGTACCTTATTGTTCTTTATTTGAATGGCTTCGGTAATAACGTATAGTAAAGCTTCTCAATTTATTTCTACATTACTTTCTAATCGGGTGACTATTATAATAACAATTTATAACAAACTTTCATAGTTTGATAGCAACATTTACCTAAAATCATGTCGCTACTAATACAATAAGTTAGATATATTATTCAAATTCAATATCGTCCACTTGCATTTTGAGTGCTGTGTCGTGTTGCCGACAAGACCACCCATATTTTTAAAAGGTGGAAACGTTCAAAGGTCGAGAAATTTTGTGGCCATCTTGCCACCTCTGATTGCTGAGACGTGGAAATTGGCTGTATGTAAACTCTCCTCGACGAACACTTAACACATATAACGTGTTTCGTATCTTCCCATTCGATATTAAGTGATATAATTGATAACCCATATAAAAAAAATCGGAGAAATAAACCCTGGGAAGCGCTGGCTGCCAGGCTTTTCGTGTAGATGGTGTTATACAGGGAGAATTTGGAAACTTAAGCGATGGGTTTGTCAGGTCTAGGCTTTGCCATCCTTTTACGAGGACTTAAGGTAGTTTTAAAAGTTCTTTTTAGGGTTCCGTACATAAAGGATAAAAACAGGACCTTATTATAAAGACTGTCTTATACAGAAGATGAAGATTACTCGAGTGACTTGAGTAACCTTTTTTATCGGTCTTTGATGGCCCAATATGGTGGTTGCCGTTACGTTAAATTATTTTTTGCTAATAGGGTATTTGACAAGTTTTAGAAAAAGATCTCGCGTTATTGACTCGTTTTGAGTCCGTAAAAAGTGGATTCGTCATTCTGTTGCGTATTTCAGTAAAAATAACCAAATCAAAAACTCCATTTCCAAGTTGCCGCGAAAACGTTTTTCTGGACAATATGGCGTCTTGCTAGTGTGTGACGTCATAAGACTGATATTAAAACGTTAACGATACAATGTAATGTCACTTTAACCGGAAGTTTACTTGCGTGTGACGTCATTTTAGGCTCCGTCAATCCCAAGCTTTTTGGGTCGCGTGACAATAGATAAAAGTATCATCTTTTTCGTGGGTTTTTAGTAAAATTATGAATATTTTCGTTGTCAAAATAGTAAAAACCCCTGCCAATATTCATTCTAAACACAGATGCTAACAATTGGCACTTTATTTTTAATACTGTCAAATACCCTATTAATTCCTAAACCTATTGCACGGATAGAGAACGTATCCACTTTTAGCGTTGCACTTTTCTTATCAGGCTGTATTTCATAAACCGTGACAGCTAGACACTGGACAATTTTCGCCTCATATTGTATAGATTGGTCGAAGACTTTCACTTGGCCGGTTTTTTGTTATCTAAGATTTTTCCCGTGGTTTAGGAAGGGGGCAGCGACATCGAGTGGCGCTGGGAGGAGCCGGGTAGCCCGGAGGTGGCGCACACGCCGCGCTCGCTCGTGCCGCTCGGGTGCTTCCCTCCGCGCCATCCCAGAACTTACGCCAGCTACAGGTAAGCCTGGTGTAAGCACGACGTTTAAGGCTAACAATTCGCGTAGAATGTGGAATTGTAGGTAAAACGCAAAAGCAAAACTGAAGATGCCATTCCAAGAAAATGGCGGCTGAAAGGGTTAAATTTACTATTGGCCCACCGGCCTTTATTGGAAGATTTTAGTAGAGATTAGGTACAGACCATATGCATGTGATACCAATCTTGCAGTGCCTTTCAAAACATAAGACTTACTTGTATACTTTTCTCTTTGAGCAAGGTGCTCTAACTACAAACCGCCCTTTTTTATGTTAAAAGGGTGCCAAATCGGCTTATAGATGACGACCTCGGTGGCCGTCGTTTATACGCCGGGTTACATGGTGTCGCAGACTCGAGAGGTCCCGGGCTAGAATCCCGTTGGGGCCAGATGTTAGTTTCTTCACGAGCATTTGTACTCCAGTCATGGATGTTTTAATATTTATTTCTATATAAATATACTTGCATATGTACCGTTACCCTAGTATCCCATAACGCAAGCCTTACAGTACTTGGTTTGGGGCTAGGCTAATCTCTTTTCTAAAAGAAAAATAGCCCGCCTAATGTAAGCGGCCATGGAAGCCCATCGACTTTTGCGATACCAAAAATATCACTCGGTTACCTGCCCCATTCCCTACGCAGCCGGGCCCTGGAACCTTTCTTACCGGTAGACGGACTACCAAAAAGTAGTGTAATTTTACTGTGGCAACTTCGTTGAAACGACTACTGCGCTAAAGAGCTACTACGACAAAAATGAGTAATGCGTGTAGTCGAAAGGTAATGTTAAGTAGCGAGCCGTGTACCTTAATGTGCCAATTAGCGTAAGTGCGATTTAGTGAATTTTAGTGGGTGTCTTTGCAGCGAGAGCGCGCGCCCTGGCAGCTGGGCCGGTGACTCCGGCCAGGGCATCACCGACCTTGTCGCCTCTTTAGTAAGTACCAGTTTTCAATAACGCTCAATTTGAATTTAGTTTTCTCTATATAACTATAAATTTCTTTTCAGTACCGTTAAAATAATATTGACTTGTATTCTTTTAGTGTGCTCTTAAATTGAACTAATTTTATAACATTATTTTTGTAAATAATTTTAAATGATATTCTAATTAGTCTTTTTTTGTGAACGATAAACTTTATTCTATTGGTTCGTAAATCTACGGCGGGAGACCTTTTTACGATGTACAGTTTACAAAAAGAGCAAGAGCTATTTGTCTGTTTGTATGCCTTTCGAAATGTTTTTCTGCGTCTGCTACGTATGAAACTCCTTTAATGAATAACTTGGCTAGTTATCATTGGTCACTGCTGTTGCTGATTTTTTTACAGAAGGTTAAATTTTTTGTGATACCATATATGTAGTGTTAAAGTACCCACTATCAATACTCTGAATCATTTTCAAGAGATTTCTCTACCCAGTTTGACTTCTACTATGAAATTAAATTTTAAAATGCTACTTTTAATTTTCAACATCATATCCCAACTTCCAATGTATAAAATAGAGCATCGTCCGATTTTTAAAATCTCCAAGTTTTGAAACAAAAGAACTCTGCGGCCGCCTAACCTATGGTGCTTTTCATGGAGACGCAGTGAAGTCTCCCAACGGGGATCTCTGGGTTCCGTACATAACAGCATAAAGGGTATTCGTAGGGTTTTTAGCGGATAGAATGCCATACGAGCTCTTACGCTGCGCGGGATTGCTAAACGGCTTCTCCGTTTCGCCACCGTGAAACTTGAGGCTAGGTGTGAACACCGTTCGTTGGTGTGCACCTAAGGGCGCCAACGTCTGTAAATAGAAGTTTTGCCCACGTAATAAAAAAAAATGGTGCTTTTCATGGAATTGACGGAATTTGAAACTCAAAACCCAAAACGTCTGCCGTTCTGACACTGCGCGTTGTTTCAGAAGGCCCTGGCGATGCCGGCGTCGAGCGCGCGCCCCGCGCAATTGCAAGCAAGGCTTAGCTTGGACTCCATAGAGAACGGGGTACGTATCTAGAAGATGCTTATTACTTTTATTAACAATATTATCGTTGATCGAAGGCTTAGTAAGGTTGTTCATAATTATTACGTTTTATTTTATATCTAGGTAGGCAAATACTTTCTCTACCCCACCTGATATTAAGTGGTAATGAGTAATTATGGTACTGGCGTCTGTTTCCTTTCTTTTTTTTTAAGATAGTATAAATTGTTAACTGTAATAAATATATTATGATATGAAGCATATTATAAGCATGTAAGCATATTATAGTAGGATAAAAGATTATGAGATAGTTATAGTTATATAAGCATGTTTAATATATGGAGGTTTTTAATTGGCTTTTAGATATTGTTTTTTGTTTATTTAATAAGTGATTGATAGCTGTAAACCTTTCTAAAATAAAATAAATAAATTATGCTAGTAGCCGTTTTACCGAGGAAAAAACTAGGGATTCAAAAGAGCTTTATATAAGTAAATTTGAATAAAGTATAATTTCAGTTCATTAAGGGTGACTAATCCAAATTCAGCAAAGCGCAAAAACGCTACGCTGAATTCTGGAAAAGATAAAAAACAGAAATAAATCGTAGCGCAAAACGTCGTTTCCTCGTTATATTCGAGTAACTATTTGGGTAAATACATAAAACCAAAGATAATCAAAGTACAGCGCAGCGTAATTCCAATTTGATCGGTCACCTTTAGATCTTGTTGTTCAATGCTCTGGAAATCTAAGGTGATCACCGCCATTCGAAGTGGACATGGTATCCACATGAATGGAGTTGAATCGTTATTCGTTGGATATAATGACCAAGTACCTAAGCGATTATTTATGTTGCGTCCTAACTTTATTTCGTAAAAAATATGTTGGGTATATTTTATTAAATGTACATACGAGTTGGATATGACTTTGTATATTGTGTTTTCAGATTGTTAAAGGTATTTGAAAACTTTCATTTTTTATATGAATTTCTGTAATTAGGATTCTGCCTGGCCTCCGGAGCAAGCGAGCACTACTAACGGCCGGGAGGATCGTATCCTGCCACGACGTGCATCTTTTTGTAAGTACATGGGCTCTAAAGATACCGCTTTTAAACGGCCACCATTGTAATAACAAAACTATTAATTTCTACCCTACCTCTTTTGGAAACTCTAATTAGTTTGAAAGGATTCTCTATCTGCACGAAAGCTAATCTTACCAATTTATAAAAAGTTTAAATAATAGTGTATTCATTTCTTTCAAAATAAATATTTTGTTTGTAAATCACCAGTGATCATAGGATCTTTATATAAGTAAAGTTTTATTTCACTTTTCTGTTGATCGCGCTCTATTTTTCTTGATACAACTGAAAGAAATGTAAACAATGTTGTACTGCATTTCACTCTTATTTAACATTATGTTGTTACATTGACGGCCGTGCTCTGAAGCTTCAAATAAATTTAATATTAAATAAAACTAGTTTTAACGGGTTAATGCATGAACCTTTATTTATTTATTGACGTTTCGCAGCCTTTTCAGGTCTGCATCGTCGGAAAACTGATATTTTATTTTATTTTGTCGAGCTACCTTCGAAAGACAGCTCGAGATAGCTCGACAAATTTAAATAAAAAATCAGTTTTCTGACGATGCAGACTTGAAAAGGCTGCGAAACGTCAATAAATAAAGTTTCGTGCTAATGCACGATTTAATGAGTGATGTGCGTGAAAACCTAAGAAACAATTTAATATTATTTAAAGGCGTGCGCTTTCTGCCATAAATATTGGTAAAGCAATAACTCTTGATCAAACTGGGTTTTCAATAACTACACAAACTTAATATCATTCAGTCCAGAGGCCGAAGCACACATTTTTGACAAATGAAAACTAACCAGCGCCTCTATATGGATTCAAAATTTGACTATTGCGTTACTTTACGGAGCTGTCAAAAACTCTTGCTTGGGCCTCTGCTGTCTTGTGGAAATTTCAAGAAAAGAAAATCTTTAGAATTACACCTTAAGGAAGGCGGGCAATGCTTTTTCCATACAAACTTTCTCGACCGATTCCTCCTTGATTTTTATCACTAAGGAATTCATTTCTATACATAATAGGAGCATAAAATGAGAAAATTTTTGTTATTTTACTAATTTTATGCTCGTATGTCTTCCTTTTTTTGTTAACTTGCATTTCAAAGAAACTGGAAGCCCTCAAAGACACCAATTTTTTCACCACTAAAAACTTAGTTTGGAGATTTAACAAGCTTTTACAAAAAAACAAAACCAGGGGTATAGTACAACTACTTATTATTCTATGGGTTTCTTTCACGTAGATCTAATTTTCGAGAAGGAAATCGTGGAGAGCCAATCCTCTAATTTTGCAATTCTAATACGCAATTTTCCGCGTTAACTGCTGTCCTTATCGCATGGTATTTGCCAACGCGTGCCAGCAATAGGTTTTTTCAAATACCTATTTCACAAATAACGGCCAGAGTGCACTCGGATTCAGATTCAGACTCGGAAAACAAGCGCGAGAAATAAACAGTGTAGTTAAAGCAGGGTGGCCATAGTGGCAGCAGGCAAGTCTCTCGGCTCGCGTCAGCTCTTAAGAATGTTTTGTTATGTAGGCGGCGTGGGTCCAGGGCTGGGCGTGGGCGTGGTAAGCGTGGGCGCGGGCGGCGTGGCCCGCTGGAGTGGCACGCTACCCCCGCGCTGCGCTGACCCCAGCAGTGGGATCTCTTCGAAAGTGTTCCTAGGAGGATTGCCTTGGGACATCACGGAACACTCGTTGATGCACGCGCTGAGGCAGTTCCAGCCAGTGCAGTGAGTAACTTATCTTTACATTGACTTGACCAGCAGTGGGTTCCCTTCAAAGGTCTCCCTGGGAGGAATGCTTCGGACATTACGGAACACTCGTTGATGCACGCGCTGAGGCAGTTCCAGCTAGTCCAGTAAGTACATCTAGTTTTCGGGGTCTACGCAGAGCCCCAGCTGTACGCTTTCTTCCAAGGTGTTCCTGGATTGCCTTAAGATATTACGGCAAACGCTTTAATACACGCGCTGAGGCAATTCCAACCAGTAAAATGAGTAACCTATGTTTAAAATTTTCTATTGACTGTATAGCAGACTGAACCCTGCAGTGGGATCTCTTCCAAAGTCCTGGGAGGACTGCCCTGGTACATTGCGGAGCACACCTTGATAGACGCACCGAGGCAATCCAGCCTTCTATCAAACATTTAGTAATGTTATTTATCCCTTTTTGAACACCGGTGCAGAAGCCTCATGGCCGGTCACGACCCAATCTCTCTATCCCATCCATAGGAAGGGAAGCCCTGTGCCCCATCAGTGGGAACATTAATAGGTTGATTATGGTTTACCCTATCCCACAATTTTCCTATCGGTTTGTAGATATTAATTGGGGCTAGATGATTTTTCTGAAAATATCCCAACATTTTATTTAACACTGTAAAAACGTGAAGAGTGATTGTCTAAATGTGTGTAGTGGAATGGCCTCCAAAAAATGTCTTTAGTCGTTATCCAAATGTCTGTCAGAGTGGAATAGCCCCCCGGATCTCCGCGCGGGTACGCGTTCGTTAAGTTTCAAAGCGAGCGGCGAGCGAGCGCGCTATCTTATATTCAACATTTGATTATTCATTGTTTTTAACATTGTGTTGAATGTCCGTAGAGTGGGACGGCCTCCTGGCTCGCCGCGTGGGTACGCGTTCGTTACTTTCGACAGTGAGCGTCGAGTACGCGCGTTATCTTGTATCCAACATTTCATTATTGATTGTTTTTAACATTGTCTCAGGCACGAAAGATTCTCAGGGATTGATAGTCTTGAGCATAGTTGGAAAGGGATGTCATTATATATAGCACATAGGGACATCCCTTTCCAACTGTACTCGAGTAAAGATCAACATTTAGTTGTCATTCTGTAATACGAGCCTTATTCGTCATTCTGTAATGAGCCTAAATGCCCGTAGAGTGGAATGGCCTCCTGGCTCGCCGCGCGGGTACGCGTTCGTAACTTTCGAGAGTGAGCGGCGAGTACGCGCGTTACTGGCGGCCTCTAGGCGTGACGGCAACGACTTGTACTACCGCATTGCATCACGCAAGATGCGCAGCAAGCAGGTAACTTTATATCGTAAAACTATATTTATACTAATGTGATGCCCCCTCTGAATAAGAACTATAGCATAGAGTTTTAATTCAACAGATGGTCTATTCGTATAATACTTCCATCATATTGTTGCATAGACCAAAAAGGGGCAAATACACTTCCGAAACATCTATCGGCCCTTACCGCCAATACGCCACTAATACACCTTTTCATTGGGTAACACTTTGTTGAAAATGTTTTCGTTAATCTATGGGAGTGTACGCTCAAACTTCAAAGCATTACTTTTATGCTTTAGTAATTGTTCTGAGGTTGACCTGTAGATGAATAGTTCAAGATGCAAGAGAGCCTCTTCCACCACCTTTCTTATCTGCCTTGTTACTAGTCAAATTGGAAGACAAATGTAATAATATCATCACTCGTAGCCAGTTTTGAAGTTGGCAATGAACTCTACTAAGCATTTTAAAGTGAAGCTTTTATCGTACCATTTTTTTTATTCATCTTTGACATGCCGCGTTACTTTTTTAATCTTCTACATATATAAAAATCAATTGTGGTTCGTTTGTCACTAAAACTCGAAAACGGCTCGGCCGATTCAGATAATTTCGGTATTGAAATGTTTGTTGTAATCCATGGAAGTTTTAAACGCTGAGAAATTATTTATCGGAAGTTGATTAAACTAAAGAGTTCTAAAGTCATTATTGTGATATTTTTTGCCATTCATTCGTTAGACACGATTCTTCAAATCATGATGGTATCTGTCTTAAATACCTATAAGACTTGTGTGTTAGCATTCTTAAATACTTTGATAATGATTTAGATTTTATTTCAGTTAATTACGTAAGGTTAATTTTATCTATTACATATTATAGTTGCTTGATAATTAATATTGTTTCTTATAAATTGATCTATCTGTGAAAGTGAAATCTAGAAAGACTCGTTACGCCGTAAAATTATAACTATTTACTCTTCTGTAAAATTAACAAAACAGACATTTCAATACAAAATTAATAAATAAGAAGTGTTATATTTATTAAAAAAATATTAAAAACTTAATTAAACAATACAAGCACAAACTACCAAATTTTAATTGTTTTCTTGTTGTCTATTTATCTTAACATTGGTTAGGAAATGAAAGTCGATTCTATATATTTGTGATTTATTTTTAATAAACTACCTACGTATAAGTACAGTGACACTTAATTAACTCACTTTGTACGAAAAATCATCCTGATTTGATCAATCCGGTTGTATCCAGCCGGACTGAAAATGACGCCAGATTTCAATCCGTAGTTCGCGGGTTATTGCAGCTCGAACAACTTTAGTGAGCCATTGTGTACGAACGCAGGTGCAGGTGATCCCTTGGGCGGTGAGCGACGCGAACTGGGTCCGCGGCGGGTCGGCGCGGCTGGAGCCGGCGCGCACCGTGTTCGTGGGCGCGCTGCACGGCATGCTCAGTGCCGCGGCGCTCGCGCATATAATGAACGAGCTGTTCTCCGGCGTCGTGTACGCGGGTTAGTATCGTAACTGGGTCCGCGGCGGGTCGGCGCGGCTGGAGCCGGCGCGCAGTGTTCTGTTCCAGGCTTGTGAATATCGAAAAGCAACGCCATCGGTTCGCAAATCTATGGCGGGAGACCTTGTACTGAGAAGAACCGGCAAGAAACTCGGCAAGGGCTGTTTTTTTCTCCCTGTATTATATACAGTCGTCAAATTGAAAAATGACTTCAGTATGAGATGACTCATGAAGTCTCATTCCATTGCAAATATAAATGATATCAATTGTAAAATCATTGATTGGTTTAAGTGTGCAATCAATTTTCGACACATGCCCTCGGCTCCAAAGTCCAAACTCTTAACGCTACATATAAATGAAGTGGACGCATCCCGGATAAAATGTATTTTTTATGTAGGTTTCGACACCGACAAGAACAAATACCCGATCGGCTCCGGGCGCGTCACCTTCAACAACGTACGCTCTTACCTGCGCGCAATCTCTGCCGCATATGTGGAGATATGCACCGACAAGTTCACCAAAAAAGTAAGTTTTGAGATTGAACAGTTGGTTGATACGGTGGTAAATTTTCTAAGCTTCTTTCTCATTGGAAATTCGCAGCTTGACTATTGATAAACACGGTAAAAATAAATCTACAAGTGATGGTAACTTATCTTCCTCATCTTTGTGCCTTGTGCAATAGGGGTGATGACAGGGTACAGTAAACGAAATTCTATTAAGTCCGTCAGTTAGATGATCAAAAAATAATGGACACTTATTTTCTTTGGGCAATCAACCAAAAAATGACCAAAGTTATATATAGCGCGTTAAAGTTTGGGAGTAGGGGCTTGTGACGTCACTTTTAAGTGGAAATTGTACCAAAACGTGACGTCATGAGACTTTTCAAGTAAATATCTCTGCAATGTTTATATAATATGAAAAAAGAAAAAATACATGTCCAATACTTTTTGATAATCTACCTGATAAACAAAAAAAAAATAGTCATAATCCCTATTTGTGATTCTGGTTTGTCAGTTCACTTAACCGAACTTTGAACTCTCAAATAGGAATCTCTGAATTATCGATAAGACTCGAATTTCCACTACAAAATGTTAGTAGTCTGCTTATCTTTCGCAGTCTTGTTAATTTTTCGGGAATTTGTTAGTAATCTTTCAGATTACTTATTCTATAGGTAATTTTTATGTGATAGGTGCAAGTCCTCCCGTATCTGGAAGACTCCATGTGCTCAGTATGCAACCTGCAGCAGGGGCCATACTTCTGTCCAGAGCCCATGTGCTTCAGGTAAGATGGTTTTTGTTATTGAATAAGTTTTATCTTTTTACAATGATTAATTGGTAACTTGTAATAAGCTAAAATGAAATTTAAAGTAAGCGCAGTTGTAGTGATTTTTGTAGATTATATTTTTATTTTACCCGGGCGGATTTTTGTACTAAATACCCAAAGCACAAAATGCGTCAAAAGTCTCCAAGTTTTGTATGGAAATTTGAATAGCTCCTTAACGGACGTAACGTGAATTGAATCTTCAGTAAAAAACTTGAAATTTGACGAGACTATCGAAACGTGACATGATACATTTGTTCGTTTTCATTTCTTCGGTCGATAATTGTTTTCATCCAATCTTTTTTTTTTGTATAAAACCCAGATACTTCTGCCGGTCGTGCTGGATGTGGCAGCACGCAAGCGAAGAGCACACTCCATTGATGCGCAACTCCAAGTCGGGGTCAGTGACGCTGACCAACACTCGCCCCGCCCCGCGGCACTCCCCGCCTTCAGACCAATGCCTCTACGGCGCTAACTATCTGCCCAGCGATGGTATGTATTATGTCTCTCTCGCACGATACTTAGGATAACGTGTGCGAGAAGGCCAGAATGTCGTATTTATTTCTCTTTAAGGGCAACCAACATAATAAACTCTATTCACATTTATAGGATGGTAGCTAGTAACAATCAAGAATATAAATAGTAGCTACCATGTCATTTTTTTTCTTTTTTTATACTCTAACCAATTAGCCTAGCCCCAAAGTAAGGCACTATAAGGCTTGTTATGGGATACTAGGGTAACTGATAGAATACATATACTGTACATATATAAATATATTTATATAGAAATAAATGTCAAAACATCCATGACTGGAGTACAAATGCTCGTATTTATCACGTAAACCTCTGCCCCCATCGGTATTCGAACCCGGTACCTCTGGAGTCTGCGTCACCATAAAACCCGGCGTACAAACCATGGAGGTCGTCCAATTTTGTACCTTGGTAACACACCTACCCGCAAAGGTTACCACGACATTCATCGATTTTAATTGATAGAAATAAAACGTGTAAATATACTTTTAAAATCTATGACATTATGAATTTGCTACAGATCAACATAGATGTTTCAGCCTAGAATTAAACTTTCTTTCGTTTGCATATTAGCAGAAACGAATTAATCGATATATCAAGAATGGCCTGAGCATTATCCTAGTCTAAAAATTCCTTTCCATTTCATTTTGTCTCGTTTCTATTAGTCCAGTAGACAGTTGGATTATTTCTTGCCTGAAAGCTTCAAATTTTTAGTAACAGTAAATATTATATTCAAATCTTACTCTATTTTACATCTTCTCGATTCACTAACTAGAGTGGGATTCAAACTTCATTGGTAAATAGTGAATTTTATGTTGCCTGCAGATTACTAATAACAATGTCTCTACAAACTCCAGCCTGTTTTAAATCCCTAGTTAAGGAACGAACGCTTCTAGTCGGTTGGGCGTCTTTTTCATTAAGATATCTTGCTTACATTAGGAATACGGGCTGTTGCATTCTGCTTGGGGTCCGCATAAGCAGTATTTATGCGGGCTATTTAAAACTTTACGGTTCTAGAGATAGGTCATTTCGCCAAGTTAATCTATGGTTAAACTTCTTCATACAAAAGTAGGTTCTAACTATCGCAAAAGGTCTTATAGTCCCGTGGGTAGCGCGCCCCGATCGGGGCGTGCGGTATTTGACCGTGCGATGTATTTTTCGAGCGCGCCCCGATTGGGGCGTGCGGTCTTATTTGAGATATTGTGAAATGTGTGAATGTTGAGTATGCCTATATATTTAGTTTGCTTTTTTAATTTTTTTTACAACTTGCTACTTGCAAAACTTTTATCTTGATTTCCGCACAAGCTCCCTCATTATCATTTTGCTTTAAATTATTTTTCCAGCTCATTAGGTTGTCTTGAAGAAATTGCTGATCAGCGATAAGACCGCCCTTTGTGCAACTGTAATATTCTATTTGTGTTCTTTATTTTATCGTTGTGCAATAGTGTTATCTTAATGACATTCAATGTTATACTGATACGAGATGGTAATTCCCAGGGACCCCATCTCCGCCGACGAGCGGCGCTAGCGGTGCGAGCGGGACGAGCGGCACAAGCGGAGCGAGCGGTACGAGCGAATACGATGCAAACTGCGACGACGGACAACCCAATGAGCCCACCCTCGCCCTCTCCTGGCCGACGCACTGACTCCCGCGATTCGCTATTAAGTTGGGCGCTTCGCCGTATCTTATTTAGCGTAAGGTTGATTTTTCTGACACCTCTTGTTTTTCAATCTCTTTATTTTCAATAACTCATAAGTTTTGATTTCGACGCGATCTTTTCCGTTCTCTTCGTGCAAAACGGGATTGTATGCGTTAGTCGTAAAATTACGATTACGAATCTGTCTATATAAATTGTTTCGGTTTGGTCCTTCTAAGATTGTTATCTAATACGTGACTTTTACATTGACTTGATTTGTACTAACTTTTGTGAAACCTTTGATTAACTGTATCCACGAGTCCCGCTGGAGGTGTCGGCATGCTAAATTAGTATTTTTTCTTTTTGTATAAATTAAGACTAAGATTCATTAGAAAATTGTAAGATCTTGAGGTCGAGATGATTTGTAAATTGTTGATTGTTATTGCAGAATTATTTTTTTTGTAGTGCCCGCAGATTGTCCGTTTTGAAATGTCTAACTAAATTCAAAATTTATACTTAAACACTTTTGTCAAGTGTATAGATCGTGTTTGATTCTAAGCATGCAAGCATTTCGTTGATGTGATATTGGAAGTCTGCGGGTTTGTATGTTTTTTTTTTAATTTGTATTGCTACCAATACCATTCGGTATATATAAAATATACTGCATTTGCATTTTTTATATACAGTAGTTCATGGTAAATGTATCGTTATTACCCTTTTTATAAACATATTTTAGTACGCCTTTCGCGTAGTTCCGGTTACGTGCCTAATAGAATTAGGTGGTTTTAAATCTATTTTTACAGTACAGTGCCTCTTTAGAATAGCCCGCATAGGCTGAGTAATTGCGATGATTTTTAAAACATTTTAAAGGGCTTTTAAAATGTATAATCGAGATGATTTTTATGGAATTTTAGTATTTCATGAACATGAAATGTTGATTTTAAACACAAATGCTTGTTTGTTTTTAAATAAAATATTGTTAAAGTTATTGGAGAAATAAATGATTCGAAATTAGAAATCTTTTTTTATTTAACTATGTACGTGTTATAGAAATGTAAGGTGTAAACTGCTTCTGATATTGTCTTGTACACACAAGAATACCTTTTTACCAGAGTCTTGGTCTTGTTTAAATCGCGATAAGGCAGAAGTTCGGATGATCGCGCCTCTATGTGCGTACATTCTTACGCGCATAAGTTTCTAATGGCCAATTTACACATCCGTAAGTAAGTTCAACCTAACAGCAATGTCCAAACGGTGAATTTTGCTTATCCGTAAGAAGTTTGAAGTTAGTTAAAGTACTAACTTTAACTAACAAACAAAACGACAACAAAATAGTCCAAACAAAAAGCGCTGCACGAGCGGAAGGCAAACAGAGATGCGTTTTGTTGTGTCAGTCTAGTCATTGTCGGTCGACTTATGAACTTGCTTGTGCCGTCCACACGGCGGCAAGTTAAGTTGACGGGGAGCATGAGACGAAGCGGGAGAGGTTACCCGCTACTGTCCTGTCCAAATTAAGTTGACGGGGAGCGTGAGACGAAGCGGGAGGGGTTACCCGCTACTGTCCTGTCCAAAAAATGGAACTAGTTCCTATCCTGCGAAAAGTCTCTACTTACTTGTCGCCCGGCATACAGACGTAGTTTTTACTTACTTATTATGAATGTGCCTTCGCGATGAAATCATCCGGCTGCCGAATTTTTTTCACTAGCATCGATCATGCAATTGTCAACATCATCAGCCTATTAATGACCCCACTGCTGGGGTACAGGCCTTCCCTATAGATGGAATAGGGAGACTGGGCCATGACCCATCACGCGGGCTCAGTGCGGATTAGTGGATCCTAATGACTGCAGATGCAGCCGGGACCAACGGCTTGAAGTGCCTTCCAAAGCACGGAGGAACTCGAGATAGAGGATTTTTGGTCACCCATCTAATGACCGACCACTGCGAAAGTTGCTTAACTACAACGATCGCAGACGAAGGCGCTATCCACCCGCGCCATCAAGCTCTTCATTAGCGTTGCCGAACTATCGATATTAAAACTATCGCCAGCTTACATCGAAAATCATGTACCCTATCGATAGGCCTATCGATATAATCGATACAACCGACAACCGATAGTATCGAAACTATCGATAGCTCGGAACAAGGCAATACTATCGAACGAGTGCAATACTATAGATACTATCGATACTATTGTGGTTCGTTAATAACAAACTATTGATAGTATCGTATCGATACTATCGATAGTGTTGATTTTATCTGCAACAATACTATCGATAGTATCGATACTAGCGATTGTTTTAGACTAAAGTTTGTGATTGACTATAATACCTGAAAATTTGCTAACAATACCATTGCAAATTGTTAAACTATCGATAGTATGGTGGCAAATAAAATCGACAGTAGTTCGTTATTAACGAACTACAATGCTATCGATAGTATTTAACTCATCCGATAGTATGAGTTTTGTCTGTGCTATCGATAGTATTGATAAGCCGATCGATTGTCATACGATTGGTTGGCTATCGATTAATCATCGATAGTTGACTATCGATCGGCAACACTACTCCTCATCTGTCATCATTCATCGGCAATGAACAAGTTAAACGGCTAAACAGTGACAGCTCGCTCGCAGTTAATTTCTTTCAGTCTCTGTATTTATTCTTTAATTTAATAACTCTCGGTCATAGATGACGATCACGCGGGAATATCATGGCTCGCTTACACTTGATCGTTAGCCCGAATAAGATTGCTAATGGAATTCGGGTAAACGTCTAAGGCGTTGAGCAGACGACGGGGCGGGGCGGGCATTTTGTCCGCGAAGCAATAAAGACCGCGTCTGCCCGTCGATGTCTGCGGCTGCCCGCGCCGCGTACACAAAGCACACGACGGGCAGAGGCGGTCAGTTTAGGACGTTCGTTCTAGTGAATAGTCCATGACCGCCCCGCGCCGCCGTCTGCGTTACTGCATATAAACTGGTTTGTATGATCCACGGCGGGCAGCCGCGGACATGCAGCGCCGCCAGTGCCCACCGGGCACCCAAGGCTCGGTCTTTTTGACCGCTGTGTGCGTTTAAAGTATAGGATTCACTTTGTGCTATTATTCGCGGCGAAATTGACCAGCCCGCCCCGCCCCGTCGTCTGCAAAGCGCCTAATACCGGCCATACACACTACGAGAAATCGTTAAGATTAGACTGTACAGTCCGAACGGTACCGATAAATCGTGTAGCGTGTATGTTATAAAACTGCACAGTTTCCTATACTAAACGAAATCGTATAAACTGTTCCGTTCGAACTGTACTGTCTGATCGTAACGATTTCTCGTAGTGTGTATGGCCGGTATAAGAGTAAATGAACGGAGTCGAGTACGCCCGTATTCGGGTAGTTTTCATTTTGGTTACCTGACACCATCTTTCAGCCCGTATTCCAGTGTAAATCTTGATTCGGATGCCCCAATTATTTATTTTTAAAATAAGTTATTTGGGAGTTACTATTTTCCAATGAAACCGTGAGCCACTGTATGTACACTTTTCAGAATCCTGTTTTACCAAGATTTCATATCTGAAGCATCTTTTATAAAGTCAATTAGTCTGTTATTGGTATACAATCTGTTCGCCGCCTCGCCGCAGGTAAATAATATTTTCTGAGGATTTCCCTCATATCCTATTAAGTTTTAAGCCCTGGAAAGACTTCGGATGACAGGACATGGTACAATTAAAACTGAACATTACTGTACACAGCTTTATTTTGTGAGAATATGGAAACATCTTTCCTATTTTATAGGCTTTGACGGTTCATAGTAATGGAATATTTACTTAACATAGAACTTCTCTTGGTATTTGGTACTTTACACTATATCTCTAGAAATTGATTACTTAACACAATGACTTTTATGACAGCTGTGTGGATACATGATACGTGTCATTGGCATTATAAAGAAGCAATACCTATCTCTTTCATTAACACAATATCGATCTTCATCTCTTTTTTTATAAAGTGAACTTTTGTTTAACAATAAACCAGCGCCTTCTAATTATCGTCAGCGATGAGTAAGAGTTTCTCACTGAATCGAACCCGAGTATTTATTTTTTTAAATAGCGAGTTTGCAGTAAACATCCTGCAATATTTAAATAAATTGTCAATAGTTCATTAAATTCCTTGAATTCTGTCAAGTTTTCTTTTCTTCAAGGTTCAGAGTCTTGTTGAGAAAAAATTACACTTTGTGGTAACCTGGCGTGTTGTACTACTTGAATAACTTCATAAAAATGAAATACTTCGACTTTTTAGTTTCTTAAAACTCGATTACTCGACACAATAGGAAAATAATATTTCCATAAATGCGTTACAAATGAGACCGCCTGGCAATGTTTGGTGATGAGAATATTTTTATATATGATGACAGAGTTCTAAGGCTCTTACTCAACGCATATTTCGATACAGAATATTGTAGCTGATCGGTATTGCCTTTGAGAATTGTATCCCTCTGTTTATGCTGATGATAATAATATATTAGACTAGTCTAACCGGTAGTTGCGCGCTATATACTTCTGTATGGCGCGAGTGATCTTCGCTGGCCGTCTCTGATCCCTGTAGTTGCCATCCTAAACCAGGAAAGGGGAAACCATTATTTTTATAGTACTACCAAAAAAGCATAATTCGTAATATTATTCATGCGAAAGTGAGTTTGTTTTGAATGAAATTTGGTACGCATATAATTTATGACCTCGTTTGAGACAGGATGCTTTATATCCCGAAAAAATGTTGGAATCCTAAGGGATTTAAAAAAAATAAGTTCACGCGGACGTAGTCTCGGGCGGCCGCTAGTATTCCAATAATTTACAGACCCGCGTTAAGGTATGTATTTCGTAAGTATAATTATGTATAGAAATAAGGATGCTTTCTTTCCTTTGAGGTTCCTTTAGGGGCGCTCCTGTAACTGAGAAACTGAAAGAGGGCAGGCTCAGATGGTACGGTCATGTGATGAGGCGAGAAAAAACTACTCCGTGAAAACAGTGCTCAACATCAACACAAAACAAAGAACTAGGGGCAGCCCACCAGCCTCTTGGTGGTCCACCGTGGAAAGAGATTTAAAATCCCAAAAACTATCACCGATGACAACCCGGGACAAATTAGCCTGGCGCAAATGCACAAGAAGGCCCGACCCCAAAAAAAGATGGGATAGGGGCAGGAAGAAGAAGAAATATGTATAGAAATAAGGCTATAGCTTCTGGATTAGACAACCACGAACATACCAGCTTCTGAGTTATGACGTCATCATTTCACTACATGGCTAAGCTGTATCATTGAAGCGAAGGGGTATTGATTTCGTAACCAAAAGATGAAAGAATTTTGTGATGACTTAAATATAGCATTATTTTGTCAGGTGTTTATGAACGTCATGTTATTTATAAAACCTAAAAGGTATTCACAATTTTCCTTTGTGCTATAAGATTGGAAACAGGAGCAATCCCTGTAGGGATTCACGACTATCGGTAATGAAGAACAATATCAATCTTAATCTCATCATCATAAAGTTCACTTTAGTTTAACGGCAAAATCAATGACTAACACTCGTTATTACCTAGCGCGGGTGCGATCAGTCGAAGCTCATGCTCATGTAGGAAGTGTTGAGGGATTCAGGACCCTCGGAAATAAGTAACAATATCGACTTTTATCTTTTCATCATAAAGTGCACTTTTGTTTGTCAAAGAGAAAACAATGACTTTCACTTGATATTACCTAGCGCGGGTGCGATCAGTCGAAGATCATACTCATGTCGGAAGTGCGGAGGATCCAGGGCCCTCATTAATAAGGAATAATATGAATCTTTATCTCTTCATCATAAAGTTTACTTTAGTTTAACGGGAAAATCAACAACTTTCACTGGTTACCTGGCGCGGGTGCGATCAGTCGAAGCTCATGCTCATGTCGGAAGTGTTGGTGACGTCACCGGTAGCAGGCGCGGGGCTGGGGGCCGGGGGCGCCGATATTTCCACAGGCGGGAATGGAAATTGTGGAATCTCTTCTTCTGTAGAAAGTAAAAATATAGTAAACTTTTCTTTAGATTTAAACATCTAGCAGTTAAATGCTTAAAAATAAATAAAAACTAATAGTATATTTCATTACAAGTGCGGTAAGCCTGTCATTGTTAAGATTTCCGACAAATGTCTACCGGAGCCGAGGCGCAGCCGAAGGTGAGGGTTGACAGTCGGAACAAGTTGCAATGACGGTTCCGCACGTGTACTGAACAACTATTTTTAATACAGTTGCGAAAAAATCAAGGAATTTAATAAAGAAAATTTTGGACAATTGGCGCCAACCGTAAAAGAATATAAGCAGAGATTTTTTTGTTTTCTTTACCCATTCTGGGTAGGCAAAGGGAACTCTGCCCATACAGCCAAATCTTCAGTAGATTTTTTTTATTGACATGAAATGAAAATTAAATTTAATGTGATGAAATGAAACCAAACCTAACCTAACTCATTGAATCAAATCATTAAATCTGATATTGAAACAAATTAGTAGCTTCTTTTTAGAAATATTTGCATGAATCATAAAAACTTTATGATTTTTTTTGTAAAAACTTCGTGGTTGGTTTTTCCTTTTTAATAGACATTATTTTTTAGAGTTGGGAAAGAGAACGCACGAGTTCGGAAAAGATAAAGGTAAAGCTCGAGTATGTAATAAGCCCACATCCCGAATGCTATACGTCCCTGCAATACGCCACTTTTTGAGCAACTGTATTAAAAACAAATTGCGGGGAAGAAAAACGTTGCATTTGTCTCAGTCATAACAAGCAATGTCACACGGATTCGGTCTATTTTCGAGAAATTCTTCTCCAGTAAATAAAACAAGTTTCAACGGTATAGATGCACTGATTTATTTATTTATTGACGTTTCCCATCCTTTACAGGATGCGTCGTCTAAATAATGATTTTATTTAATTTGTCGTGCTTCCTTCGAAAGACTTTTATTGAGCGTTCGGATACTTCATTGGAAGATTTTAAACATTATTGTCAATGTATGAATTTATTAGCTAATTTAATTAATAAAGTACTTTATTTAATTCTTTTTTATAATTTTGAGTTTATTTATTGGACGCTAACTACCGTAAACTACAGGTCTTCAACCCATTATTGAATAGAAAGGAGTGTGAAGTACTCCTTATAAAAGGATAAGTAATGGTGTCGATTCTGGCGTGATTCTCTAAACTTAACACTAAAAATAACATCAATCTCTCCTTTTCATTCCGTATAGAGCATGACAAGGATACACTGTTGTCAAATTTAAGTTTAGGTTTAAAGAATCGTGTCAGAATTGACACTACTATGTAATTTAGGTTAAACACAAGTTGATCACATAGTCTTACGTAAAATTGTAGAATATTCCACGTAAATTTTAAATAAAGCAACATGGCGGGTATTTTCAGTTTTCTTCCTTTTTGCGTACCAACATTAGAAGTATTTGATTGGTTTAATGGCGCAAATGATTAATGAGCTTGATTTGTGATCGTGGAAGTTAAGAGACTTTTGCAATGGTCGGTTATCGGGTAACCAAAATTTATTATCTCGAGTTTTTCTGTGCTTCGGAAGGCATGTTAGAGGTCTTATTGATAGAGACGGGGCCAGCCCTTATTGGTCGATCGTGTTTGAGTACTCGTTTCCATTGCAAACGAATGAGTCGAGTTTGTCTGTGAAACATTTTAAGTTGCCTCGGGGCCCAGTTCACAGGGCAGGGTGGTAGGGCATAGTTGTTTTCCGCTCAATTTGGAGCACCCGCCTGGGGAAGTATCCTCCACCTTACACAAGATCACAGTAAAATAATACATAAATCTTTTGGTGGTGTTGTGTTTTTGATGGTGAGTAAGGGAAGAATAGGGTCGGCATAGACGGTTCGGCATTATTTGTCGAACAACAAAGCCGACCCGTAGTAATTACTACCGAAAATTTATATTTGATTTTACCGTCCGGCTGTGCCGATTAATGCAAGACCCGCTTATGTGTGTAGTTACCCTACTAAGGTTCCAGGGCTCCACGGGGTATGGGTCAGGGTAGGGTATATTTTTGGTATCACAAGCGTATATAGGCTGTGGTGGCCGCTTACAAAAGGCTCATTACTATGTCAGCAAATCAATTCAAAATCAACAGGATAATGATCTAATAAGCTTTTTAATTAATATACTTTTTGAATCATCGAAATCAGTTCATACGTTGCGATTTTAGAACTTATTTTATGGTAGCCAATATTCACCGGCGGCCGAAACGTGTGACGTCACAGAGCTCGATCGTGGTTCACTCCGGTCGAACTTCAGAAGCGTCTCTACGCACGCTCACACACTAGCGCTAAAGCTCTGTGACGTCACAGTCACCATGCGGCCAACCGAAAATTCGTTTAGTAATTTGATCAAACTTCGTCAATATTTGTAGTAGAACAAAAAATACCATTGTATAGTATGGAATCCTTAGCTCTATAAATCTGCATTCTCAACTAAAATCGTTACGGATCCTCATTAGGCAGGCCATGCACTTGTTTGACCTTTTAATATTAACAAAAAATACTGACCAGCCGCTCCACGAGCGCGTCGAGCAGCGCCAGCGCCAGCACGTGGTCGGGGTCCTGGGCCAGCGCTCGCTATATATGCTGCCATATATCTGCCGCTATATCTACTGACCGGGCGCGGGCGCGGCGCGGTCCAGCCGCTCCACGAGCGCGTCGAGCAGCGCCAGCGCTAGCACGTGGTCAGGGTCCGCAGCTAGCGCGGCATGCAGCGCGGCGGCGGCAGCCGGTTCCCGTCCTAGCACCGCTAGCGCTAGACCGCGCGCCGCTAGGGAACCCGCGCGCCCCGGACGTAGTGCTAACGCACGACCGTGCCACGTGCAAGCTTCAGCCGCGCGGCCTAAGCGGCGGCACGTGTGACCTAATGCGTCGAGTGTCGCTGCCCAACGAGCGCCCACCTACACAATACGATAGATATACTTTAACCCACCAAAACAATTATTGACATATATAATAGACTAGGCAGTGCTGAGCTTTTCAGACGAGACGACGGCACCTGTACTGTACATTAAACGATACAATTACCTTTCACCCACAATCGAAGAAGACAGTTGAAATCAAAGAGATAGAGAACAGATTGCATGCCCAGGGCGACGGCACTGGTGGTTTAGTGCGTCCACTGCCCAACGAGCGCCCACCTACGCCCACATAAACCATAAACTAAGCACACTCAAAGAAAACATCTATAAAATATATTAAATGCCTAACAACTCGAAGAAACAGTTAAATTCAGAGATATAGAGAACCGATTGCCTAGCACGGCCAGCGCTAGACCGCGCGCTTGGGCCACGTGCAATCATCGACCGCCCGACCTAAGCGACGGCATGTATGCCCAAAGAATGCCCACCTACACACATATACATATAAAACATTTATAGACACAGCTGTAAATATAACAAAATACAAAAGAAACAGTTAAAGACACAAAGACGAGACTGAGCTATCACGAGCCGAGTTTTTCATATAAGTCACCGGCATGTGTAGCCTAACGCGTCTGGTGGCGCTACCCAAAGAACGCCCACCTGTACAATATAGTAAACGCCTTACACTCGCACTAGAATTAGTCACATTTTTAGACATAGAGAACCGACTGACCGAGCAAACGTGTGACTGAGAGCGTCGAATGTCGCTGCCCAAAGAACACCTACCTACACCCACATTTGAAATGAAATGCTTTCTTTTATCATTTCATTCACTATCGTAAATCATTCCATTATCGTCTTCTTTTCGACATAGAAGAGAAGACACCAAATGGGCGATCGAAGGAAATCTTAAAATAAATAATTTTCAAAATAACTTCGTTAATATATGTCAATGAACTAACGAAATCAATCGACTCAGGCGTAGAAATAGATTCCATTTATACAGATTTTAGCAGTGCGTTTGACAAGGTTGACCACAATATACTGTTTATGAAGCTGAAGCGTTACGGAATTCATGGACCCCTACTGCTATGGCTTCGTTCTTACTTAGAGCATCGGTTGTTAAGTAGGTAAGGTAGTTGTGAACGGCTACAAATCGAAACCATTCCTCACCTCGTCGGGAGTCCCCCAGGGTTCGATCTTGGGACCAATTCTGTTTCTCGTTTTCATTAACTATATCCCTAATAAAATCCGGTATAGCAGCTGCTCTCTTTTTGCCGACGATTTAAAGTTGTATCGACCGATCAGAAACGAGGAAGATATACTTTTGCTCCAAAAAGATATAGACTCGGTATCGGAATGGTGCGTGGACAACGGTATGACTCTTAACGCAAGTAAATGTCTATTTATAAAATTTACCAGAAAGACAAAAAACATTAACGCTTCTGTTTATACTATTAATTCTGCACAGCTAACCGAAGTGGGTTCGACTCGTGATCTGGGCATTGTAATTGACAAAAAGCTCGGATTCATTGAACATATTAACGTTATTGTTGCAAAGGCATTAAAAATGTTGGGTTTCTTGAAACGCCTATGTAAGAATTTCCATAACACCGCAAAAATTTTATGCTTGTATAAGAGATTGGTGCAAAGTATACTAGAATACAGTTCCCAAGCCTGGAATCCGCAATATCGAGTCGACATTGATAGAATCGATCGAATTCAACGTAATTTTACGAGGTTTCTTGCTTTCAAAGACAGGAAGTGTCACCACACTCGTATCAAATACTTTAAACTTCATACCTTAGAAAAGCGTAGAAAAACCACGGACATTTTATTTCTGCACAAATTACTTCACGGCAATATTGTTGCGCAAGACATTCTTGCGGAAATTAAGTTAAAGGTTCCCAGAAAAATCCCCCGCCAACCCATCAAATCATTCGTTAACTGTCCCTTTAAAACAAAATTAGCTACACCGTTTAACAGAATTAAAGATCCATACAACGAGATATGCCATGATGTTGACATCTTTCATGCTCCACTCAAAGCCCTCAAAAATCATCTGTATGGTAACGTTCAAACCGAACAGTATTTTTTTTTCTGTTAAAAGTATAAGTAAGTACCTACCTACATATAGTCAATATTGTACATGCCTGCAATGGCAATTCACACGGTTGAGTACTACCTGCATCTTTAATCTTTATTGAAATTTGTGAAATTGTCGATGGTATGTCAAATAAATAAATAAATATTCAACTACAATAATATCATGTTCTACGAATTTGCGGCACCAGTATAATAATAGTTACATTTAAATGTAAAGAAAATTTTACTAGAAAAAATTCCACGCGGATTAAGCAGCAGACGGAACTGGAACCCGCACCCTTCGCTATCCGGGCGAATGCACTGATCATTATGCTACCGCGGTCCTGATAGCCGTGTCGAATTTTCTCTAGCCTTTTCTTAAGTTGCAATGCAGCGCCACCTCTTTGTATTGTTTCTTTAGATTTAAACATCTAGTAGTTAAATGCTTAAAAAAATATAACTATAATTTCATTTATTTAAGATTACATAGACCCAAGTTGTAAGTAACAAGCGTTGCGTTGTGTAGCGGCAAACTTCACGAACAAAACCATAGACAAATAACGCAGTAGACGGTTTTTAGGCTTCCTTGATTTAGATTCAAATTCATTTATTCATTGTTAAAACTGGGTACAATAAAGTGGTAACATTATGTGTTTAAATACAAATCCAAATAGTCTGCCCATTTCGGGCGTACAATGTCAATAGTTAATTAAATTTCTTTTACAATGTCAAGAATTGTCTATGACTTGTCTATGCTTGTTGTTCAAGAACATTGCTGAGGCGCGTACACACCTGGAGGAGGAGCTTGACGGCGCAGGTGGATAGCGCGTTCGGCTGAGATAGTTTGAAGTTAAGCAACTTTCGTAGTGGTCGGTCATTGGATGAGTGACCAAAAATCTTCTATCTCGAGTTCCTCCGTGCTTCGGAAGGCACGGTAAGCCCTTATTCCCGGCTGCATTTGCAGGCGTTAGCACCCGCCAAGCCTGGGCCCGCGTAGTAGGTCATGGCCCAATCTCCCTATACCATCCGTAAGGAAGGCCTGTGCTCCAGCAGTAGGAACATGAATACATAGAGGTATAAGAATAGAGTAGGGGAGATATAGACTCTACTAAAAGTGGAAGTGTCCCTCTAATAAAAAGAGAAAGAAGATGAGAGCTAGCCGCTAGCTTTTCTCTCTAATCGCGCATGCGCATTAGCAACCGTAAGCATCTTACTATTTCGATGTGATGCCATTGGATGCCATGCATTACAAGAGAGAGATAGCTAGCGGTCTCTCATCTTCTTTCTCTTTCTACTAGACGGACACTTTTAGAGCCGCCTTCCCCACTGTATTCTTATACCTCTACTAGTGGCCCGCCCTCGCTTCGTTTCGGTGTAGAGCTGAAGTGTAGACTACAGTTTTTGTTCTCAGGCTTGTATTATACACAATGACATTCATCTATGATTCTTCTTATACCTGCATGCAAAGTCTCAGCCCGATCGGTTTAAAATTGACAAAATTTCATACAAACTTTCATTCCCTATTTTATCCCCTTGGCGGTGGAATTGATCAAAATCCTTTCTTAGCGGATGCCTAGGTCATAACATCTACCTGCATGCTAAATTTCAGCCCGATCCGTCCAGTGGTTTGGGCTGTGCGTTGATAGATCACTATGTCAGTCAGTCACGTTTGAGTTTTATATATACAGAAAGATGCATGGATAGGCCGACGATGATGATGTACACACCTGGCAGACATCTCTGTTGGCTCGCGCAGCGTCTAAAGCTCGCGTGAGTAGTTTGTGTGCTGCGTTGTAATCGCCGGCGTTGAACGCGGCCGCGCCCGCTTCGTGTGCGACGTGGGGTTCGTTCGCGATTGGTACTAAACGTTCCCAACAACTGCCCTCTGAACGCTCGACCAGTTTCTCTAACGATGCCTACGCAGAAGATTCACTTTTCTCAAAAAGAAGTGGCAAAGGTCGTTGGAGAAAGTTTCGAAGTAGTTATAATACCAATAGATTATGAAGAAGAAAGAAGTGGCAAAGGTCATTGGAGGAAGTTTGGAAGTAGTAATAATACCAATAGATAATAAAGAAGTGGCAAAGGTCATTGGAGAAAGTTTGGAAGTAGTAATAGTAGCAATAGATTATGAAGAAGAAAGAAGTGGCAAAGGTCATTGGAGAATGTTTGAAAGTAGTAATAGCAGCAATAGATTATGAAGAAGAAAGAAGTGGCAAAGGTCATTGGAGGATTTTTTTAAGTAGTAATAATACAAATAGATTATGAAGAAGACAGAAATGGCAAAAGTCATTGGAGGATAATTGGAAGTAGGAATAGTACCAATAGATTATGACAAGAAAGGAGTGGCAAAAGTCATTGGACGAAGTTTGTAAGTAGTAATAATACAAATAGATTATGAAGAAGACAGAAATGGCAAAAGTCATTGGAGGAAAATTGGAAGTAGGAATAGTACCAATAGATTATGAAGAAGAAAGAAGTGGCAAAGGTCATTGGAACAAGTTTGGAAGTAGTAATAATACAAATAGATTATGGAGAAGACAGAAATGGCAAAAGTCATTGGAGGAATAGTGGAAGTAGGAATAGATTTTGAAGAAGAAAGAAGTGGCAAAGGTCATTGAAGGAAGTTTGGAAGTAGTAATAATAATAATAGATTATGAAGAAGACAGAAATGGCAAAGGTCATTGGAGGAAAATTGGAAGTAGGAATAGTACCAATAGATTATGACAAGAAAGAAGTGGCAAAGGTCATTGGAGGAAGTTTGGAAGTAGTAATAGTACCAATAGATTATGAAGAAGAAAGCAACTTCTTTCTTCTTCATAATCAAATTCTTCAATTCAAAGGACGTTGAAGGAAGTTTGGAAGTAGTACTAATACGACTAGATTATGAAGAAGAAAGAAGTGGCAAAGGCTATTGGAGGCAGTTTGGAAGTAGTAATAATACCAATAGATTATGAAGAAGAAAGAAGTTGCAAAGGACGTTGACGGAAGTTTGGAAGTAGTAATAATACAAATAGATTATGAAGAAGACAGAAACGGCAAAAGTCATTGGAGGAAAATTGGAAGTAGGAATAGTACCAATAGATTATGACAAGAAAGAAGTGGCAAAGGTCATTGGAGGAAGTTTGTAAGTAGTAATAGTACCAATAGATTATGAAAAAGAAAGAAGTGGCAAAGGTCATTGGAGGAAGGTTGGAAGTAGTAATAATACCAATAGATTATGAAGAAGAAAGAAGCTGCAAAGGACGTTGAAGGAAGTTTGGAAGTAGTAATAATACGAATAAGATTATGAAGAAGAAAGAAGTGGCAAAGGTCATTGGAGGAAGTTTGGAAGTAGTAATAATATCAATAGATTATAAAGAAGAAAGAAGTTGCAAAGGACGTTGAAGGAAGTTTGGAAGTAGTAATAATACAAATAGATTATGAAGAAGACAGAAATGGCAAAAGTTATTGGGGGAAAATTGGAAGTAGGAATAGTACCAATAGATTATGACAAGAAAGATGTGGCAAAGGTCATTGGAGGAAGTTTGGAAGTAGTAATAGTACCAATAGATTATGAAAAAGAAAGAAGTGGCAAAGGTCATTGGAGGAAGGTTGGAAGTAGTAATAATACCAATAGATTATAAAGAAGAAAGAAGCTGCAAAGGACGTTGAAGGAAGTTTGGAAGTAATAATAGTGACAATCGGTTATAAAAACACGGCTGTTTTCACAGATTACAATCATGCAGGTAAATCTTTCTCAATTTTAAGTCGCAACAAGAAAGTAAGTAAAGATCATTAGAGTAAATTCAAAATAACAATAGGTGACTTTGTTACACATTTATATCAGGGGAAATCCAGTTATTTATAGTATATCTATGAACCTATCTGTATTTTAGAGTTATTTTTTAGTTTATTTCTTAAATAAAACGTCATAATGAATAGTAATTCAGAAAATACTTTATTTACCTCAGAATCGCTGTGCAGCGTAGCAGCTCTCGCCAGGAATCGCTCGCACATGGCTGCGTTGTTCAGCAGGGAACATTCCACACCCACATACAGCGGGGGTAAATGACAACCACCCATCAGTTGACTCGCCTATAAAGAAATAGACGTTTCCTTAGAGGGTAGGGTAGAGGGCTTTCCTTTAGCAGAAATAGGAAAACAGGCCTTAAGGGGTCCTCCATAAAGTACGTCACTCGCTAAGGGGAGCGAAGAGGACGAGGGGAGAGGGAGGGGTCCAAAGTTTCGTGACGTCACATTTCAAATGTTAAAATGCTAACAATTAACGAAAATCTTAAATACATTTCTACCTTTAACTGTATGAGTACAAGTTTCAATAATTTTTTTGCAATTGCATGCACTCAAGATGTTTTTCTTTTCGCTCAGCTCGACTGGATACAGACTGGAGCCGCGCTATCTAAAAAGAATAGCTCCGTAAATGGCTCCGGCAAGTCATTATTGTAAGTATGCTATTGTGTGTGAATAGTATATAAACATAACTGTAATTGCTATTGCCGTCAGGGCCGCGGTAGCATAATGGTCAGTGCATTCGGCCGGATAGCGAAGGGTGCGGGTTCGAGTCCCCTCTGCTGCTTGGTCTGCGTCTCGTAAACTTTTCTTTAGATTTAAACATCTAGCAGTTAAATTATAAAAAAAAATAAAAACAATCATTAATGTCGTTTACCTTGAAATACGCAGCCATCGCTTGGTCATGTTCCTTTTCGTTGGCGAAGCTGTGTCCGTATGCGAGCCACACGCACCCGGCACCCGGCTCCAAGCTCTTCGCCTTGCTGAGGTAGCGACGGGCGAATTCACTCTTGCCTGAACAATAACGAATTGAACAGTCAACAAATGATTTTTATCAACTAAAATGTTTAGTGTAAAAACGGTTACCTATTAATATAATAAAATCGTAGGACAGTCAAAACTGTACATGTTTTTTTTAAATATTTGGGGTGTGATCTGTAATCGATACCGAGGCCAAAAATATAGTTTTTAGAATTTTTGGATGTCCGGGATAAACTCAAAAAGTACTGCATGGATTTACTTCAAATTTGGCACGAATATTATTAAGAAGTCGGGTCAACATATAGGCTACATATTGTCACGCTATCACCTACGCGGAACGAGAAGTGAACCTTTATTTCTAACTCCACGCGTACGAAGTCGCGAGTGGCTCCTATAGACCAGGGGGCCAATCGCCTAACTGGATTGCTTTGGAAAACGCTATCGCTTACGATTTCATTTTGTTATTTCTAGCCGCCTGAGGTTTTCAAATGCCTCGCGCTCTTTTTTTTTCTTTTGCATTGGTAATAACAATGTTAAAGAAAATGAGCGTGAGGTATTTGAAAACCTTCGGCGGTTAGAAATAACAAAATGAAATCGAAAGCGATAGCTTTTTCCAAAGCAATCTGGTTAGGCGATTGGCCCACAGGGGCCCAATTCTCGCGGCATAGATATTATATCACCTTCGATATATATCGAATGATCTGGCTTTTATCGAAGGAAAACCTTTTTGCCCTATTCTCACCGTGTCGCAATAGATATTTATCTACGGATGATCAGTAGACATACATCGACTGGTAAAGAGCCTTCGATATATAAATATCTATGGATCTTGGCATGTCAATCTTATTATTTCCACTTTTTTTACCTATTATTTATTGTGTTGTCGTGTGTCTTTGCCAATTATTGTTACCTCAAGACGTTGTTAACTGCCTTCATAAATAATTAGTAAATAAAGAAGTAGGTAAATAATAGTTTATATTAACGATGGATGAGTTGATTCATGTTTTCGTCAATGATTTAATAAATGACGTGATTGCTGCTGCTGTGCTAAGGCGCCGCCGTTGTGAGAGCAAGAGGGCCCATTTGAAATGAGGGACGCCGACTTCATAAAAAAATTACGTTTAAACAAAAATTTGGTTAGAAATCTTTAAAGTTATGAATGACATCGGTATCGATTCTGACACAATTCTCTTAACTTAGAACTAAATTTAACATCAGTCTCTCCTTTTCATTCTGTATGGAGAATGACAAGGATACACTGTTGTCAAATTTACGTTTAGGTTTAGAGAATCATGCCAGAATCGACACCATTTTCTTATTGACGATACGGAGTTTTGGCGGGATTTCTGCGAGTGCGGTTGGTATCTTATTTTAATTATTCTAAAATTCGTTCATAGTGGATATTGTGAAATAAAATTGGTGTGATTTGGTGTTACAACCGTCTGCGCAACTGAAGAATTAGTGGAATCTTTAAAATATACGCTATTCCGGTTAAGTGGACTCGAGAACTTTATTGTAGTGTTGAATACCTCACAGAAGCTTAGAGAAAAAGCCAACTCCATAAATTTCGTGCCAAACATTCCAAGAAACATTAGAATGCGTCACACCGACATTCGAATGTAAAAAAAAGAAGATTAATATAACTAAAGACTAGGCTTTATGGGCATTGTTCCCTTTGCCTTCCCTGAAAAGGGAGTATCTTAAATAATATTGACGTTTCATTATACATAACGTTGAAATTATAAACGCATACAATTTAGGTAAAGTTGAGATTTCTTATACTCAAAAAATGTATATTCATATTTAATATGAATGGAATTCATAAAATATCATTTTGTTGCTTGTAAAATTCTGCTCTAATTTATTATTATTTTATATAGACTATGATGTTAACTTAATCGAGAAAAACGGAACGCATTCGGCAGTGAAAGAATATCTACGATAGATATAATATCATTGGAATATCGAAAATCCACGAGAATAGCATTTTTTACCATCAGTAGATATTTTCAATAGATATCCCTACTTTCGATATTATCTCGAAGCCGATATAATATCTACGCCGCGAGAATAGGGAAGATGCAATATTTTTATTTTTGTTTTCATTTTTAAGAATTCCATGTAGAATAAACCACAGATATATTAAAAAATTAAAACATTGTGATTTATCGGAAAAAATGCGGTTTTAAATTGACAATTTAAATTTTCGCGCGAAAACGAACCTATGGTTGCGATGACGTCACCCCTGTCTGTCACTGGTCGTAACTGTTCTTTGCTGGGTTTAAATTTTCATACTTTTGCATATTTTTTTCGACATTCGAAATATTTTTTTGAAATTTTAAAATGGACTATCCATCAACATCATGTGATCATAACAATACCACTAATATTCCGAAAAAAAGCCGTGTTGACTCATGTTTTGTGCTAATCTACTTCAACAAAGTTCCCAAATAAATTGTTTTTGACTGGAACTTCTGACCCAAAACTGAAAAAAAAAGTTTCAAGCTGCGAAGAGATATGACAATTATTCTCCAAAGACCATTAATCGATGCTGAGAAGATTACTTTGACGTAAGTTGGCGAATATACTTGTTATATGCTTAATTAATCTGCTTGTACATAAAACGCATTAGTAACCTACCTAATACTTACAAAACCTGTCTATAACATATTTTTAATATTACAGTTGGAGAATGACGTCGAAAATTAGATAAAGTTTAAAATGTGTGGCACAATCTTCACATTGGCAGGACTGAACCAAGCTTTGCGTTTCATTTAAAATAACTGTAACACGATAACCTTCTTTACGTAGTTTATGCTCCGGAGAACTCGACCTTTTACTGTACATAATTTTCCATCTCTTTTAATTTGGACATAGCCGATTGCATTATCGCCGTAAGATTTGTAGAAGCCGCTGAATAAAATACGAATAAACTACGATTTTTAAATACCGTAGTAATATAGTCCCTTTCATTTCTACACTTAAAAACTCTGCACTTTGGACAAAAAAAGTTATAACCATGTCAACGCTAACTCTTGGTAAATTCCTGGAGTCTGCTTTGATAAACGCAACTTCCATTTTTATTAAATGTAAAAAAACGCAATAAATATTCCCATAAAATAATATTTACTTTAACAACCATAACCTCAAAGAAGTTGTCATTACAGGAGTGACGTCACTAAACGCTGATTGGTGTTTTAAAATACGTTCCGTTTCAAGTATTTTTAATTCGTAATAATTGTTAAAAAACAACATTATGTAAAATAAAAACGTTGCAGTGGCATTTCTTTTATATTTTTTTAACATTTTAATCATAAAATTTTCATAAATATTATATATGCATCTTCCCTATTATTTTAAAAATGGTGAAAAGTGAAAAGAAATTATAGTAGGATGAAACCCATTAGAAAAGGTAGAGAATATAACAAAAATGAAAGGAAAAATAAATTACGGGCGATCTGAGGTCGGGAAGGGGGAGGGGGGGATTTTTTAAGGGTAAAAAATGGTTAATCTCGATTTCCGGTAAAACTGTAAGTCCTATGAAAAAAAGTTAAATGGCAAAGTTGTAGGTAATAAAAAGATCTACAACTTTTGTATTGACACTTTTTTCACATAACCTCAAAATTTATGTGAAAAATGCGAATAACCGAGTTTTTGGTTTTTGATTTTTATTTTTTGCAAAAAAAAATATTTTTTCACGAAATTTGGTGAAAACTTACCTTTGTATGTCCCAAACATACAGTAATTTTTTTGATTTAAAATATTCATTTTTTCACCTTATTTTGACTTAATATCCAAAAAGTACCCTAATTTTCAATCAAAAATTCTCACATCAAAATATCTGCTTTTTTAAAAAAGTTGGGGTGTTTTTTGTTTGTTGAATTCTCTACTTTCTGATGGTATAAAGGAAAACACTACTATGATAAATGTACTCAGAAAATGCAAATTAATAATGAAAAAAACTCGAATCTGAAAATCCTATTTTTAATACCTACTTACAACAACTATTGTTGCATGTTTTATGGATTTCTAAATTTTCTGTTTATCAATATAACATGAAATCTTACGTTTTTCGAGTAATTAAAGTGTAAATTTTAATAAATTGTTCAAAATTATACATAATGATTCAAATAAATTTTTCGGATTAGAGTTTTTTTCATTATTAATTTGCAGTTTCTGAGAAAATTTACCATAGTAGTGTATATTTTTTTATACCATCAGAAAGTTGAGATTTCAACAAACAAAAAACATCCCAACTTTTTTAAAAAAGCAGCAATTTTGACGTGAGAATTTTCGTTTGAAAATAAGGGTGCTTTTTCGATATTAAGTCAAAATAAGGTAAAAAAATGAATATTTTAAATCAAAAAAATTACTGTATGTTTGGGACATACAAAGGTAAGTTTTCACCAAATTTCGTGAAAAAATATTTTTTTTTGCAAAAAATAAAAATCAAAAAGCAAAAACTCGGTTATTCGCATTTTTCACATAAATTTTGAGGTTATGTGAAAAAAGTGTCGATACAAAAGTTGTAGATCTTTTTATTACCTACAACTTTGCCATTTAACTTTTTTTCATAGGACTTGCAGTTTTACCGGAAATCGAGATTAACCATTTTTTACCCTTAAAAACTCACCCCCTTCCCCTTCCCGACCTCAGATCGCCCGTAATTTATTTTTCCTTTCATTTTTGTTATATTCTCTACCTTTTCTAATGGGTTTCATCCTACTATAATTTTTTTTAGTCTCAAAAATTATCGACCCTGGTCTACTAGTTTTTAATATAAATCTAAGAAAGTTGTATAAGACAGTTGGTCTATCCGTGGAATTATTTTTAATGTTTGAATTTTTAGATGCAAGTCCCGATTTACAAGAAATTCAATTTGAAAAAATATAATTAATATCAGTCAACAATGTTTCAGTATTTAATTACCCCTTTTTTGTGGAGGCACACGCTTTTGAATTTCGAGTAGTGTTAGCAGGTCTCCTATGAAAAAAAGCTTCAAGATTTACCTATGAGAGGTAGCATTGGACTACCAAAAACAGCTCGTTCGAACATGTGCGCAAAGGTGACCGCTAGCTAGCCTCGCCATAATTCAACGAGATAGTCGCTATACCCTGGGTCCATGCAAATGCGTAGCTTAGCTTAGTTGTGTCAGCGGATGCGAACAGTTAGCAAATCCGCTTTAGTTCCACTAGTTAAGCGATCTAAACGTCTCCACAGCTCCAATAACTGCGCCCACAGAATCAAGTAGTTAAAACACTCACCAATAAGCATTGAACCGTTTAAATGGAGATCCATGAGGTAAGTGATTTATTAATGAATCTTAATTAATATAATATCATTCAATCGCATACCACGGGTAAGCATCAACAAACGTACGAGGAAAGGCGAACAGTTCGGATCTCTTCCGAAGTTCGACGAGGCAAGCAGCACGAATATCTCCACTACACCGTGAGTCCTAAGAAGCTACACATGGCATTCTCTAGTCACCGCTAAAAACCAAGCACTTATAGACTCACCAATGAGATAGTAGTAGCATCCAACAGCATACCACGATATCCAACTATTCGGGTAAGCATCAACAAGCGTATGTGCGAAGGCGAATAGTTCTGAACACTTCCGTAGTTCGACGAGGCAAGCAGCACGAATGTCTCCGCTACACCACGGGTCAACAGAGTCTAGAAGCTTTAGGACTTACCGATGAGGTAGTAGTAGCATCCAACCGCATACCACGATATCCAACTATTCGGGTCAACAAGCATCAACAAGCGTATGTGCGTAGGCGAATAGTTCTGAACACTTCCGTAGTTCGACGAGGCAAGCAGCACGAATGTCTCCGCTACACCACGGGTCAACAGAGTCTAGAAGCTTTAGGACTTACCGATGAGGTAGTAGTAGCATCCAACCGCATACCACGATATCCAACTATTCGGGTAAGCATCAACAAGCGTATGCGCGAAGGCGAACAGTTCGGAACTCTTCCGTAGTTCGACGAGGCAAGCAGCACGAATGTCTCCGCTACACCACGGGTCAACAGAGTCTAGAAGCTTTAGGACTTACCGATGAGGTAGTAGTAGCATCCAACCGCATACCACGATATCCAACTATTCGGGTAAGCATCAACAAGCGTATACGCGAAGGCGAACAGTTCGGAACTCTTCCGTAGTTCGACGAGGCAAGCAGCACGAATGTCTCCGCTACACCACGGGTCAACAGAGTCTAGAAGCTTTAGGACTTACCGATGAGGTAGTAGTAGCATCCAACCGCATACCACGATATCCAACTATTCGGGTAAGCATCAACAAGCGTATGCGCGAAGGCGAACAGTTCGGAACTCTTCCGTAGTTCGACGAGGCAAGCAGCACGAATGTCACCGCTACACCACGGGTCCACAGAGTCTAGGAGCTTTAGGGCCGCTGCCCACTCGCAGCCGGCGGCTAAGCGACGCGCGCGGCATATGCTGGCTTCGGCCGTGCGGGAACGGCATACTTCCACATCTGCTTTCATCTACACAAATAAATAAATATTTAAACGCTCCACGTATGCGCATCACGAAATTATGTATATATATATGTATATATATATATATATATATATATATATATATATATATATATATATATATATATATATATATATATATATATATATATACTAGCTGTCTCAGCGAACTTCGTACCGCTTCGTACCGTAATAGGGGTTGGTGGTTGAAGGGTCAAAATTTAGGGCTGTATGTATTTTTTTATGATGTATCATAAAAAATTAAAATAAAACTAATATTGAAAAAAAAATTGGGGTGGATTACCCTTAACATTTAGGGGGATGAAAAATAGATGTTGTTCTCTCGACGATTCTCAGACCTACCCAATATGCACACAAAATTTCATGAGAATCGGGAAAGCCGTTTCGGAGGAGTTTAACCACAAACACCGCGACACGAGAATTTTATATAGTGTAAACTCTTTATAACGAAACTCAAGGGACTGAGCATTTTTTGTCGTTATAGAGAGTTATCGTTATGGAGTGAACAAAAAAAAAACCAAATTAACAAGAATTTTTAATTGTATGTATGTCTTAGATAATAAATGCTTATACATATAAATTATTGTTTACACATATAGTCTGATAATTTCGTCTGACGTTTTTGGCTATGCCAGTACTTGTTTTGTATTATTTTATGTATTCTATTCATATCTAGATATGTGGTGGAATCGTCTTGATTAAACAACAAAATTTTTTCTACCAACTTAGCGGCATCTAGGGCTTGTTGAATTGTTGGTGGTGATTCGGCTTTGTCCACTTGATCGTCTTCTTCATCTTGATTATCGGGTGTTTCCTGACTTTTTGACACTAAATCAACAATTTAACAAAAGCATCACTTCCGAGAAAACAATGCGTCATACTGCACGTGTACAAGGCAATTAAGGATAACAAAAGCTAGACCGACCTCGGATGTTTCGGAGCTTCAAAGTCTTTTGTTACCTGATAACATAACATAAACAATAATACCGATAATAAATATTTACTGTCTAAAAATATGAACACATTTCTTCGTAATAGAGAATGGCGTATCGCTATAAAGAGTGTCTCAATATGTGAGTTTTAACGCAAACCAACCAACTTGGGCTCACTCCAACGTTATAGGGAATTTATCGTTATAAAGGATAACGTTATAAAGAGTTTACACTGTATTAGATATACTAGCTGTCCCAGCGAACTAGCCAAGGGGTTGGTTGTAAATGGGTGAAAATTTAGGGTTGTATGTATTTTTGTATGGATGTATCGTAAAAAATAAAAACATAATATTTTGTCAAAAAACAAAAAAAATAAGGGTAATAAATAATAAACCCTTAACATTTAGGGGGATAAAAATAGATGTTGTCCGATTCTCAGACCTACTAAATATGCATATAAAATTTCACTAAAATCGGTCGAGCCGTTTCGGAGTAGTTCAATTACGCACACCCTGACACAAGAATTTTATATATTAGAAATCTTTTTTATCATGCTCAATCATTAAATCACTATGAAGTTTGACATATAGACGCGATAAAAACCGTGATATTACCAACATCAAAAATTGTAGCCCCAAAATGCCCCTTTTAAAAATTGCAAGGGAAAAGAGCAGCCACATTAATTCAAGGTTGATAAAATAATATAATTAAAGAAATTAGGTGTGGATTCTTATCCACATACTTCATTGTTTAGTTACTAAGTGCATTAATTGTTATTGGTGAATGTCTATTTACAGAAAACTTTCAATTTGTATTTTTGTCATTACGTTTCACTTAGTTTCTAAGTTCTTTTTATCTAAGTTTCTAAGTTCTTCTTCCGCCCTCACTAGAGCCCCTTCCGCCGCGCCCAGCTGACTCGACACCGGCAGAGATTCTACTAGCTCGCTCTCTGTGCGCGGACCAATATTGTGCCTATAACATGACACTCACAGGACAGTCTAGTTGTGTGACGTTGGGCTCTCGGGGCGCGGGCGTGTAGCGGTTGAGCCGCTCGCGGTACGCCGCCCTCACTAGGGCCCCTTCCGCCGCGCCCAGCTGACTCGACACCGGCAGAGATTCTACTAGCTCGCTCTCTGTACGTGGACAAATATTTATATGACACTAGCTGACTCGGCGAACTTCGTACCGCCCAAAAGTAATAATTTGCAATAAATTAAAATTGCGACTATAATTTGAGATTTAAACTATCCTATCTCTCAAGTTGGATCGAACTGCACATGGTGTGCGAATTTTATTATAATCGGTTCAGTGGTTTAGGAGTCCATTGAGGACAAACATTGTGACACGAGATTTATATATATTAAGATAAGAGAGTAAAAATGTAAGGAAAAATGATGAAATACAATTTAAGATGATTTTCGAATACTAAAAAATTATACCTTGCTCAACTTTGCCAACTATTTTTTGACGCACTAACGTCTTAGATAGATAAAACTTTATTCGCACCAACATGCACACATACAAAATTGAAGACAAATTTTACATTTATATAAAATCCTTTAAAACATGGAACAAATTACATCTTATCTAATAAATCGATGAACACCGGCTGCATGCAAGAAAAAGTGTTATATATATTCAAAATTCAAAAAATCATTTATTCAGTTTAGGCTTTTATAAGCACATGTGAGAGTCAAAAACTACGTCATCGGTTCGCAAAACTACGGCGAGAGACCTTGTACTGAAAAGAACCGGTAAGAAATTCAGCTAGGGCTGCTTTTTCTTCTGTTTACTTCATAGAGTGTCGTCAAATTGAAAGCTACTTGTGCCAATTCTGGTGTGATTCTCTAAACTTAAAACTAAATTTAACATCAGTCTCTCCTTTTCATTCTGTATAAAGGATGACAAGGATATACTTCTGTCAAATTTAAGTTTAGGTTTAGAGAATCATGCTAGAATTGACATCGATATCAAATTTGCAAACATGTGTTGAGATCAACTTCCATCACATAATGTCAAATTAAATGTTTAATCTCTAGTTCCTCCTGTTACAAGACAATTAAAATATGAAATCATTTCTTTATACAATTTTTACATTAATGGATAAAAGTATTCTATGTATTTATTAATTTAATTATCCACAACGCAAGCCATCATAAAAGAAGAAGAAGAAGAAGAATTCTATGTATTTGACAGCAGACTAGAAATATAAAGTAGCTCAGCATTATTAATAAACTCTCACCTTGTGCCGGGGTGAGTGCATGGTGATCCAGTAACATATCAAGTGCTTCATAACAGGCGCAGTCCGCTCGTAGTGCTGCGCATAGAGCGGCAGCGCCCGCTTCTCGCCGTTCCAATGCCCATAGAGCACGGGCTTGCCACACCAGGACACCGGCTAGGGCACGCTTCCCAAAAAAATAGCATTACTACCTAAATTAATATGTCAAAAAATTGTATCTTGATAGAAATTTATCAAACAAAATGTTAAGTTTGGAATACGTATAATTAGTAATACAACTAGCTGCTGTCCGCAACTTTGTCTGAGTTAACTTTCGTTTTTTGAGATTCAATCATGCACCCAACATTTATCAGAACAAAAAGTATATTTGATGCAAATCCGTTTAGCCGTCTTTGTGTAATTGAGTAACAAACAAACTCACTTTCACATTTATAATATTAGTTATCCAAAGAACAGCAAAAGAACAGAGAGTATAATAAATGATGGCATTATTATTAATATATGAATAAAATTTTACATTCATTTATTGACAGATATGGATCTTTGGGATGTCAAATGTTCACTGCATATTAGATGGTACGAACAAAGTATAAAGTGGGATGGCATTTTTACAAGTGATAGATTACTCAATTGAGTACCTATAAATAATCTACAGGCACTATATTTTACTTTCAAAAGTATACTTAAATAAATATTTCAAACACACACACCTTTTAGCCTAGCTCCAAAGTAAGCACGCTTGTTATGGGATACTTGGGTAACTGATACATAAGTTTTTTTTAGAAATAGTATTCATCAACATTTGCTCCACTGAAATTTGAAACTAGGAAGTCTGAGTAAGTGACACCTTGAAAACCGGAGTACATACCACTCCAGCCAGGTCATCAAGTCACAATATCCACTGATTGATTAGTTAATAAATACTAATAAAAACTATGCCAGCACATTACCAAAAGCAGTTAAAATATCTTTAATAGAATTACATTATGTGTCTGATCTGTATTCTTTGCTTCAAGTAACCCTGGTTCACACTCCTCTATTATGTTGATAGCTGTTGCAGGTTCTCTAGCAGCTAAATATGCCCTCATCGCAACACCGAGACATAACAAGTGTCCTCTGGAATTAGAAAAAGATAATTTAGTGAAGTTACAAATTACTCTCAAAACCTCTCAATTACAAAAAGGAAGAAACTCTTCTCTAGAATCAATTATCTAAATACCATGTTTAGATAGTATTCATTATTACAAATTATCTAGCAGTAGATAGTTATAATTGTATTACTGTAGTGTTTCCATAAATTATAACAACAATGTGAAATAAGATATCTAGAAGTCTCATAATCACATTCCTAAGTTTATCATTGGATTTGTTTCATTTTTATCTTTATGCAGGCAAAGACGCTGCCAGTCCACCTAATGGAAAGTGGTCATTGCCACTTGCAGCACAAAGGGTGCCCTCATGAGTTGCCAACTCTGAAGGAAAAGCCAGCAATGGTTTTCAAAAGAATCTGTTTACTTACACGTCTAGGCTATTACCTTAACATTTTTATAAGAAAATACACACCTGTGCAAGCCTCTAGAGGTAACAGTATGAGCAGCACGGTGCAATTCTCCACGGGATAACATCACACTGGCCAGCAGCCATATATCATCACCACTAGCTGTACCATTTCCACTACCAGCTGCAGCAGCAGCGTCTGCCCAAAATAATGCGCTTGTCCATTGACCCTGCAGATATATAAACACCTCAATACTAACCTATAAACATTACATACAAACCAAAAAAGTTGGTAAATATTATAGATTAAATATTTAAAGAAAATTGAGATCCTCATACACACCAATTCTGAATACTGTTTCACTAATGATCTCATGAAATCAATGTTCAAACATTCTAGTCCAACAGTTGTTGTTTCGGCCTTTGCCATGACATAAATTATAAGTATATACTAAAAAAAGAAGGCAAATTATCTAAATTTTATCAATGTAACGAATGATACTGTAAGTTGTAACGGTTATCTAGGTTTGTAATTTTCTGAATAAATAATATTTCATAGTTTTTATTATCGCAATGAAAATATTATTGCCTTCCCGCTGTCACGTCAAAATCAAATAAACAACAGCATTATCAGTCATTGGCAGCTGTTACGGCTATTTCACCGTCTCACTCTGTCGCCAAGCTATTACAAAGAGATGGAAAAAACGGCTTATTTCTTAAAAGCGTTTAAGCGTTGTACTTTTTAAAAAAAGCGCGCTTGAAAAAAAGCTTTTTCGTTTAAACGCTTTTTCGTTTTAACGCTTTTTGGCTTAAACGTTCATAAGCATGCGTAAAAAGCGCGACGTTGTGTTGTGTTTTCGTTTATATCGTTTAAAAAAGCGTGAAAAGTTTATTGTCGTTTTTAATGTGTTTAAGTGTTTTATTGCGTTTTTGTTCTTATTAATGTTTTTTTTTAAGTTTTCTTAAAACTTATGAATTAATTGGCATTAAAAACGAAAGATTTTCGATAGGATTTTGATTTTATAATAAACATTTTTATAATAGTCAATGAACTTTCCTTCGTACTTTACAGGCTTAGGACTGTCTGGAGTTAATATACTCGTGAATATTTGTGATCCAGGCGTACTTAAAAGTTCATTGATTTTATATACATGTTTTTAACTATTTACACTTTTTTATAAATCTACTTATACACATCTCCTGTACATTTTTTTTATTTTAACATTTTTTTTATTAAACTCGTTTTTTTCTATTTAAATGATTTAAAAATACTAGTTGTTTTACTTTTGTAGTAGTCAGGCGACTTCTCCTCTCTGTTACCATGTAACCGGTATTGGAAAATACTCGTTCACATGGCACAGATGTTACCATTATATTGCCACACTTTACAAAAATGTCGTAAAGGCTAGGGTAAATTGTTTTGTGCTCTTTCCACCATTTTATTGGGCATTCTGTTCGGGGCAAAATGTTCTCTCGAAAATACATGTTGAGTTCCTCTATAGCTTTTTCTTCTGCTGTGGTTGGTTGAAGAGAAGATACCACTTTAGCTTCAAAATTTCCCCATAAAGATGACGAAGAACTCGGAAGCGTTTCCTGATTAGTTGGGAGAGCATCGGGAACAATGTCTGATTGAAATGCTGTAAGCTTTTCTAATAGCTTTGTTTTTGCGGTTAACATGGCCGCTTGATCCTCAAAGGCATGGTGTTTGAAACGAGGGTCTAGCAGTGTGCAAATAGCAATTGACTCGTTTTTCTCAATTTCCCCAAATCTTGAGGTTAACCCTTGTTTCAAATCTAATATAAAATTGTTCACGCACTCGTAGAAATTACGGAGAAGAAGCTGATCGCAAACTGTGTCCAATCCAGCTGCTAAAACGACGGCTTTGCTTGCCAGTAAAGATGTTTCCCCACTCATTATTTTTGTTGCATCTTCAAATGGTTTGAGTACCTCACATAGCTGGCTGATGCATTCCCACTCTTGCAAAGGTATAACGGGAAGATCTACGTTCAAATTCGGTATCGTGGCCCGCAAAGCTTCCTGCAGTGATGCAAACCTTTCTAGCATCTGATAGGTGGAGTTCCACCGCGTCGGGACTGCTAAAAGTAGGCTTTTTGGTTGGGCTATATTTTGAGCAGTGAGCTGATATTTCTGGAGCCTTTCTTTTGCGATGGTACTGCGCTTGAAGTGTGAAACAGTTCTTTGTATTTTCACGACTGTTTGTGATATAGCTTCGTCTGCCAAAGCTGCTTGCACAATTAAATTTAGTTTATGGGCGAAACAACCATAATGAGGAATACCTAATATCCGAGCAGCTGATATCATATTGGACGCATTGTCTGTTACTATAAAATTGACCTTCGTTGATATTGACCAATTGTTAAAAATCGCCCTAAGTTCAGAAGCTATTTTTTCTCCTGTGTGATGCCCTTCAAGGGCTGCACATTGAATTAATATGCTATGAAATTGTAGCGTTTCGCCATCTATAAAATGTCCTGTAACAGCCATATACGCCTCTAAATTTTTTGACGTCCAACAGTCAACTGTAACACTAATACTTCTGCACCGCTCTCGCACCAGGGACTGAATTTCCGATAGGCGATCACTGTACTCAGCGGACAACAGAACATTGGAAAGAGTTTTCCTATTAGGCAGTTCATAACTAGGGTTAATAACAGAGACAAATTCTTTAAAACCTTCATCTTCCACTATACTGAATGGTTGAAAGTCCGTTGTAATTAATTTCAACAATGCTCTATCCATTTTCTTTTTTTCGTCCGGCTTTATTTGACGAGGTAAATATGATGCCATCGTTCTTTGTTTTGGAGGCTTAATTTTGCCAAGATCAACATAATCACGACTTGAGCCTGCCGTATTAGTGTTTCCGCCACCATCACCACCACCGGTATTAGTTATTGAAGCAATTTGTGCATTATCTTGCTGGTCACCAGTTTCTGCTGATGCAGAAGCAGTTACTTGAATCATCCTTGAGTTCGGGCGCACCATGCTTCTCGAAAGAAATTCGTTAAAAACACTTATATGTTTAAGTTTTAAATGTTGTTTTAGATTAGTAATCGTAGTTTTAAACGATATATTTTTTTTACAAATATTACATTCTGCGATCTTATCGTCTTGGTTTCGCTCAAAATAGTCCCACACAAGAACATTACTGTTTCTCGACATGATTACAGAATTACACTAAATGTTAATTATATACAATACGAAATCTATATTTACAAACTTAAATATTTTATATGCACATTCAACCAATACACGAAACGCATTAACACAAGCAAGCATGCAAACACACCGTACAACAAACACGCCGCGCGCTTACCCCGTCACAGTGAAAAGCGTACTGCTTTTCGACTTCGTTTAATTAAACGCTTTTAACGAAAAAAGCGTTGGTTATCCGACCAAATTTTAAAAAAGTGCATTTTTTTTACGTCGCATTATAATAATTCGCATTTAACCGGCTCACGAAAGATGGCACGCCGACGCGGCGCTGTAGTCGCGCGTTCTATGGCTGATATGCTGTGAAATATTTAGTTCCAAGGAATTCCGCGTACCCATTTTTCGATACTGTAGTGGACTAGAAGGGTCGAAGTATGTAGTTTTCTGGCATAGACATAGATGGCGGGATTAGCACTTTTTAAGTAAAAAATATACTTACACTTTTTTAAGTGAAAAGCTTACTCACACTTTTTAAGTGAAAAGCTTATAACGCTTATACTTAAAAGCGTGCTTACAAGCTTAATATTTTAAGCGCGCCTTTTTAAGCGCTTTTCGTTTAAACGCCCACCGCTAATTACAACCGGTTTTCTTATAATTAATTAATTGGTATCGATTCTGGTATGATTCTCTAACATAGATATCGATTCTGGCATGATTATCTAAACCTAAACTTAAATTTAACAACTATGGTGTCGATTCTGGCAGGATTCTCTAAACTTAAAACTAAATTTAACATCAGTCTGTCCTTTTCATTCTGTATAGAGAATAACAAAGATACACTGTTGTCAAATTTAAGTTTAACTTTAGAGAATCAAGCCAGAATCGACATCAGTGTATCCTTGTTATTCTCCTATCCTTTTCATTCTCTATACAGAATAAAAAGGAGAGACTGATGTTAAAAATAGTTTTAAGTTTAGAGTATCATGCCAGAATCGACACCAGTATTGTCAAATATAAATGGTGTCGATTCTGGCGTGATTCTCTAAACTTAAAGCTTAATTTAAGATCAGTCTCTCCTTTTTATTCTGTATAGAGAATGAAAAGAATGCACTGTTGTAAAATTTTAGTTTAGCTTTAGAGAATCATGCCGGAATCGACATCAGTATGTCATTATAAACAGAATGAAAAGAAGGGACTGATGTTAAATTTAGTTTTAAGTTTAAAGAATCATGTCAATGTGAACGTGTGCAGTGCAGAAGTTAGGTACAGTCTGCAGGGCATTGAATTTCTTTGCTCAAGTTAAAATCTAAAAAGTGATTTTGTTATTGAGATTTTTATTTAAATAAATACATCAATACTATGAGTAAATAAACGAAAGTGAAAATAATTAAAAGTGAAGTTTTTCTTTTTTTAAGTAGGCATGTGGATTTAGTATTATACAGCCTAAATTTTGCTGGCAATAAAAATCTCTGTTTTTATTTTTCTCAATTTAGTAATATAATAATTGAAAGTTACGGTTGTATTCCTAAATATTATTTGCTTATTTAAAGTAAACAATACGATAACTTATTTCATTATTAGAAAATCCAAAACGATCGAGAAATAATTACAAATCCATGCTGTCTGTCAGTCAGTCAAACAACTGACAGACAGTTTGAGTTTGATGACGGAAAGATAAAGGTTATAAACAGAATTTTAAAGAATTTCCTGGTTGAGATTTGTATATTGATGGTAATAAACGACATCGTATAAAAAGAGCGAATTTATTTTGCATAGTGTTCAAATAAAACAGTGATATAAGATTTGGTGAACCTTCCTGATACCTGAAATAGCAACGTGTCCTAGGTTAGGTAGGCCGTTAACGAAACATGTTAGTACAATTCTTAGAATAACATGACTGAAAGGAAAATGTGCAAGTTCTACAATTTAAACGTGCCTGAACGACGGTCGGGGGAGAGCGGGCAGGGAGGTGGCGCCGTGCAAAACCACGGAAACAATGAAGATGAAGATAGAAATACAGATGAAGCAGTACCACCTGCGGTGCCTCCACACGAGCACAAATTGGAGTACAGCTATTGGATGTGGTTTTCGCGGCGACCGCCTGCCCGCGAGCTCTCTGCCTCAACCACTGGTTATGGACAGGTTGGACAAATGTTTGAAATTTGATTTACCAAGTTTTAGTGAAGTAAACAAAGAAAAGATTAGCCCATGTAAGGGGATCTCATAATTTCCTTCTATACTACAGATTGTTTTCATAATCCTCATTACTAACACTACATAAAGTTTGTTTTAATTTGAATATATCACCTACCCACATTGAAGTTCAAAACTGTCAATGCAAATTTTTTTTTTGTGCTGTGTGTGTGCTTACATTATTTCTTGTGTTTTACATAACTTTAATTATTGTTACAAAAAGGCTTGGTAGTAAAAGTGGTCACTTTTATCTATTAAATAGGTATATTTTAGGTGTTTAACTAATATTATGAATGTGAAAATATGTATGTTTGTTTCACCATTTGAATCACCCAAAAAATACTGAATGGATTTTGATGACATTTGATATGCATATAGTTTATGACCTCAATTGAGACATAGGATATTTATTATCCTAAAAAAATCTTGGGTTTCTGTGGGATTGTCAATAAACTAAAGTTAATGCAGATGACTGGGTGGCCGCTAGTATTACTATAAAATTTTTGATATGTCTGCATCAGAAAGTTTAAAGATTCATAGTATAATAACATAAGTTAGTACGTAATTAATAAATTTTAACTAATCTCAACATAGTAATAAACATTTTTTTTATCATATCTAACTACTGTTTGCACTTACGAATCCTAGGCATTAGTAATTTTGCAGTTGCTATGTTCTCCTTTAATAACTAATTTATACCTGTCGTGAAATGTGCATGTCTTTGTAATGAGGATCTTTACTGTAGTGAAGTGATATACTTTTTTAATCATTGAAATCAATTCATTTGTTATGATCTTATAACCAATTTTATGGTAGAGAATATACACCGGCGGCCGAAACATGTGACATCACAGGGCAAGATTGTGGTTCACCTTCAGTCGAACTTCAGTAGCGTCTCTACGCACTACGCATGCTTGCGCCTGAGCGCTAGAGCTTTGCGACGTCCCAGGCACTCAGCCCAGCTAAAAATTTGTTTAGTAATTTCGTCATAACTTCGTCAATATTTGTAATAGTACAAAATTTAACCACTGTATTTTATGAAATCTTTTGCTCTATAAATTTGAATTTTCAACTAAAATCATAACGGATCCTCATTCAAAGAAAGAGGTTTTGTGAGTATGTATATTATTTCAAGTTGCTCTCAAGTGCTTTCACTGATGCTAAGAATCACTGTTAAACAGCTCTACCTGTTTTTCTTATGAGTCTTCTTAACGGTGGGTGTTTTCCGCAACTCGACACCAGGTGCCTATTTTGCGTGAGAGGATGGCCTTAGTTGTGCCATCCCTTTTCTTATGAGTATTATAAGCGATAAAAAAATACATAGTCTAAATTAAGTACATTATGTATAATCAACAACTCAATATAATAAAACAACAACAATAGCCAGAATACAATATAAAATTAGTAACAGGTTTTGAACTTCCGTATAATGCATGAACTTTAGAATTGACTTGTACTAGAAATATCTTTAGTCATCATTATCATTATCAGTACCTATAAATATTCACTTAAATCCATACCATCTCATTGTTGGGATCTTTAAATTAACCGGATGTTTTAAATTATGTTGAATATGAATAATAATATTACATATTGATTTTGTGACTAAAAAGTCTGGCCTTTTTTCGAAATGTCAGGATTTTTCTCAGGACTTGAAATTCCTGAATGGTAACCCTTAGTAAGAGATAGTTGAGTAAGAAAGAATCAAACATTAATTTACTAAATAAAACTAGTTTTAACAGGTTAATGCATGCAAGAAGTAAAAAAAAAGAAAAAACAGCAACAAGCAGGTGAATATTGGCTACCATAAAATTAGTTATAAAATCACAAAAAATGAACTGATTTCAATGATTTAAAAAGTATATTAATTAAAAAGCTTATTGGATCATTATACTGCTGATTTTGAGTTGATTTGCTGACCTAGTAATGATCCTGATTACTGAGAATTTAAGCTCTGCTTAGGCAGACCTACTTGCTTCACCTCAGCTATGTAGGTATAGAAGTGACTAGTTTTAAATTTTTTATTCGGTATGACCTATATTCCACCAGTAACAATTCTCTATATTATTAACCAGGTGACGTAGTCCCCGGGGGAGTAGACTGATGTTATAAGTCGCATTAATGTAGGAGATGGTGCATTCTTAAGCCCTATGCAGACTGGAACGACATGACAAAGCATTTTCATTTGTATCAAATGACATTCAATCTAGGGATGTCTCAATACGACTTTTTGCCAATACCAATACTGATGATGATAAAAATATAGGCAATACCAATATGCTTATTGAATTCAAAAATTGAGGTAAAATAAATTGTAACACGAGTCTTGTTATTTTTTTAATCAATATAACTAACAGGACAAGCTTAACCAAACTATGCCTAACACTTTTGTGAAGTGTTCATGACTATTATTTATAGAGCCACGTATCCACTAGAGGCAGCCTCGGGTCGAGTGGCTGCCTCACTCCGAGGCTGCGCAAGTGGAGACGCTGCCTCAACCTGAGGCACGCCGCGACGCGAGGCAAATTCGTCGCCGCGAGCCGAGCCATATTTTGTCGGTTTCTGTGCCGTGCTCAAAGGCGCCTCAGGCTGAGCCGTGTGTTTGCTTTTAACTGCGCAGTGCGCCGCCAGCGGATCAAGCTGAGGCGACACGCCTCGAGCTGATCCGTAGCCGTTTCCTCAGAGCGAGCAGCCTCAAACTGAGGCTATTTGCTTCAAGTCGAGGCCGCTCGACGCGAGGCTGCCTCTAGTGGATACGCGGCTTTTGACTCAAACAAAACACAAACTAATATAATCATGAATTTGTCGGCGAACCCGAAGTACCGCCGATATATCGGCATCGATTCAAAAGGGATTTCTAGCGATAGAGCGCTAGAGAATACCGCGTGCTGCCGCGGTAGGCTAAAGCTGTACGCCGAAGAACGCGTTGAGGCAGTTCAGTGGGATATTGCACACCTCATTAGTGCGGGATGTCTCGGTAGCCACCAGAATGCCACAGTATTCTAATAGTCAATGACAATGACGGCATTACAGTCGCCGTGTGTGCGGACTGGTGGCAAAATCAATCTTTTAGGCTGTATTTATTTATTTCTTATGTTTTTACACACTCTAATCATTTAATAATAAAGGGCATTACAGACATTTTGCAGCCACGTAAGTCTGCTGTGCATGTCAAGAACAATGTTAAAAAATAAAATAAAAACTAGCTAATGCTTTATCATCATCAGCCTGTTTATGTCCCCCCTGCCGGGGCACAGGCCTTCCCTATGAATGGAATAGGGAGATTGGGCCAGGATCCGGGACCCACCACGTGGTGCGGTTTGGTGGGTGCTAACGACTGCAGATGCAGCCGGGACCAACGGTTTAACTTGCCTTCTGTAGCATGGAGGAGCTCGAAGTAATAAATTTTTGGTCACCCATCCAATAACCGACCATTGCGAAAGTTGCTTAACGTCCACGATCGCAGGCCGAGCGCTTTACCACCTGCGTCATCGAGCTCCTCACCTGCGTATAAAAACTGATTTATTATAGGCCTTTACTGGGTTTATAGTGATGGTTGTGTGGTACGATTGCAGGCATTACGCTTGGTGGGTCGCGTGGCCAGCGTGGAGCAGTGGTGGGGGCTATACACTCACCTGGCGCGGCCGTCGGAGCTGCCGCCGCTGTCGGACCTGCACCTCTTCAAGTTGGGCATCAAGCCCATGTGGGAGGACCCGGCCAACGTTAACGGAGGCAAATGGGTGCGTGCTGAAAATTTTTCTAAATTTTAAAGTTTAAGGCTGGTCTTAACTTACGCACTTCGGCAGCGCCGTTGGAGCGAGCGCCTCAAATAACCCCTTAAACCCCAAGTGCACACCTTATTAACCGAATCCCAAAAGGAGGAGGCACATTTTTTTTATTGTTGTTCGCGCATAATATCTCCGACTTAGTTAACCAATTTTCATGATTCTTTTCTGTTTTGAAGAGTTTATTAGCGAGATTATCCCATATAAATTTGGTGAAGATCTGATAGATACTTTCGGAGATAAACAATGGAACTCTTCAAATCCGAACAGTACACATATCGTGTTTAGTTATTTTACGAAATATGGAAGAGAAAAAGTTGGTGTTGCTCTGGCTTATAAGAAGTGAAAAATAATAACTTTTCTAACAAAAAATAAAAACCGGCTTCTTACGTACATGTAAAAACCAATAAAAAGTGACAAATAATGCATGTATTTTTCAAATGTCGATTTAAGTAAAGAATATGTATTATTTCTTAGTTTTTAGTGGTTTTGCTACAGAAGTGATGTTTGTTACAAGAAGACTATTCGTCGTTTAGTTACGTATGGTTGCAATAGCCTAGTATTACGGCGAGTTTTTTCCCCAACTCTACAAAATTTGCCTATTTTGCGTGAGAGATGGCATTACTCCTGCCATCCTAACTTCTCGAGGAAGTCCATCAGTCCATGGATGTTGCTGCAGGCTTCTAATAGTAGATAAATATTATGTGCTTGACATCGGCTTTTTATCTTGACGACCTCCGTGGCCAAGTGGTTTGTACGCCGGGTTTCATGGTGTCACCGACTCGAGAGGTCCTGGGTTCGAATCCCGGTGGGGGCAGATATTTGTGTGATGAATACGAGCATTTGTATTCCAGTCATGGATGTTTAATATGTATTTCTATATAAATATACTTATATATGTACAGTATATGTATTCTATCCGTTACCCTAGCATCCCATAACACAAGCCTTACAGTGCATACTTTGGGGCTAGGCTAATTGGTGTGAGTGTTGGAAATATTTATTTATTTTATGTTGAAGGTGGTCCGACTACGCAAGAATCAAACGGGGCGTGCGTGGGAAGACCTCTGCATGGCGATGCTGGGTGAGCAGTTCATGGTCGGCGCCGAGCTCTGCGGGGTCGTGCTCTCTGTGCGCTTTCAGGTAACAAATTACCTACCTAAGGGGCTGTTCAAGTATTACGTAAGCACTATAGGGGGGCAGGGGGGTCTTTGCTTTGCTTATTTTTGATGACATGGGGGGGTGGGGGGTCGAGATGGTGATTACGTCAGCATCATGGACTAAGCCTATTTAAGTACTGCTGCTCATGAAGCTCATGAAAACTTATGAAGCAATAAAAAAAACAGAATACATTAAAGGAAAATTGCATATAGGTACCAATGTTTACGTAAGCATGAGGGGGAGGGGTAAGAGCTTTGCTTACTTTTGCTGACAAGGGGGAGGAGGTGGTAAATAATTGTAATAAATCTGCTTACGTAATACTTGAACGGCCCCTAATGCCGTAATATCAGCCTACTGATATTTAGATTAAAACAAAAAGGGAAGATACGGTACGCTCATACTAGCATCAAATAAAATGATTGAACTCTAAATCAATCAGGAATGGCTTCACGAACCAGTTCGGGTACAGGTTAAGAACCACTGGTCCAAAGCATGCGGTGGTTATTACATTTTTGCGATATAATTATATCCATCTTCGATCGAACGCGCTTTTCAAACGCCATCGAGTACCTATATTATACTTATAAGTATCTTAATCCTTTGGTCCATGGTCTGGTGCTGCCCTTGACCAGGAATCTTGCAAGAATAATTAGGGTATTGTTATTTTGCTATAAGTTCTTTTGTAAAGATATACTTGTATTTCTCACACACGAAACAGTGTTGGATAACAAACAAACATGATAAATGAGGGATACATACAAACCAACACGCAAGGTGGAGTATATGTCACAGACGATTTGTATGAAATCGTGTTTTTAAAAAAATGTAGTCTGCTTAAAAACGCTCGCTGTTTTAAAATATGCCGAATGCAAATTGGCGACTCGTTCATTTGTTAAAATTTCGACATTGATTGTTATAGTAGGGTGACCATCTTAAAACAGGTTGGATATATCAGACTATTTCAGAATTCAAGTAGTAACCTACTTAAATAGGACTCGCTTAAAATACGTGCTTAGTTGGGCACTCCTAAAATTATTAAATTAATTAAGTAAAAAAACAATAATAAATCGATCTTTTTCGTAGGTACTGAATTTTATCAAATGTTGTGGCATATTATAAAGTGTCAAGACAATTTACATTTTGCCTTGGGCATATTTTAAATCAGCGAGCGTTTTAAATGGACGATGCCGTTTATAAAAGGCAAAAAAATTCAAATTGCCTGCAGGCACCAGGGTTTAGAAACCTTTTCATGTCATGTATAGTGATGAAATATGAAAATCATATTTTGTTATTAATTACATATATAAAAACATATAAAAAATTAACAATGCTTATAGTTACATTATATCAATTTGTGTGGAATGTCACTGGTAATGTAATATTATCTAATACTAGCTTAAAACTAAAAATAAATAAATATATACCAGAACAATGAACCTAAAACTAAAAACCTTAAAAAATAAAATAAACAAATTGACTGCGGTATAAGCATAAACACGAACAATGGGAGTATAGGAAGGCCAAAGGGAAAGATCTTCCTCCGAGCTGGGTGATGTTAGCTCGGGGGCCGCGGTCCGACTGATGTTGGTCGGGCATCGTATATATGAACTGTTGGCTGCCGAATTTCACTTGCGCGATGTAGGCTTACGTTGTGAACGTAGCGTCATCTTTGGAGGAGGCGAGTGTTTATTTCCTCCATGTTAGTTATATGTGGGGCATATAGATGTCGCCGCAACAGGGGTTTATTCATTAGGTAATTTTCCACACATCCGCTGACGGTAGTCTCACGTTACAGGAAGACCACCTAGCGGTGTGGCATCGAACCGCGTCGGACACAGTAGCGGCAGGCCGCGTGCGCGACACTTTACGTCGCATACTACAGCTGCCCATATCCGTGCCCATCGAGTACAAGGCGCACGGGGACTGCTTGCGCGCGTCCGCGTCGCGGGCGCACGACCACGACAATCACGACAACCACGCGCATGCGCAAGCGCGCTCCACGTAGCGCAAGCCATTATCACCCCCCACCCAACCTTCCAAAACAAAAGAAAACCATCCCCCCTTCTCGCTCGTTTCACAGTGTACTCGCCGGGCGGCTTTTACTCGACTCGCCTTTACCGCTTGATGTCGTTACGATGCGACGAAAAAGTGGTGTCGATTCTGGCATGATTCTCTGAAGCTAAACTTGAATTTGACAGCAGTATATCCTTGTCATTCTCTATACAGAATGAAAAGGAGAGACTGATGTTAAATTTAGTTTTAAGTTTAGAGAATCGTGCTAGAATCGCCACCAGTGTTTTGTTCTTCTCGGTTTTCCGCTGCCGTTTGATAAATAGAGCTATCAAAATGGCGGCCATTAGGATTGCCAGATTTTTTGAATTTCTAGCTATCTGATAAACATCTGATTAAATTTATTTCTGTCTCCTATGTGATGCAATGAATTAACGAATGTAGAATGTGTAAACGTCAAAAAAGTTAACACTGTTGACGAGTGTTCCATCAAAGCGATCTTTGATTAATTATAATGTACAAAATTTACATCGACCTAGTAGATTATAATTATGTTGATTTTAATATCTGATTACTATTTAATTATTATGATATGGAATTTTTAATCTTTACTATTGCAGTATTGCCCTTCAGTGAGAAGAGGTGCTGACACATTTTATTCAATACTAGTCTTAATGAAAATTTAATCGTAATATTTAAAATGTTTATTTGCTAGTCAAGCTGTCGAGTAAAAGTTGCCATAGCAAAAAATAACAATTAGCTTCCGGTAAAACATTGTATTGTGAAATCGAGCGAGATTGATAGCGTTCAGTTGATCCGAAGCGAAGGTTTCGGCTTCGCGCCAGTAACTAGTTTTCCAGAGCGATGTATATATAGTGAAATTGAACTATTGTTATACAAGGGCGCAGTATAGCCGGAGCTTAGCACGCACCCGTTTCCGACACAGTGTACAGTAAAAAGAACTGCGTTAAAAAATAAAGAATCAGACTTTGTATACTTTCCATGTTTGTTTTCTTTTTATTATCACGTATTTTTGACGACCTCCGTGGCCGAGTGGTTTGTACGCCGGGTTTCATGAACCTGGGTTCAAATCCGCAGTGGGCGCAGATGTTTGTGTGATGAATACGAGCATTTTGTACTCCAGTCATGGATGTTTAATATGTATTTGTTTATAAATATACTTATATATGTGCAGTATATGTATTCTATCCGTTACCCTAGTATCCCATAACACAAGCCTTACAGTGCTTACTTCGTTTGGGGCTAGGCTAGTTGGTGTGAGTGTTGGAAATATTTATTTATATATCACGTGGTAATATAAACATTGTTAAAGTGCTTTTCAAATATAGCGCCATCTAGCGACACTGCTTTCATCATTATCAACTGGCTATTGATATCCCCACTGGTGGGGCATAGGCCTTCCCTATAGAGAACAAAGAGAATGGGCCACGCGGGCCTAATGCAGATTGGTTGGTGCTAACGACAATACAACGCAAATACAGCTGGGACCAAAGTCTTAATGTAAATTTTAGGTCACCCATCATTTGACCAGCCATTGGGTAAGTTGCTTAACTTCCACGAGCAGACTGACGATGCTTACTACTAAGTTATCGAGATTCTCTATCTTATTACAAGACGTTGCAAATCATCAAATCAAACTGCCTAATGTTAGAAAGTTTCTGTGAAGTCAGCACGTCGTCGATTCTGCAACATGCGCTATTATTAATTTTATTATTTATACCAAAAATAACAAAGATTAAGCGAGTCATAGTTTGGGAGTGGAGGCTCGTAAAGTCATTGTTGAGTAAAAATTGTACCAAGGTGTGACATCGACATGTCTGTAATTTTTATTATGTGAAAAAAGAAAAAATATCATGTCCATGTCTTTTAAATAATCTATCTGATAGACGAAGAAAATAAAGTTAGTCGTCGTCCCCACAGAACACCTAAATAGGTTAGAAGGCCCTTGAGGGCGGTGCAGGCGCGCTACAGTTGTGGAGCAAATGCTTTTCAAAACTTTACCAAAACTTGGTTCTGATTACGTCGTTTGTTTGATGTCGCGTCGTTTGATTGGATCTATTAGGCGAAAGATAGTGCGGGCGAGCCGGCGACAGCGTTTCCCGTACAAACAGTCTATGATCACTCTTCTAACCTCTTTCTGTGTTCTGTGGGGACGATGACGAACTTTATTTTCTTCGTCTATCAGGTAGATTATTTAAAAGACATGGGCATGGTATTTTTTCTTTTCTCACATAAAAAAAAATACAGAGACATGTCGATTTGAAATGTCGCACAACGTCACACCTTGGTACAATTTTTACTCGACAATGACTTCATCCCTGCATCGAAACTCGACTGCGTGGTATATTTTACAATAACTCCCTACAATTATAAAGATTGTTGTTGATTTGTCCATGTTTGTTGTAAATGATGATTTTTATTGACGCCTTTCTTTTCTCGACTTGGTTGGGTGGATATAATTTCAAGAAGAGCAAATAACACTTCAGTTGAATTATTTTTTTAAAGTGACAATAAAAATTATCTGTTATTCTAATAAGGAACTATTTATTGATGGAAACCCGACACATAAAACACCGCCAAAAATCCTGCAAAACCTTATGTAAACGAAACCTACGTTTTCCACTGTGGCTCCTCGGAGGGCACGCACATGGAAGCTAGCTGTAATACAATTGATTTGAAAATATCTCGATTTTATAATTTTTAAAGCATGTAACTGCTTGATGTTTAAATCTGAAGAAAATATTATAGCAAAAAAATCCACGCGGATCAGGCAGCAGATGGGACTCGAACCCGCACCCTTCTCAATCCTGGCGAATGCACTGACCAATTATACTACCGCGGCCCTCACGGACCACATCGAAATTCTTCTAGCCATTCTTAAGCTGCAAGGCAGCGCCATCTCTTCGCAACATCATAAAAAAAAACTATTTTTTTGTATAAAATATATTTTAATACGTACATCAAATTTCGACAGACATAGTTAAAACCATAATATAAATGATAATTCTTTACTGCCATTCATCGAGACGCCAGTAGATCTACGACACACGAAATACTCTGATAAACGAAGTCGTAATGTCTACTCTAACCACTAATATTCTAAAAGTTAGCTATCAATGTACAGACATTTTTTTACACTAAAACTGTGAACACATTGAAATTTACCTGTTTAAGGATAATCGCAGAACCGGAAATACATTTTCCCATTATTCTATTCATATCATGCAATAAACGAAATCCTTCAATAAACTACTAGACTTTTTTTTTATTGCAAGAAGTAGAACATTTCCTTTTTCATTTCAATCTGGCATTTTTTAGTTGCCAAGTTTATGAATAACAAAATTTTAAAGGTTGGAATAATAAAAAATCAGTATTATATAGAAACTTATAGGTATAAATAATTTGACAGGTACTATTTTATGTATTAATGAAATATATAGTTGCACGGGAAAATGTGCTTCAGTAATCAATTTAGTGATACAAAGATTTAAATAAAATCGTTAATGAAAATCTTTAGTCTTCAATATTTCGTATTTGGATTTAAAATTTACTCGAATTAAAAGCATAGTAAATAGTTATTACTAAGATATTGCAAGATTTTTTTCTTGTTCAGCTGTCATGTCACTTTTTTTAACAAAATTATATTGCATAAATCTTTCGGCATTTGTGCTAAGAAGTATTAACTGTGTGTTCACAGCCTAAAACTGACATTCAGACAAAAAGTTCTAAACCTTACTCTATGACTATTTACATTTGGCAACTTGACTTATTCTATGTGTGTTGATATGCACTCGGCATAGGTAAACCATGTTCACACTGATTTCCCATTGATATTTTCAATCAATCCATTATTACTACAGATCACAATGTTACATTGATATAATGTTGATTTTGACAAAACCTGTGATTAATTTGTGCCCTTATTTCAAAGAAATTAAAATGCATATTTTATTAAAAAGAGTACATGTTATAGTGCCAATTTAAAAGAAAACGAGATCGTTAACTATTTTTATTTTCAGTTGCACTTTATAAAGTTTTTTTTTAAATTATTATTTTTTAAGTTTAAATTCAGGTCTACTAGGGCGTTACGATTCAATCACATTTCTTCGATTATGGCACGGAGTTACTTTGCCACGACTATTCGCTAAAGCCGCGTACAGACATGAGATTTATGAAAGTAAGCTTCATAATATTAGGAGAACTAATTTAGGAAACCACATTTATTAGGTTTCAAAAAAAGCGTATCCAAATTTGAAAAAAGGAAGACTAAAGGGAAGATTTCTCATCTTCGTTGCAACTCTTTTTTTTCGTAACCTCATATACCTGACTTCTGCACGCGGCGTAACTTACAGCTACTGTTATTATAACTTAACAGGTGACATTCACTTACACGCCTAAGTGTTAACGCTAAATTCATTGCTTCAATTTCATCATCATTTAGCACTTGATTTAAACAAGGAAACGATACAAAATAAAACTTTTTTTACAGTCTAATAACATAATGGCCTAGGGCTATCCATAAATTACGTGGTTTTGTAAAATCATATTTTTATCGTTGAACTAAAAATAGTTAAAATGCGAAATAATAGCGAAATTAATACGGTATGCAAAACTAGTATTAAAAATCGCAAAACATACCAAATAATTTTATTTACTTTATAATATTTAAATCCGCGTTCTTTGCGATATCCGACACCGCTGGTTTCACGCATGAATTCAATTACGCCTTTATTACGATTATAATAAGAGCTTCTTTATTCGCAAAAGACACATTTCTGTGCCGGACACGTTGGACGTAATTCGTGGATGGCCAAACCGATTTCAATAGAAATTAAAACAAATGGCAGTCTTGTACGGAGTCGTTTCTATAGTGGTTCATACACTTGTGGCAAGACTACATTTTCAGATATGTCATTAGGGATCGTCTATTAATTAAGTGAGGGTTAGCATACTTTTAAAAAGAGTTTTAAAATTTTTCGTTGAACACTATCTAAATAGATAGAACGTTTTAAAGTAAAACATCAAGACTTTAATGGACTACCCCTTGACATCCAAATATTGGGAGAAGAGGAGGCCTACTCTAATTCAACGAAAAGCGAAATTTCTATCGAAACTTCGCACTTTTCTTATTATGTTTCTGGTTCGTTTTTAATTATAATTATATTCGTTGTCAGAATATAGACTAAGGTGTAGATTCTCTGAGCCTACTCAAAGAAAGCTTCAATTTGCTAGTTTATCGTTCAAATTAAGTATAACCTTAAATAGACGAAATTAAATTTCATTTGAACTTCGTTATCGAAAGTTCGTTTCAGAAAAAGAGAGTAGACCCCCTGGCGTTTATAATTATTATCGTAAAAGAAAAAATAGATTAAGTTCTATACATAACCTATCCCATGTTAACAATAATACTAGTGTTTATTGGAGTGTATATCCAGCACGAGCTATCACCTTGCTGACTTCCAAGTTGTTATTGTGCAACTCTTTTGATCTCGAGTTGTAAGCAAGTCAGTACCCTTAGTACGAACCAAAATCGAGTTCGAATAGTTTGCAAGTGCGAAATGTCATTGTCAAATTTTGTATGGAAACTTGAACAGCAGCGCCATAACGGACGTAACGTGAACTAAAAATCAGTTCACATTTGACAGTGAAATTTTGTGCTCGCAAACTATTCGAATTCGATATTGGTTCGTGCTAAGGGTACTGTAAAGTACAGGGAAAAGCCACTTGTATAGGAGTTAAAGAAAAACTGATCTCCACTCAAAACTTGCAACTCTACAAATCGGTTAATTGTTAAAATTAAGCTTAATAAATGGGTTATGCAACAGCAACATATATATAGATATATTTAAAAATTTATCAACTAAAAAAATAATATAACTTTAAACTTAAAGTCAAACTGTTTCTTAATAGGTAAAACAATAGGCTGGTTTAAAAATATACTTTTACTAAATGTAAAAAAAATATAGTTTCACAATGTTAGGCATTTTTACAATAATAATAATTAAATATACAATATCAGTTTACCGTGAAAATAAAAAAACGAAATCTTTTTACATTCGGCTATTCACACAGCATAAATCTATACATCTTGTACTCTTGTATTAATTTGTTATAGAGAAAAAATTTCATATAACACCAACAAGAACTTCTTGTTACTTGTAAAATTTAAATTGTGAATTAACTAATGAGCTTTACGCACTATGCATCCATGTGGAAATAGCATGCGAGACAGTGTTCCACACAGTGCCGTCTTTGACCTATTGGAGGCCCTGGGCATATTAGGATAATGGGGCCCTTATGATCAGGGCCGGATCTACCATATGGCTTTTTGGGCTTCAGCCCAGGGCCCCATGGATTCAAGGGGCCCTAAAAATACATTGTTGAATATAACTCCATTGATATTTACCCCTACAATGGGAGGAGCAAATTAACGAATTTGCCATTTCTGCACTTTGTAGAAAGGTTTCTCTGTAATTTGTCCATTTACTAACGATTGTATAACACTAAGGCATAATATATTATTATTTAAATTAAATAGATTACTGACTTTTTTTTCAATACTTTGTGTAATTGGGTGGGCCCCTAAGTACTATTAGCCTAGGGCTCCCTAAACTCACGGTCCAGCCCTGCCTATGGGGACTTTGTATTTGTGATATGAGGTGGGCCCCTATCGATCTCGGGGCTCTGTGTCCACTGGGAGAGATGGGTCTGGTTCCACGTGTAAAAGAGATCCTGCATCTCCATTTCTTTTACGTGTATAACGCTGTCTCGCTCGCTGGCTCCAACAGGATGGATAGTGCGTAGAGCTCATAACAAGCAAAGCGTTTTCAATATTCACACACACACTAGAAACATCAGCTAAATGCGCAATAAAAACGACAAATCTAAAAATATAACTTCAATGATTATTATTGCTAATATTGCTACGCGTTGTGAATTTTTCTACATCACACAAAACATCGACAAAAATGTAACACGGCTGCATCGCTTACGCCTACAACAAAGTAACACAATTATATTAATACTTAAATAATACCCTTATTCCCACCAGAATATATGATTAGTTCAACAGTTCAGTGAACTGAGTTTTTCGACAGTCATAAGTGTCTGTTTTATTTCCCAGTTAATTAAACCATGTAGACAACCATTAAGATTTGCTGCATGGTTTTATTATGTGAATGAATTTCTAGGGTGGAATAATCGGCTTAGATTTATTGATATATGTATGTGTTTTACATACGCATACCTAGTATACATAATATGATACATATATAAGAGTCAGGAAAATACAATCAAAAATAACATCGACCGGCATGGTGCATATTTCCGATAAAATTATCTTTATTTATTTAAAATTTACTTAACTAAGCCAACTTCTGTAAGTTAACAAAAAATCATATTTGAATACTTGCGTAATGTATTTTTTGTATGTTAAAGGGGTTGGAATAGAAGCATATGACCCGTCTAATTGTAAGCGGCTACAAGCAAATGGCTGGTATGGTTTATTGAATCAATCTATGTTCTAGTGGGAACACAGGATTTGTAATTTACATAACAATTGTGCGACGGTGTAAGTGTTTCTCAAACGTTCGTGCCTTTTTATATTTTATCAAACGATACTAAGCTGAAATGTACTAAGTCGTGTTATCAATTGTGTGAATTTTCAAATCTATCACTATTACTTACACAGAAATAATTAATAAGTTCCTTTTTTTTTAATAATGAAGCGTAGTACTTATCATTATTAATGATCAGATATAGTGGTTTAGATATGTAGAACATCAACACTTTAGATTTTTATTATTAAAGAAAAAACTGTTTTTTTTTTCACAAATCGCTGCAGAGTTAGCAGCATACAAGGTTATCTCAGTGACATATTAATCAAAATTTTTAAAATCTATAAAAAAAGGCGTAAGAAAGCAAAGTTTGACAGTTTTGGACAAACCAATGACAACAGTACACCTTGCTTAAATATTTAAAACACTTTATTTATAGAATAGTGGTCTGTCCGTAAAAAAAACAGCAGTAATATTTAAATTGCGGTAGCACAATAACAAATCCAATTTTCACTAACACTTTAAGCTAAATTGAAACAACAAGAAGATCTAGTTAGCTGTGACGGAACAAAATATTCTCAAAATATTTCTGACTCTATCCATAAATTCATTTGAGGGGATAATTATGTATAAACATTTTATAACAAAGTGCAAAACGACATTGTCAGAGATCTTTATTTGTAATCATTGCTTTTGACACAATCTCCGGTAAATATCATCCAAGTAAATAAAATTTTCAAGACATTTGCTGATAAAATGGATTTACCGAGGTTGTACGCATTGGTCGAAAGTTCAAAAGTAAGGGACATACAATGGAGCGTGCGGTAAAACATTTTACCACACGCTACCAACCACTGTGCGTATTATTAACGTTTTTTTTAATTTCGATCGAACCTCCTTGAAATGCTTTTAATCTGTAATTTTGTCTCACTTTAATACTAAAAAGAAAAAGAAACGAAAGATGTAGTTCTAATTTTCACCGCCCGCATGTGGCGCCATTTGGAAATGCACGCCAATTTCTTATATGAAAAGGCTTGCTTCATTACTTAAATTATATATGTATACTATTTTCTCGTAAATGTGTTGAAAAATATTGTATGACATTCGTGCGGATTGGCATTTTCAAACTCATGACTATGGTAAGCAAGGGACTCGTTTGTAATAACCAACCTACCGCTCTAATATCATATATAACTATCACACCTACCATTTTAGACCAATGCTGTTATAAAATAGTAATAAATTCAGGACAAATACTGACATGAGGTAACTGTGCTGTAATTCCTTGAATCCGGATTCGTTTTAAAAAGATAATTCTATAAACTTTTGTAAAGGTAACGTCGGACCACGATAACTCTGCAGTCGACTGACAATAGCAAAAATTTAAACTTTGCACATGGCAGTACTAATTATAGTTTTATTAACTAACCCTGATACTTTATTTTTTATAGTCTTAAAAAAAGAGAAAAAATTTCCTCTTAGGCTGCCTGACCACTGGACCGGAGAAACGGAGAAATATTCCAATTAAATTGCACAAAATCTCCGCTCCTCTTCAGTGGGCAGATTTTGTGCAATTTTTAATGGTTAATATTTCTCCGTTTCTCCACTCCGCAGTCTCGCACCGCTACAGTGGACAGACAGCCTAACTCTAACTCCCTTTAACTTTGATAAAAATAACATATAGGTTATTGACTCTGCAAAGTTATCGTGGTTCGAATTTATCAGACTAATGCCGGCACTTCACATGGGTGTTCGCATTTGCTATTTTTCAACTTGCTATCAGTCACTACTTTTCAACATAGACAAGGTATACCTATTGTTTATTTTTTAAGCATTCAACTGCGAATTATCTAAATCTAAAGAAAATACTACTAGAAAAAAAACCGCGCGGGCCAGGTAGCAGACGGGACTCGAACCCGCACCCTTTTTTTCTAGTAGTATTTTCTATAGACAATAGTCTGCGTAGTAGCAATTTAACTTACAAAAACTTCTACTGCACAATTTAAATTGTCTGTGGTTTTGCTCAAATTGCCACTACCTTATAACATGTTATCAAAATGACAAAAATAGCAAGTACTAATAGCCATGCGAAGTGTTGCCATTATAATTCGGCGATTGTAGTCACAAATATAGGTCTCTGAAAATTCACGTATGCACCGTGTAACTATAATGTGTTCCTGCTTATATTTAAAACAGTGTTTCAGACTACAGGTACCAATACAAAACCGACGAAATTTCCCAATCATTGTCAACCTTACCGGTTGTACTTAAAGGTCATAATCGACTGTGAAATTTAAAAAACATGTAATATCGTCCGTGCGATTTTCAACCTTACTGGTTGTATTCAAAGGTCATAATCGACTGTGGAATTTCAAAATGTGTAATATCGTCCATATCTCAGAACTGTATGAGCGGAAAGTCTCCCGGGCGTCAGCAGGCCGGTTCAGCTAGGTCGTGAATAAGGAGCGGTGCCTCTGGGGACATTCGGGCCGGCGGTCTTTGAGCTGCCACTCGTTCGAGGACACAAGATGCTGATAATCTCGCCTCGGCGTCGTGATCCCAGCACTCTTCCATAGTGTCGCACAGGACGGATAGACCCTATCGTAGAAGGAATGGTAAATTAGGGATGTTGTGAAGCTTTATAAAACCTAAATTAACATTCGCGCGGGAGGCCACTCGTTCAAGTATACAAGATGCTGATAATCTCGCCTCGGCGTCGTGATCCCAGCACTCTTCCATAGTGTCGCACAGGACGGATAGACCCTACCGTAGAAGGAATGGTAAATTAGGGATGTTGTGAAGCTTTGTAATACGTAAATTAACATTCGCGCGGAAGGCCACTCGTTCAAGTATACAAGATGCTGATAATCTCGCCTCGGCGTCGTGATCCCAGCACTCTTCCATAGTGTCGCACAGGACGGATAGACCCTATCGTAGAAGGAATGGTAAATTAGGGATGTTGTGAAGCTTTGTAATACGTAAATTAACATTCGCGCGGAAGGCCACTCGTTCAAGTATACAAGATGCTGATAATCTCGACTCAGCGTCGTGATCCCAGCACTCTTCCAAAGTGTCACACAGGACTAATAGACCCTATCGTAGAAGGTATGGTTAATTAGGGATGTTGTGAAGCTTTGTAATACGTAAATTAACATTCGCGCGGCTCGTTCAAGTAAACAAGATGCTGATAATCTCGCCTCAGCGTCGTGATCCCAGCACTCTTCCAGAGTGTCACACAGGACGGATAGACCCCTAGCGTAGAAGGAATGGTAAATGGGGATGATGGTGGATGACAAGTTCCGTAACTTATAATTATAACAAAGTGGAAAGACAAACTTATTTGTAAAAGAATACTGTAACAAGAACCTTTTAAATCGAGGTGCGAGTGTTATATACTCCACTATAGCACTCAGAGGTCCTGGGTTCGAATTCCGTGCAATTGTATCTGTTACCCTAGTATCCGATAGTACAAGTCTTACAATCAGGGACAGACACACCTCTTAGGCCCGTATTACAGTATGACAACTAAGTGTTGATCTTTACATGAGTACAGTTAGAAAGGGATGTCGCTATGTGCTATATATAACGACATCCCTTTCTGACTATGCTCAAGACTAGATCAGTCACTCTATCTTTCTATAATACGGGCCTATGTTTGTTTGTTTTCTCTGTTGTGGGGGCCACCCGGGCCGCAGTGTCTACTTTAGAAAAGGTTATGCTAATTGGTGCGAGTGTTAGAAATATTATAGTTGTTAACTCACCGGATGTTCACGCCACTGCGTTGGCACGTGTGGTCTCAGTTTGCGTTGCACGACTGCCTCTTGCATTTCCTCAAGCGTGGGATGCGAACCCACCTCCTCCTCCAGTGGCAGCCGGTACTGCGACGTCGCGTCCGCCCCGGCTTCACTGCACCTATTTGAATTCACTTAGGTATAGTGCAATTTAAACTTTACAGCAGTTAAGTTAACAACGAGAGTAACTTTGCGCAGGTTTCAGTTCAGACCTGGCGATATCCCGCGCTTACGTCATCCTTCCTACATTTCTTTTATTTTCATGTGGTTTTTTGAATAGCACTATTAAAATGTTAAAAAACAAGCGTACCTTCTATCAAATAAAACACGCTTAAACAGTTTCAAAATGAGTCTTTTTATAACTTTTTTGACGTTTCGAAATACCTTACCTAAGAAACAAATAAGCGTACCTTCGTAAATTCTCACAGAATGTGTGTGACTGTGGCATTTCAAATTGATTTGAGCGATTTAATTTTTTTTATTGTTTTACTAAAGCGCGGTATGCCTGATTTTATTTATTTTAGATTTTAATTAGATCAGTCAGTAGTTACCCCAAGCACAAGCTTTGACAGATCCGAGGCCCAAGCACCTAGCGAGCAAGTATTAGTATCGCCATCGTCAAAGTTTCTATGGAAACTAAGCAGCACCCCTACCGGACGTAAGAACAAACTAGCTCTTTCCATAGAAACTGACGATGGCGATACGAATACTTGCTCGCTAGTTGTTTATGCTTGAAGTACTGGTTAATATTTATAAGTATTATATAACTTTAGTCAGTTACGGGATACGACAAAATAAGAAAAGCGACGTTGGCGCGACACGCCCAATGTAGGATTCCGATCCTTTGTATGTATTTAAATTGTATATTTTCCATAGTACTTTGCGTATCACAAAACGCGAATAGAATTTTTTTTGGTAGAACTTTACGTGTAGGTGGTACCTTTTTTTTAAAAGTTCTTATTTGACGACCTCCGTGGCCGAGTGGTTTGTACGCCGGGTTTCATGGCTGTCGCCGACTCGAGAGGTCCCGGGTTCGAATCCCGGTGAGGGCAGATGTTTGTGTGATGAATACGAGCATTTGTACTCCAGTCATGGATGTTTAGTATGTATTTATATAAATATACTTATATATGTACAGTATATGTATTCTATCCGTTACCCTAGCATCCCATAACACAAGCCTAACTAAATGCTTACTTTGGGGCTAGGCTAATTGGTGTGAGTGTCGGAAATATTTATTTATTTATTTAACTCTGTAGGCCTTACTAATGTATTATAAAAAAAAAACCGGCCAAGTGCGAGTCAGACTCGCGCACCGAGCGCGAGGGTTCCTCCTCCCTGAATAAACCTGAATTTTTAAAAATATTTTTCATTATATGATGTAATTAAAAATTTACGGATTTCGCAAAAAAAATTCCTTTATCTGTACTATAAGACGTTACTTCGTACCAAATTTCAAGATTCTAAGTTCACGGGAAGTACCCTGTAGGTTTTGATTCCCGTGCGAGTTACGAAAATTTGCGGCATAAACGGCTGTATCTTTTGATTGCTTTGGCTTAGAAGTTTGATTTTTTCACAGCTCCAAGGGACAGTAGACCTGAGTATTAGATATGAATTTCAGTTTGATACCTCCACGCGTTCCTGAGAAAAACGGTCTTGACAGACGGACGGACGGACGGTTTATAAGGGTTCCGTTTTTTCCTTTTGAGGTACGGAACCCTAATAAAAGCTTTCCAGGACATTACTTATAGTCGCCGAGGTAAGTTGCGGGCAGACAGACTCAGATAAAAAACATAAGTCAACTCTTAAAAACTTTAAATGTCTAAATTGACAATAACATCAATAACATGAAATAAAATACACGTCACACTGATTGTTGTGTAATGTATTGGATCAAGTTACTTTAAAAATATGTTAAACATCATGAGTTACAATAACAAGTATCATTATTGAATCACGCAATTTGATACTTACCTAAATTGTGACAAAAACAAGTATTAATTAATTATGACTTTGAATGTGTTTAATGTAAAATATCTAGAAATAACCCGAATAAGATGTTCTTTAGCTGAGAGGTGGACTTAGCGTGATGGAAATATTGACCCTTTCGTAGGTATTAGGTTTGATTCCTGGTTGGATCTTTGTAGAGATCATGTGCTTTATTGTACACATAGACTGTAGACAGACGGGAAATATGTTTTCGTTCTATGCACACTTAAGGTTTATGAACTAGGGCTTAACATTTACATTTCTCGCTATCATCTAAACAGTGGCGCAGTCGCGACGGTCTTGCAAAGGCTCCTATATATACCAACTTCACATATCACTCTATCACAATCACAATAATCTATGAAAAATTACAAGTTACAAATTTTTACCAAGTTACAAATGAGTATTACAAATTAATAAACACAGGTTATTTGAGCTAGTGAGCAATTTTAAATAATTAGTTTACTTTCTCTTTAATAGTGTTTTTATTTGTTATCTTTATGTGTATTTGTAAACAAACAAAGGAGTAAGTTGGTTACTTAATATTTTTACTAGGTATTCAATTTTTGCTGTTTCCATATTACTGTGCAACATTTGCCAGTTATCTAATGACATATTGAGTTAGAAAAAAATACTTACCGAGATGCAATCTCCCATAAAACAAGAGCACAGGCGTACATGTCTATCCTCAGGAAAGCGTCCTTTGTAAAGTTGATTGCTCCGTCCAATACTTCTGGGGCCATGTAACGTCTGGTGCCAACCTGTCCGTGTGCATCACCACAGCCTCTGCCAGCCACAAAGACCAATGCGAGTCCAAAGTCAGCGATGCAAGCGCTCATGTCAGATTTTAGAAGTACGTTCTTAGATTTGAAGTCCCTGTGAGCCACAGCTGGTTTTCCTCCGCCTTCTTCGTGCAGGTGAGCTAGACCTCGAGCGACGCATACAGCTACACGCCAAGCTTCTGGCCAGGTTAGAGTGTGTGCTTTGAGGTAGTCACAGAGCGAACCCTGTGCCAATAAATAAAGGAAAATATATTAGTGATTACCAAAAAAAGCTATTGTAAACCAAAAGATTAGGTTTATTTTTGTGAAGCAATTGTTCACTTTTTTATCATCATTATATTTACCATATTACTAGCTGAGCCAGCGAATTTCGTATCGCCATAAAAATATGGGTCGTATGTATTTTTATATGATTATCATTATCATAAAAAAATAAAAATAAAAAAATCTGTCTAAAACTACAATTAAGTGTGGACCACCCTTAACATTTAGGGGGAAGAAAAATAGATGGTACCTACTGAATATTTATATAAAATTTCATGAAAATCGGTCAAGCTGTTTTGGAGGAGTTCAATTACGCACTCTGTGACTCTGTGTTTTATATATTAGAAGATTATCTCAGTGATAGCTGTATACAAAAAAAAGATTAGGTTAGCAGTAATATTTTTTTGGAGATTTTTACTATTACTTTTTTTGGTGATCAGTTAAACATAAGCATTATTATGCTATGATTGTAGACTATGGTTGTTAACTAGTATAGAACAGCCAATGTGAGATGAAGTTAAAAGATCAGAGATGGGTTTACTCCACATACACAAAAGCCGACTTCCTTAAGAGTCAAGTTTCTTAAAGTTGGCTCCACTGACCACTTAGGAATACAATGTGCATCAGAGGTTTGCAGTGACTTAGTTAACATTTAATAAAGTACTAGTAAAAGTAATGCTCGGTTTTTTTTCCTAAAACATTCTTTGGCTGGAATCTCTGTGGAATTTTTAAATACTGAAAGTGTCCCTTAACTGTAAATATTTAAAAACATGATAGGTATATAAGTTGGGAGATGTATAGTACCTACATCACTATATATTTAATATTGGTTTATAAGGAAAAACATCAAACTGTTGTGTAAAAGAGAATAGGGGTGATGATGGGGTACAGTAAAGAAATTCTATTTAGTCCGTCAGTTAGATGAGCAAAAAATATTGGACACATATTTTTTCTTTGGGCAATCAACCAAAAAATGACAAAGTTATAGAGCATCAAAGTTTGGGAGTAGGGGCTTGTGATGTCACTTTTAAGTGAAAATTGTACCAAAACGTGAGGTCATGCAAGTTTTCAAATCAATATATCTCTGCAATGTTTATATTATATGAAAAAAGAAAAAAATATGTCCAATACTATTTGAAAATCTATCTGATAAACAAAGAAAAAAAATAATCAGCATACCTATTGTAATTTATAAGCATTTAAAGTATACCTTTTCATGATAAGCTGTGATGAGCCAGTACTCAGCTTGAAGGTTGTCACCTTTCTTGTCAACTCCAATGTAATGCAATATATCGGGATGATCCATTCTGGGTAGTCTATATATTTCTTGTTCAGCCAGCCATGACTGCTTATCTTGTAGTGGGAACACTTTCACAGCAACATCAAGAGGACCCAGCTTAGCTCTCCACACTGCACCGAATCGACCTCGAGCTCGTACTTCACAAAGAGACACTTGCCCCACCAATCCACTGCTCTCATTCTCCATCCCACCATTGGCTGATGGTGGTCGGGATAAAGAAGCTTCACCGTTACCCAATTCCGCAAACGAACTACCTTTACGTCTCCGATATAGAAAGTAACAAGCAATCAAAATAACAAACAGCAGGAATAGTGGTGTCAACGTATACGCTATGACTGCTTTTGTATCATCAGCAATTGGAACAACCGAGGCTGGTATTTGTTCTGGAGGAGCATCTGTCTGGGAGAGTATAACATCTAATCCAGGGAAAGTTGCATGCTCGTTGCACATATCTCCTTCACAGCAGCAGTGGATTAATAACAATTTCATTTTATGCAACCTACATTGATGACTCCTGTCCATGCATGAAACAGTATCTAGGAAGCATCCTTTGAACTTGAGATTTGCTGTATTTGTCTCATTGTTGTAATGCCATAAAACATAGCAGTGGGTGCTCTTGTCAGTCTCTGTTGGTTGGCATTCTTCACGCTTAGAGATAGAGTGACAGTCTGGGTCATTGGAATCACATTGATTGGTGCCATTATAAAAGTCACAATATCTTGTCAAAACACCTCCTTCCTTAGGTCTAGGTGGTAAATTTTCATCAGATGGAGGTGCAGCTGTTGCTATAGTTATAACACCTAAAATGAGAGTTGTTTGATTTATTTTACAAACTGATTGTACCCCAGGCCTTATACCTATTTGTTCAAAAATTACAGTAAAATATTATTCATCATATACATACAATCCCATAGTTAATTTTTTTTCTTCATATATAAATTGCTTTAGTCAGTTTGATAATTATTTAGTCTAACGGGGTAAAAGGGTATAACTAAACATTCTTTATAGAAACAAGCAACATCAACAAATTATTTACCTATGAAAAGCAACAATATCTTCAGAGTAAACTGCTGGAACATTTTGAGAATCATGGCGCAGACGAGTCTGGTACCCCGCGACAATCCAATGTTATTTTTATACGGGGTCCCGACATGAAATGTCTGTTCTATTTAGGAAATTCCGATATTAGTATACATGACAGACAAACAACGCACATTGGAATGACGTTATATATCACTCAATCAATTCACTTAATTATTAACGAATAAAATTTGGATAAATAACTATACTTTAAATTAATCTAATTGATTTAAATAAACTGATTTCATTAGATTTTGGAAATTGTATAGATTTCTACAATCTCCTCATACCAAGCCACAGATTTCTGACGTTTGTTTCATAATAAAAAAAATAGCGTAGCGTATCCTAATAGGGATGTGTTTGATACGAATATTCAATTTATAAAAGAGCTACATATATGTGTGGTGAATATTTGTTAAATTAACGATTTACAACCAACGAAATGTCCCTAAACAACTTAATATTTTTCTCAAAAAACATTCAACAAAGTAAAAGAAAACTTTAAAAAACGGTGGACGTAATCATTTAGTTGCTCTGAAGATCCTAAGTTTTTGTTTGATCAAGGGAAATAAAGATTGATTTGATTCACTTTATTATTAATATTTTACTAACTTTATCCCTAGTACGAACCAATATCGAATTCGAATAGTTTGCGAGTCCGAAATGTCATTGGCAAATTTTGTATGGAAACTTGAATAGCAGCGCCACAAAGTACGTACCGAGAACTAAAAATCAATACACATTTCACAACGATATTTCAGACTCGCAAGCGTTACTGATCATTATTTATTCTCACCGTTTTTAATAACAGATTGAATTGCAATTTGCCTTTGTTGAACTTAAAAATTGTGAATTGGATATAACGATGTGCAATTTTATTCCTTAAAAATCAGAAACATTTTCAGGTTTATCGCAATTCGCCTAACTTAACCGGTAAAAACATCAATTGAATGTTCATATTATATTTTTTTTCTTCGTTTGGTATGTAAAAATACCGGTCGGTCAATTAGGCAGCTTGACATTTATAATATCGGATCAAGAGACGTTACAATAATAGATTAAAAAAAAACATTATTTTGGTTCATTTCTTTTTGAAGAAAATATTTAATTTATTAATATAATTAGCACTAAAATCTGATGAACTTGGTTATTTGTTACATTCATCATGTCTTTTTTTTATTTAACCGCTGTAAAAGGTGATATCCCCTCCCATTTATTGGAAACAATTGCCTTTGAGAGATTGCACTCTCTCAAAGAAATTTTAAACACAAATAAATTGTATTACAATGAATATTTAGTAGAAGGTGGCATATATGATAATGTGGGACATTTCCTTGTATGTATTTTAACTATTTTGTGTAAAAATATTGAGTTGAAGCGATTCTTGTTGAAGACTGAATGTATCCTATTTAAACGTCGTTTAGACTCTCTTAGCGCTTATGAATTGAGATATTTTGCAAAAAGATTGTTACGAAGTATAAAAAAATATCAGCATTGTACAGACTTTATTGAACCTTTGAAGATATCATGTGAACATTTAATATTAAAAGATGTAGCTCATCATATTTGTTTGGAATCTCATAAATTTGATTGTAAAGTTCATAATATATGTTTGAATTTTAAGTACTGCTTGCCGTTGGTAGCCAAACGCGAGGTAGAGCTTAAAAATGGTGTTGCCTTTATTCCATGCAGCAAGTGGAAACAATTTTTAACTATATTGTTCTTCATGAATTTAAGTCAAAGGCTGAATAAAACTAATGTGGAGGTACTAGTATCAGACCCTAGAATATTAGATTTACTTGACAAATTGAAAGGGCAAATTAATCCCTTGCTAAGAATCAATCACAGTAGACAAGTATTGTACAGTACGCAAGTAGATAAACAATCACAAAATTTCCCTCCGTGTATGTTGAACCTTCACCAGCAATTAAGAAAAAGGCATAGATTGCCACACACCCAGAGGTTTTATTACAGTCTGTTTCTCAAAGACATTGGTATGCCTGTCGATGAAGCTGTTAACTTCTGGCGAACTGAATATCAACAAATGCCCAATGGTACTCATAGCTGCTGCCATAATTGGGAGAAAGATGAAAAGAAATTTGTTTATGGCATCAGACACATGTATGGTTTAGAAGGATGCAGGAAAAGTTATAGTTCTGTGAATTGTCACCGGATCCAGAGCGAAGACAATTCATGTAATGCAGTTGGATGCCCCTTTAAGATATTCGAACATGAAAGAATGCTCCACATTTTAAATATGGACTCTACTGAACCAATATTGTCACAAATATATGAATTGAAATCTAGATATAATTATACAGCTGCATGTATGAAATATATGCAGAGTAAACATTTAGTCATGAAAACAAAATGTGATATTGAAAATGCTACCTTTAATTTTACTCCTGTCAAATTTTATGACAATGCTTCAATGAAATCTAATGATGTTATATGACAATGGTTTATACATAAATATATATGTTTCTCTAAAATTCAGTGTTTGTATTAGTTGTGTGTAAGAAGTGCCACAATATTAAAAACCCTATGCACCATGAGATACTTAAAAAAACAACAAACAATCGACTTATAGAAATGGTAATGCGTTTATTGTTTTTTTAAGGATTTAACTTAAACGTATCTAAAATATTAATAATTCAAAATAATACCAAAAATAATAAAATTGATACTATAAAATTAATTAATTTAGCTACTTATATATGCCCATGTGACATATCTTTTGACTACCAGGATATTTTTTTATGGTGTCATATCTTTTGACTACCGGGATATTTCTTGACATATCTTTTGACTACCAGGATATTTTTTAATGGTGTCATATCTTTTGACTGCCGGGATATTTCTTTACGGGGTCTTAATAAAAAAAGGCTAGTTTTTTAGATCTATCGATTCATACTAATTACATCGTTCGAGGAGCTGGGTGTGTTTTGCCCATTGTCCTTTTCAGCTAATAGCAAACATTAACTGTCTAAAATAACTTTACAAAGATTCGGACGGACGCGAATACACTCCATAGCATAGGTAGGTACTTACCTAACAAATGAAGAACTAAAGAAAAGTTTACTAGAAAAAAATCCACGCGGACCAGGCAGCGGACGGGCGGCCTGGTCCGCGTGAATTTTTTTTCTAGTAAACTTTTCTTTAGATTTAAACATCTAGCAGTTAAATGCTTAAAAAAAATCATAAATAAAGAACTTTTTACTAGAAAAGAAATCAACAAAGCATAGAACACAGAAAGAGGTTAGAAAGGTTATCATAGACCGATTGTACGGCAACCAATGTCGCCGACTCGACCCCACTACACTTCCACCTAATAGATAATAGCGAATCAAACGACGCGACATCAAACAATCGAACCAACCAGCCCTCACACCCGAGAGCAACGACACAATCAGAACAAAGTATAGTCAAGTTATGAGCATTTGCTCACACATAACTGTGGCGCGCCTGCCCCGCCCAAGGCCCGTTTAACCTCTTTTTGTATGCCGTGAACTCAAGATTTATTAAAAATAAGCCGCCCTTAGAGCGTTTTTCAAGCAAAGAAGGTAGGTAACACGGACAGTACCTACTTATAATTAATAAATAAAATCACACGTAAAAATCAATCGCCATCTCTGAGTGCGACCGTAATGAAGGAAAGGTAAACAGAAGAACACATTATAAAGTCGTATATTTCTGTGAAAGTCATACTGCTCCACCTGTTTTAGGCTTAATAGGTCTATAAAATGTGTGCTGGAGAGCGGATCGAAATCGTTGTACCCCAAGCACGAGCACCCAGCGAGAAAGGATTCGTATCGCTTTGTCAAAAGCAGTTGGGGCGGGGCAAGACCTAAATTTGATGTGGGCAAGACAGATTTCGAGAGGCTCTGTTCTGTGGCAACCTGAAGACGGATTTTATAAAATAATAAAAAAAAAGAAATTCGCTTTTTTTTTATTATTTTTTGATTTCAAGTAACAAAGACTCATATTATACTTAATACATAAAAGCAATGCATAAAAATTATTGAGCCGCGAGGCCCCTTGTACCACGAGGCCGTAGGCGGTGGCCCACTTCGCCCACGCCTTACGCCGCCTCTGGTCAAAAGTTTCTATGGAAAAAAGCCAGTTTGTTCCTACATCCGGTAGGGGCGCTGTTTAGTTTCCATAGAAACTTTGACGTTGGCCATACGAATACGGATCTATCAAAGTTCGTGCTTGGGGTGAGAAGTGAGCTCCCTATCTCGCGAAGCTTCGACTTAAGTTAGTACTCCCACACAACACAATAAAGCTTCATATTTGGCTTTAATGGCGCGCTTACACTTGGTCTTTAGCCCGAATACGAGTGCCAATGGAATTCGGGTAAACGAAACTAAATGTAAATGAACGGAGTCGAATACGCCCGTATTCATGTAGTTTTCGTTTTGATAACCCGACAGCCCGTATTCCAGTGTAAATATTGCTTCGGGTGCCCGAATTCGAGTAATGTCTTTCGTGCACCCGAATATGGGCTAACGATCAAATGTAATTAAGCCATAAGGTTGCTGTACAATCTCGATATTATTTGCCTATCACCGCGCTCATTTAAAAAGGAAGTTATTACAAAACTTAGAAGCCTATGTAAATATAATGTATAAAATTTTATTTGGTAGCTACTTACTTGTCTCGTGAATTCATGGTTTCATCGCTGGGTTTGGTGCCCTAAAATAATTATTGTTATTTTTTTTAAGCTAAGTATTGAAATGTATAATGCATTTGAATGCTTGGTTTGAAGGGAAGGAAAGTATTATATAAAGAAGAATAATATGCACTTAAATTACACTATTTGCAAAAATACTTTTTAGTTATTTTTATATTTTTGAGATGTTTTCTTTTTTATAAATAAACTAAGGATAACGGTGTTGATTTATATCAATTTTTTTGCTATCAAAATTTATTGTACAGTTGTTTGTTTTCCTAAATAAACGAAAAAAAAATAAGGTTGTATAAATAATGGTACCCAAGTGAGAGTATGCCTCGCGCACGAAGGGTTCCGTGCGCGAGGCCGTCTCTCACTTGGGTTTTTATTAGCAAATGGGGAATCTTTCCCAAATCAAAGCAGAGCTTTTAAGTACATGTTCAACCGCAAATAAACTACTTTTAAGTATGTACTTATCTATAACTTCGCGCTGCAACCACTGGCAGAGAAAATTATAAGCGACTATCAATGCGGATTTCGCCGCGACCGCAGCACGTGCGACCAAATCTTTCTTCTCAAGCAGCTGATGGAAAAAAAGTGGGAATACATGCAAAATATTCACTGTCTTTTCGTGGATTTTACAAAGGCGTACGACAGTATTGACAGGAACACATTATACTGCATTTTGAGGTCCTTCGGAATTCCGCGAAAACTAGTGAGGATGGTTGAGGTGGCCACTAAGTACAGCAGGATGAGAGTTAGAGCAGGAACTGAGCTGTCTGAGGAATTCGAAGTGGTTACTGGCCTTAAACAAGGGGATGCGCTTTCTCCGTTACTGTTTAACTTAGCACTTGAAAACGTCATCCGAAAAGTATTACAGGTCAGCGGCGGAGTGGAGTTGAACGGTAATCACAAGATTGTTGGGTATGCGGACGATCTAGCATTATTGGGAAAGTGTGAAGAAGAAGTCCGCAAGATGGCGGTACTCTAGAGGAAGAAGGTGGGAAGGTTGGTCTGAAAATAAGCCACGAAAAGACTGAGTACTTTCACATGAAAAGGTACAAAAACACGAGAGAGAAACGGAAGGATCTGACTGTGAAAGGAACCACCTATAAGGGCGTCAGTAAATTTAAATATCTGGGCTGTACGGTAACTGACACCAACAGAAGAGAAGAGGAGATCGACACCCGTATCCAAGGCGCACTCAGGTGCACAGCTGCTCTTCACAAGGTCTTGGTTTCCAAGCTGTTACTAAGAAAGACCAAGATTCGGATCTACAACACAGTGATTAGGCCGATCTTGATGTACGGTTGTGAGGCTTGGACGCTAACCCTTAGAGAGGAGAATAAGTTGCTGGTCGCCGAAAGAAGGATTATGCGCAAGATCCTGGGGCCGACTTAAAGAGAGGATGGTAGCTGGAGAGTGCGGACGAACATTGAGTTGGAAAATCTAGTGTCCGAGCCCAACATCATAGGAGAAATTAAAGCAGCTAGACTCCGCTGGCTCGGGCATGTAGAGAGAATGGGAGAGGATCGAGCCTTGAAAAGGGCGTATTTGGGGCAACCGATAGGACGACGGCCCGTTGGACGTCCCAGATACCGCTGGAGCGACGAAGTGCATAAGGACTTGCAGTCTTTGGGTGCCGACGGCTGGCGAGACCTAGCCCGGGATCGCAGAGCATGGCGTCATCTTGTGTCGGAGGCCAAGATCCACTTCGGATCGTTAGGCCACAGCAGTAAGTAAGTAAGTATAACTTCGCTGTATTTTACCGTTATTCTGGATCCTTCATAAATATATTTGTTTCTTAGGTTTTCTCGCACACCACTCATTAAATAAAACAAGTTTCAACGATATTTAAGCTTGCTTTATTTTTCCTTCACAAATCGTTTGTCTAACATTTTCAATCTCTTAGCAGCAATAATTAAAGTGTTTCTATCTTTACACGTTCTGCCTTCACGAAACGGAAGTTTAACTACATATCGACTCGAGATTCATCTCTAGCATCTTCAATCTCTTATCAGCAATAACTAAAGTGTTTCCATCTTTACAGGTTCTGTCTTCACGAAACGGAAGTTTAACTACATATCGACTCGAGATTCGTCTCTTTTGGTCGTTGTAACGAATATGTCTTCACACTTTTCTTCTTCGTTACTTAAAGTGAGTTTGCTCTTGCATGAAGAAGATTCTGCTTCTGTTTCCCAGAATTTACGAAGTAACTCGTCTTCGGATACGTGAAGAATAAAGATGCAGGCTTAGAATGTAATGGTTTAAGTGAGTGTTACTTGTGTTTTTTGCTTTAACATTTCCAGACTGAATTCAGTCTAATTAATATGTTAAGCCACTGGTGACCTAACTGGACCCTTGATAAGTCCCTCCAATTAGTCCAGTATTTGGTAAACTTCCGCCCCCGATAAAAATATCAATTTAATTAGCCATATTTTGGGCGGCTAAGCTTGAAACTAGTAAGGGTGGCAACAGTTGAATTTACATCTTTGTTCCTGGAGGAAAAGTTGTCAACAAAATATATGTAGTATTCATATGTAAATACCCATGACACGGGAACAAAATTATTTGTCCTCCCTCATGCTCTCAGGAGTACCTACACACCAACTTATTAGGAAATTCAAAAAGTATTTCTGTGCTAGAAAATGAAATTGAAACATCCAGCAGATGTATAAATTGATTGGCGACCGGTGCAACATAGGTACCACTTAACTTGTACACTTATATGCTCTATTGATGTCTCAAGACCTAATCAATACCATACCATGTACATGCAAGTTAGTAAGTCATATCCGAACTGTCGTGTCACTTTAAGTGCCAGGTGTAGGCAGTCAAGGCCATTTTGTTCTAACGGCAAACTTACTTATCAGTAGTTATAAAAAATATCGTGTCATAGCACCTAGGTACCCTTTAATAGCGAAGTGTTCCCTGTCTCACCGAATTTGATACTATTATCATCACAGCCTATTAAAGTATGGAATATTATAAATATGCCCCACTGCTGGGCACAGGCCTCCCCTATGGACGGGAGAGGGAGATTGGGACTGACCCACCACGCGGGCGGATTAGTGGGTGCTAACGACTGTAGATGCAGCCGGGGCCAACGGTAACGGCTAAATGTGCCTTTCGAAGCACAGAGGAGCTCCAGATATTAAGTTTTTGTTCACCCAGAACAGCCAAAGAGGCTTGGGATGCTCTATCATCCGCATACGAGGATAAAGGGATAGGGCGACGTATAAGTCTCGAACGCAAATTCTATAGATACTGCCTTTATAGAAGATGCATCAATAGCTGCGATTCTTCTAGGAGGCTTGAGTCCTCAGTATGCATCTTTAGTAATGGCATACCTTCTTCTCGCTCCCCCAGTGGTTGAAGGATGCGTAAGGCATTTCCCAGACACAGAAAAAAAGGTATTTGTATACTTGTATTGCCGAATGGGCAATTGACAACGTATGTAAGAGAAGATAGCGCGTCAACTTATCTTTGTTTTATTTATCTATTATCTATCCAACCACCTGGCTGGCGCTTCGCCGGTCACTGCTGCGTCACGCTCGCTTTGCTCGCCCGGCTCGCGCTAAATTAGGTCACAACACTAACTTAACCCTTTTATACATTGCCATATAAGGGCCAGCAGGCACTCTATACAATCCCTAGAAATTGTAAACATTACCTAGGCAAAGTATAAAATAGAAAATACTGTTTATAATATTCCATAAATTGCCAAGAAGCCCCAGGCATTCTATACATTGACTAGATATTGTATGGAATACCTGCATTATACGGATTGCCGGTGAAACACAGAAATAGGACCGTGTTTTTGTGTTCTTCTGTGGAAATAAAGGTGGCAAACAAGTGTAATTATTTCCCGGCCCATGGATGCTGCTGCGATAGTATTGCTTCCGATAACATGAATGAATCTGTTTTTCATCTAGAAAAAATGCTTGACACTTACTCCGCCGCTGGGTCGTCCCCATGTTAGTCTCACGGCTATGTGAGACTCCTCTCCCCTCATCCCATCCACCCCCTCGATCAGCCCATACGACTGGCTCATCATGTGTCGGGGATCAGGGAGCCCTACTCACTATAAACTGGGATGTGTGTGCCCTCCTTACCGGCGGTGACGGTGTGACGTAAAGCGGCATAGCACAGTCCCGCATTATGGGCGGATTCAAATGCAAATTAATCCAGAATTCTGGAATCGATTTCTGGAACCTTCCTCATCAGCAGGAACAAAACACTAACAATAAAAATACTTGTTCTCGTTTTTTTCTTTAATCCTTCATCTTTTCTACAGGGTTCAAGAGGGATCCGCAGCTGATGGGGGGGTGGTACGGTGGGCATTAGGCCGCGTACGCAGCCCCCACGCGCGGGCCTACCTGTGCACGTCTGTGGGGTCCCCGTAATACCTCGGGAGACCCCTGCCGTGGAGCCCCGGCGAGGCCGGAAAGCTGCTGGGTGCGGAGCCGTGGTAGAATCCCTTACGGGGACCCCGCGGCTTCGCATTAAGCAGTGTAGAAGGTATTCGCCGGACTTTTTTTAGCGGATATTATGCTGTAAAGCGCTCGTAAGAGTTGCGGGGTCCTCGGTGGTCAGCCACTGGGGGGTCCGTAAGACTTGCGGGAGCCAAGTGTGAGGTCCGTTCGGCGGTGTGCCTCCTAAAGGCGCCGTCGTCTGTAAAAAGATTCTTTACCTACGTTATAAAAAAAAGGGTCGACGAGAGAGCTTTATGTTTTCGTTTTCGCTATGTCCGGTCCATCTGTTCGCCCGCAGCTTAGCTTAGAGACTTTTAGTACTAAAAGCTATACATTCAATTCTGCATTACAATACATGCTTGTTCCATGCCATAATATTTAAAAACAATTTAAGGGTACTTCGTACGCGAATCCCAATACATGGGGATTATAAATGCGAATGGAAACGGATATTAACGATTTTAACCATGCGGTTGAAAACGCATTCTTCTTATTGCATGCATGATAATAGCGATTATTTAACCACGTTAATGCTTGTTACGGTTAACAAACACCGCTTAATGGCGCTAGTTGATTAAAATGCCTAGTACGAGTTAAGGGGTGGAACCACTATTATCATGTTTTTTTTCGGATTTTTCAATGTAATAGTTTAGCTATGAGAGGGAGTCGGGGATGCGAAATGCAAAAGGGATATCAATGGTCTTCCTTTTGCGGTTATTTATTTCTTCGCGTCACCGTTCTAGATACCGGACTTCAATCGCAATGTTTAAAAAAAATGTCTTTATGTCATATTTAGCTCTAATATAATTGAAATAGGTGACCGGGTTCCATGCTTTTTCACCATTTATTTGTACACGTGAGTACCTATTCAAAATCTGACATGGTTTCCATACAGTTTGAAGGACATGCGATATCTACTTCAATTTGGGTCTGTGTGATCATCGGACTGAAACCAAAACGGGCCACAGCTCATAAACATAAATTAATCAACGACAATTATATTAATCGTTAATTACCCATCCTGAAGGTTAAGGTAAGGCATAAGTAGATAGTACTACACCGTACACACGTAGATCTACGTATACTACACGGAAAATATACTACCTTTTTAACTACGAACACACCACTTCAAGCGCATCTGTACTATCTCACATCAAAACCGCTGATAACAGCCCAGTCGTTACGTTTGCTCGCTCATAGGTGCCCGTCAATATGGACAAAGATTTTCCCATACTGTTTAACGGACAAAAATATAACATAAACAATTTTTTACGCGACCACCCGGGCGGTGTGAACACCTTAAAAAAGTATAAAGGCAAATCTATATTGCAAGCGATGGACTCTTTTGGACACAGCACTAGTGCGTATCATATGTTAAACGATTTCAAAATTCATGGTGACTTTAATGATGCGAACTTGACGGGAAAAGTGAGTGCTAACGGTAGAGTCATTACTAACGAGGAAACCCATAAAAGTGCGAAGGAGATCGCCTTCTTGGAGGAATTGGAGGTAACTTGAAGCCACATTGGGAACATTCAATTAAGATACGCTACTTAAAATAATTTATTTGATATAATTGTGGTCAAACGCATTGCCTATTATGCATAAAAAACTTTTTAGACTGTGGTTCGCTTGTCGACTGAAAAAACTTAAACACGAAATAGGTACCTTTTAGAAAAAATATTAAGTACTTTTGTATGTAGAGGTCTCCTTGAAAACTCCGTACAGTAAGAGTCCCGTAAAAATACTTACCTAATACGTAGACTTTTCTTATTTAAGTAGATAGACTTAGCTTTCAAATTATTATATTAATAGGTAAGTACTTGATATTTTAAAATTCCCCTTCAATTCAATGTAGGTACTACCATACATAAATACTTTAAAAAAATAATTGAAATAATTACTTAATCAAGTATAACGCGCTCGTTTTGTTCCGTTAAGTTTCGTACTTAGAAAAGTGACATAACAATAGCCTACTTAAGTTACCTGCTTAAGCCTAGCAATGGTTAAAAATCTTTATATATACACTTTACTAACATCTAAATCTAATCTTATCTAGGTATAATTTTGTCTGATACTTTGAAGCGAGTTGTTTTTCTGTGGTAGATAATTTCTAAGAATATTAGTCTAGCAGTTGAAGAGGATTTAAATATTATAAAAATACAAGACAAATGTAAGCTAAAGTGGCATTCCTATTAACGAAAAATTCTGTAACATTGTACCGTTAGGGAAGGTTAAAACATTTCCAGTATAAATAGTTACATTTCATATAACTTCCTTTATTGGAATTTGCTTTTTATTTTAGTATTTGTTGTAACTTAAATTTCCTTCCCAATAGACTTACTGGTAAGACTTGGGAACTTTGTACCCAGTAGACTTACCAGTAAAATAAAACCTCCAATAGTCCTACTTCTATGTAGACCTAGTTTGTGTACTTCAATCAATATATGACCCAAGATAAATCTAGAATATTTCAATTCGCTCAGAATTTAATACGCTTCAGTGAAAGACACGGGCAGTATAAACACTGATGCATACTACACACTTTCGTCGAAATATTGGTGTTACTTCTAAAAGGTCCCCCTAGGGGAGATATTAGGATTTCTATAGTACTGAAGTATCCCCTAGGCTGGGGAGGCAGCAGACTATGCATATTATATGAAATTTGTATAGTCTGCTGACTCCCCAGCCTAGTCCATTTGTATGAAACATCTAAAATAATAATAATTATATCCATCCATCCAGCCTTTCTCCGTCCACTGCTGGACATAGGTCTTCCCCATAGAACGCCACAATGCGCGGTCCTGCGCTATCCGCATCCCGTTTCGCCGTAGCACATTTGACGATGTCGTCAGTCCACCTTGTTGTGGGCCGCCCCACGCTGCGTCGTCCGGTACGTGGTCGCCACTAGAGGACCTTTCTTACCCAACGGTTATCAGATCCTCGAGCGATGTGGCCTGCCCATTGCCACTTCAGCGTGCTAACTCTACGGGCTATGTCGTATACACCGGTCCTTCTACGGATCTCCGTATTTCGGATCTTATCACGTAGGGAAATACCGAGCATAGCCCTCTCCATGACTCTGAGTTTTGTTATGAGGCCGACATTCAGAGACCACGTCTAAGTCCCATAAGTCATCACTGGTAACACGCACTGGTCATAGACCCTTCTTTTTAGGCACTGGGGAATTTTGGCCGTGAGGATGTGCCTAAGCTCCCCGAACGCTGCCCATCCGAGTTGGATTCGTCGGTTGACCTCTTTTTCGAAGTTGGATTTGCCCAACTGAACTGTTTGTCAAAATATTGGTGTTACTTCTAAAAGGTCCCCCTAGGGGAGATATTAGGATTTCTATAGTACTGATGTATCCCATAGGCTGGGGAGGTAGCAGGCTATACATATTATATGAAATATGTATAGTCTGCTGCCTGCCTCCAACTGAATAAATACCTAATACAAAACTGATCAATAAGTTAGATGATTCGGGATTTTCATATTTAATTTTGTTTATTTATGTTTTCTGAAATATTTTGCCATTTAAGGATTTGAAAATTGAAACGTGCTAAGTATGAATAGCATTAAATAAGGCGAGACCCTGTAAAATACATGCAAACATTTGTTGTTAATTAATAAATAGTAATTAATCTTAAGAAACTTGCATTGTCGCTATTTAAGGTATTAAAGGTTAATGAGGTTGGCTGTACGTCTTAACATATCAAGATTGTTTGGTTATAATCTCACTAAAATATCAGCTGCTTTACAGAACTACTTATCTGACAGAAGAGTTACGTTAACTGCAGGTTAACTTAACGGGTCAGGTTAGCAAGATCAAGGTTATGTGCAAGAACTCATGAATAGTCAGTGTTTCTTTTCGTGTTAAAGTGAAGCGTCGGCGTTGAACATGGCTACGAATAGAAGAGTCAACAACACAAGATGTTACCACAAAATGTCAAATTTTCTTAATGGGTTAACTCTAAATCACGCAAAATACTTAAAGTTCAAAATTAGTTAATTCGTCAGTTTTAGGTAACTGGATCTGTGTGTGTGTATAACCAAAACTAAAAAACGGATGCGTGTAACTTATGTACGCGCGTGAGAAGTTATACTTCTTTAGCATCATTAAAAATATTTTTTAATTGCATGCAAATAATTAATAATTACAATAAAATAATAAAAGGACTGGAAAAGGATAGTTAACACAGTCAATTAAATTCAGTTTTAATTTGAAAAATTAAATAAATATTCAAAATATTCAATTAAAATCACTACTGAATTTAAGTTATTAGTCCATATGTAATTAGCACTTGTAAGTAACTAAAACACGTTGTGTCTATATAGAAACTAGAAACATGTGGATAAATATTATAAATATGAAAACAGTGATCAGAGGCGACGAGCGTGCCAACATTGTTTTTGACAACGCGATCATCTTATGGAGCTCCGTGGATCGTTCAAAGTACCTTTCGAACAGATGTCTAATGGTTAACCACTTAGTGATTAATAATCCACCATTATTAGACACTAACATTCATAACGCGCCCACGGCCAACTTCATGGTGTTACTATTGTGTTACAGTGATGCGCGCGCATCTAAAAATTTCACCCTCATCATTTTTTCATAACGCGCCTAAAGAAGTATAACTTCAAAAATGTTGCTACCTCCCTAATGTATATACGTACTCGTAGAATTGTATTTTTTTTCAATTCTTGAAATTATTTGCATGATTTACAATATACCCAATAAAAAAAAATGTAATTTTGTGGTCACTTCATGTGTGGCGGAAAGTTCTAATAAAGATTTTCGATTTTTGACATAGCTACGTTCGGCGTTCGAGGTCACAAATTGGATTAGTCATTGGGCGAACATCAAACAAGTCTGCGAAAATTCAGAGCTAACGGATTTGACGTAAGCTCAAATTTATTGGAATAATACTTTGAAAGGAAATATTTCGGAAACTCGGTCTACGGAGACCTATTTCTAGTCGCATATTGTAGCAAATTTAGTCTACTTTAACACCATCTTAATTAGGTTCATCATCTTTAGCCTATTAATGTCCCCATTGCTAGGGCACAGGGTTTCCCTATGGATAGAATAGGGAGATTTGGTCATCCCACCACGCGGGCCCAGTGCGGATTGGTGGGTGATAACGACTGCAGATGCAGCCCGGACCAACGGCTTAACGTCCCTTCCGAAGCACGGAGGAGCTCGAGATAGTAAATTTTGGGCACCCATCCAATGACCGACCACTGCGAAAGTTGCTTAACTTCAACGATCGCAGTTGAACGCGCTAACCACTTGCGCCATCGAGCTCCTCAACTCCGTTTCGTATTTTAAAAGATCTACGTGTACAGGCAGCGGTGAGAATTTGTTTTATACTTAGAATGTTAAGATATAAATGTCGATGGAAGGTTTTTTTTTATTTGTCTGTACATAATAGTTTTTTTATAAGTCTACAATAATCTGAATAAGAATAGTCAGTGAAAAAATATTAATATCGAATTTCGGATACACTGTCCGATTATTTTGTGTCCTTATCGTCACGTCCTCGGTGTCTAAATCGACTTGGACCATTTAGTTACAAAAAATAACCTTGTGTTATTATGTGGCTCTTTGATAGGATCGGATCACCAAATATTTATTTATCTTATACTCGTATATAAAATTCTCGTGTCACAATGCGCCTTCGCGTCAAAATTCAAATTATTGCGTATTGTAACGTAGTGTTCTCATATGGGTTAGGAGGAATGTTATCCCAGGAAATTGATAGAATACTACGTTACACATCCATAAATTTTTTTTTGGACAATGTTTTTTTTTATAATGGGTATTAAAAAACACATACAAGCCAAAATTTTCTCTTCTACCACCTGCCCCTATTTTTATGACGGAACGAAGTTCGCTGGGTCAGCTAGTACATTATAAATTTGAACATTATGCCGCGTATTCATTAGGCAACCTTTTTTGATAAACTGTTTATGAAGTTCAACATCTTGTCTATAAACAAGTTTACCGGAAACACTGTTTCTGAAACTTTGCTATCCACACTAGTCAGTTGTTGCTAGGATGTTGTAATTCATGAGAGTACTACAGAAAAAAAGAAAAAGTTGTTGGGTTCGAAACTACAACTTAAATAGAAGTTATGTTTTTGATAAAATAAATACTGTAATAGTTGAGTATTCAACTGGATCAGCCGGATCTCATGGGAAAATAGGCGTTCGTTAATTTTAGGTTCATTTTTTTTAACATGAATGATTTACTTTGCTTTGTAGAAAAAAAATGTGACATTGTTTTGTTTGCGGATGACACCTCACTAATTTTTAATACTGATAGGTGTAAAACTAATTACGTTGAAGTAAACAATGCATTGTCTAAGGTACCTACTTAACGAGTTCTCTACTAATAATCTAAAAAGGGTTTTCTACAACGAGCGCTTCGAGCACATTACACAGCGCATACATCTGTCAAGAGTAAAAATGATATTTGTTTCTTAGGTTAAAAAAAGGAGGAGTAAAATAGGGAGTAAAAATGAGCTAGTTAGTTCGGAACTCTTTCTTGGTGGAAAAGTGATCCTATTTTATGAAAGTACATGAAATCCGCTCCGCTAGACATCCCCAGTTCATTCCTCTTTGGCGGTGGAAAACGGGCTTTGCCAGCAAATCTAAATGTGTGAAATTTATTTTACCGAATGTAAAGCATGGGGGATATAATTATAAACGATGAAAAACATTTTTTTATCGAAACAACCGTTTTATTTAATCTAAGGTTTCCCTAGGCGTAACACTAGACCACAAACTTCAAAGGAAAGAGAGTGCTAGAGTTAGTACTGCTGCTTATGCAATTTATAAAATAAGACAGCTTACAGATGTCGACACTGCTAGGACAATATACTTAAGTTACTTTGATAGCATTATGTCGAATGGCATTTTACTGTGGGGCACGGCCGCTGACATTGAAACAGTATTTATTCTTAAAAAACGAGCTATATGAGCGTTTTATAGCTTGGAATTTCTACTGCTCTTAGGGATACATTTAAAGAAGTATGTATAATATTGCCTCTCAATACATTTACCGAGCGACTAAATATTTGCTTGTTCAGAACTGTTCTGTTGTGAGTTTAAGTGGAAACGCATTTTTCAAAAATTCAATTTCACAAAACATACTTATATACCTTCTAATGTTATTGTAGGTACTTCTATCCGTTACGTGAGCTAGCATCCCATAACACAAGCCTTTTTTTCCCAGGCACGGTTAGACTGGTCAAAACCTCTACTCAGCCAGTTACACCTCATAGCGCCACACTACGAGTTATGGGTAAACAGTGCAGTGTACAGAAGATGCAGGCTGTTCGCGAGCCCACTGCTGGAGAGCATGACCTTCACGCCGTGGTATCTGGTGCCCATATTCTGGATACCCGTCATACTGTACCTGGGGATCTCACAGTTTCTGCAGCACGTAGCTTGCGGTGGTAAGAGATAAAGAAATCTTATAGACCAGGGCCGATAATTAAGGAGAACAAAAAAAAACAGGACTAAATGAAACCCAATTCAAAAGGAAGGAAAAGGAAAATAAATGTTAAACTCGCGTCAGGTTAAACACGTGGGCTGTTCGCATCATGACACACAATAAAATTGGAAAGGTTCAATATATTGGACGAAACATAGTAATATTTTATTTTACCGTATTAGAGTAATAACTCTCTATCTAAGACGTCCACGTGGCAGCTTTATTGCGAAGAAAATGCATTTTTTTTACAATAGATGTCGCTAAGAGCGCTTAAACGTGATTCATGTAAGTTATTTTTTCTGAGAAATAAACTTTTTAATGTAATATAAATTGTCATGTTTGTGTACGATAGCGCAATAAATAAATATTGTATTCTACCACATACATGATAGTACTTTTATACTGATAATTAAAGCAATTCGTGCAAAATTATTCTCTAACCATTCAAAAATATCAAAAATGCACAACGTTACCATTCAAGTTTTCACTTCTGCCGGCACTCCCGGAGTGCAAACCGTCGTTTTTTTTCGATAGGAGTTATAGTTATTCCGCAAATCATGATAAACCGTTTTCCCCAGTTTATAAGGCCATCCCACCTTTCCCAACCTCAAATCGCCCGTCATTTATTTCGCCCCTTGTTTTAATATGTTCCCTTCCTTTTGAAATGGGTTTTATTCTGTTACGATTTTTTTTTTCATTTTTTTTGTATTACTTACCGTTTTCAAGTTATAAATTGCGCAGGTATGAAAAATCCAATAGAGCGGTTTTGGGCAGTTCAAGTACACATTTGCAGTGCACATTTCAATGTACGTTTTACTATTTTTTAATTTTTTTCATGATTGTAATAATGAAAAGAAAGTCTCCATAGGACCGAAAAAATTACCGTTAGTAGCATGGTGTTGTATTACGTAGCGCTGTATTGCACTGTAACTTGAAAACTGTAAGTAATTTAAAAAAAATGTTTATACATTAAAGTTTTCCATTACAATGATATTTTCAAGGTGAAAAAGTGAAAAAACACTTTTTTTGAGACTTTAGCGCCACCTACAATACGCATTTTTTGTTTGCAACAATGACATAAATTGTAGTACTCAACGCCCTCTACAATTATGGACGAAAAAAAAGTTTCTAAAATGCATACAAAACAAGAAAAATGCGTTTCAATAATTTTTTGAGGGTTTTTTTAAGTTTTTCAAAAAATGCCTACGAGTTGAACATGCCCATCGCCAAGGTGGCTTACTGACGTCATTTGGCAACAGAAAAAACAAGACTTATTTGATATGTTAAAAGAGCCGGTAGAAGCGTTATGTATTAAAAATACACCTCGTTTCGTATTTACGTTATTATCAGTGTTATTTATGGATGCATATTTCATATCCTCCAATTCAGTTCTAATATGTTCCACTTCGTCTTTTGTAATGTATGTCTGCTTTATGTGTTTAATATCAGCCTGTAACACTAGTAAGTCTTTTAACAATCGAGTGGCGTCAATATGGTCGAAAGTTATCGGAGGTAATTTATGCAATTCTCTTGCTACAAAGATCGGTGTCTTGTCTGGATCTGTGTTCTTGAAAGCACAAATAATATCCTCAGTGTCCTTCTGTTCGATATTCTTACGTCTTGATATTTTTCTTACGGTAGAATTGATCGATGTGAAAAGTAACTCCTTCGCCTCGCTGATTTCAGCGCACGCAAAACTAGTCACAACAAGTCTTATTAAACTTTCTTCGTCCATTACGTCTATTTTGTTTTGAACAAAACAAAGTAACTCATTTTTAACAATGTCGCACTGTGTACACTTTAATATTTCTGTAGCCATGTTTTTCTGACCCGTTCGCGGAAGCGTTCGTGAGCAGACTTACCCTTTACGTTTTTTTTCACCACTCAACCTACAGATTGACTGTACTATATTCGTATCTTTTATAGTTTAAGTCTAAAAATCTGTCATGTGATGAATGGTTACAAAGTAGCAATAATTTAAAGTTTACGCGCCGTTTTTTGGTCATATCTCAAAAGTTGGTTTTGTCATTTAACCGCGATTTAGCTTGAGGACGGCAGCTTTCAAAACCTAACATTTAATTTGATTTAATCTAAGTTCTTAACTTCTTTCAAAACTACTAGCTAAGTACTTGTACCAAATATTTTAAGAGACATGTAGGTACCTATTGATACAGAAAGTAAATGCTATAAATCGACAGTGGAGAAGCGCTTATACGCCACTTGGTGCTGCTTAAAAATTAACTTCATTTCAGTTTTATTTATGGATTTTTAAGCATTTAACTGCTACATGTTGAAATCTAAAGAAAATTTTACTACAAAAAATTCCACGCGGGCGGCAGGCGTCCAATCTGCTGCCAGGTCCGCGTGGAATTTCTACTAGTATTTTTTTTTCAATTATAGTTTTTATAATGTTAATTTTAAACACTAACAAAGTGGTGTATAAGCGCTGTATATTTTGTTTTGCCGCTGTCCAAATAAATATCTAAGTTACCGAAATCAGTTTACAAATCCGCTAGACTGAGTGCAGGAAATGAATGTCCCATGACCTGTGCGATATTTACAATTAGTTCCGAGCTCATCATTGCCACGTTCGATTCGTTTGTGACCTTGAACAGCAAAATAGACTTAATTTAAATAATACTTCCCTGTTGTTTTCTATATGGCGCAACCAATAAACCCACTCCACCTGGTGTTAAGTGTAAGTGGAGTCCTGCGTGAAGATAGATGATGCGGCAGAAGGTGTGTCGGCCCAGCCATCCTAACCTTTTTTTATGTCTGGGAAATGCCTTACGCATGGACAAGGCCCTACCAGAGCGGTTAAACCCAAGGTTAAACCAGACAGTGTTCCTGCACCTTGTCACCCGTCTCACATTTCTAGGAACCAGTGTTGCCATCAAGTTTGAAAGTGTTGCCGTATTCGATACATCAGATTGCCGTATTTTAAAATAAAAATCATGATTTTGCCGTATTACCTAATTTTATTTATTAATATTTACAGGACGTTAGTATTATTATACGGCAATGACAAACCTTCCGTATGCCGTAATCTGAAATTATGAGCTCAAATTGCCGTATATTACGGTAATTGCCGTATCAATGGCAACGCTGCTAGGAACACAGTTCTCGCAATGTGCGCCGGGAGTGCGGGTGATAATGCGGCACCCGTTACCAACCGGCCGCGCATCCGCAAAGTGACTGTCCGTTTCACAAGGAGCTTTCGAACTCTACTCACCAGAAAAAAAAGAACACCACCAAAAGATAGTGTTATTTTACTGTGGTCTTCTATAAGATGGGATACTTACCCAGGCGGGCGCTCCAACTCGAGCGGAAAGTCCACAATGTCCTACCTCTTTTATTCTAAATAGCAGGGCCTGGTTTACTCACAGGCTATTGGCCCTTGCGCCCTCGGCTCCAGCCTTATTAGGGGCGGCCGGTGAGCGCGGCGCCGAGCGGTACATCATAAATATTTGGTAATTTTGCATAATCAGTGTTTTCAAAATAATGTATTTGAATTTCTGATAAACTAGAGTGAATGCGAGAGGTTTTCAGCGAAATGAAGTTGATGCTATCCGCTGATATGCATAAAATTAAAATAAAATTATGTCATTAAAATTATTGCGATAAAAAATAAGCCCACAAATATAATTATCTCTCTTAAAACTACTCTTTATATTTTAATGTTGCTTCATTTGTTAAGTACAATTCCTATCTAGTAATCTATACTTATAATAAATCTGTAGAGATGTCAATTCTGTACATGAAATATATTTTTAAAATAACTATCAGGGGGTGATTAGTGGTCGATACTGATGCCAAAAATGCAATCAGTAAATTTTTTGTCTGTCTGTCTGTGTGTATGTTCCTTATAGAAACAAAAACTACTCGACGGATTTTAACGAAACTTGGTACAATTATTCTTAATACTCCTGGGCAGGTTATAGTATACTTTTCATCACGCTTCAATCAATAGGAGCAGAGTAGTGAAGGGAAATGTTGGGAAAACGGGAGAAGTTACTCCATTTTTTAAGCTGCCGTCGTGTGTGCAGCCTTAATGATTAAAGTTACATAGAAATCATGTATGAGGAAAATATTCTACATAAAATTGTCTAAAAAATATCCCGCAACAGCATATGTCTATCTTTTATGGTTGACTCACAATAACACGTGTAACTCCCGATAGCTTAGCAGTTCGGAGCATTCTGATCATATTTGTTTTTACTCTTACGTTTATAATACTCTGACTCATCCCTAATTTAAAAAAGTTTACATTATTACCTATCGGACACGGGTCGCGGCGGCGCGGTAGGGTATCAAAAGGCGGGAGGTCCGAGAGAGAGCTGTCTAAATCTGTTTTCTGCGTCGCTCCCCCCCCCCCCCCCCCCTGGGGGACGATCGCTTCCGATGAAGCCTTAGAGGCCTTCCCGGCCAGAGGCAGCCTCTACGGGTGTGTTTTAGTCAGTACGAGTCTGACATAACCTTGCAACCGGCTGTAGGGTATCCATGAGGATTTCTCACCTGCTCCCCCGTCTGAGAGGAAACAAACAAAATAAAAAAAAGAGAGCGAGCGAGCTTCAATATTTGGCTGTTGATGCGTTCAGAACGTTCGACCTTATTGACAGACAATAATTGAGAAATAATGAGAAACCGTAGTTATCAGCGCGACTTTTAGTCTTTAAATAGTTTATTTGAATTTCTTTTGTTGTTATTCTGTAAAATAGGTATTAGTTGTTTTGGTAGTGTTTAAATATTCGTTCAAATTAAAAATTATTAAGCGTAGGTACCTTTATTAATTAAAGTAGTTATAAGTATTTATTTTTAAGTGAAGTAGGTGTAGGTAGATAGTATTGCACAGGCGTTTCAGCTTTATTTTGATTTCTTTTTTGTTGTGAGTTGTATATATTTCTGGTTATAATTCTATAAGAATATTTTAGTGTAAATAGTCACTTAGATTTTAAGTGTAAG